TAATAGTTTTATTAATATTAAAAATAATATCTAATCGAATATAGTCTAAATAGAAGTTAATAAAGAGCTAGATTTCTTATTATAGAGTATATATATTATAATAAAAATTATTATATTAATTTAAGTTCTTATAGATATCGATTAATTTATCTATAATTTTAATAATAGATTAATATAGAGTAATAGAGTTTCGAAGTCTTCTATATATAGTATACTATATAATTTTATTACTAAATTATAAGACTATATAAACTATCTTAAAGTTTTTAATAAGATAATAATCGCTATTAGCTCTAAATTTCTATTCTATTCTAAAGAACTAGTCGTTTTAGATAAAATCGCTATTATTAATAAATAGAGATAAATCTAGAATCTTAACTAATTTCTCTTTTAAATATCTAGATATATATTCTTTCTCGATTAAAAATAGCTATAAATTCTTTATTAATAATAAATTAAAATTATTAACTTTTCGCTATAAAGAAATTATATTCTTTTAGAAGTCTTAAGCTAGTTAATTTATCTTCTCGATTATTCTATAAATCTAATAAATATCGTTTATAATTAGATTCTTTTTTATTATAATAGCGTAATATTAAGTAATAATCTCTTAGAAATCGTCTCGCTTCTAATAAATTTTATTTAATATAATTATAAATTTATTAAGTTAATACTTAGTCTAATATTATAATTATAAATTATTAGCGATATTTTAAAATATTTTTATTAAGTTTATTTTATTAACTATATTATCTAATAGAATTAATATTTATTAAAACTTAATTTACTTAAATAAAGTTTTAATTTAATCTTAAATTTAATTAATAAGAAGTTTATTTTAATATCTATTATAGTTTTTTCGTTCTAATTATTATTATTATTATTTTTATAATTTATAGAATTCTTCTTAACTTTTACGATTTTTACGATTTTTACGATTTCTACGATTTCTACGATTTTTATAGTTTTACGATTTTTTAGCGAGGGAGATTAATAAATTCGAATCGAGGACGAAGCGAAATAACTTCGAATTTTATTAAAATTGTTATTACTCGACGATATAAGCTTGTATAAAAGAGTATTCTTAATAAAGTAAATAAGTTTTTAATAAGCGATATTTAAATTCTCTACTTTTAGTCTTTTAAATAATTATAAGATTAAATTTAATAACTTTATCTTTATTTAAAAGCGTAAATTACGTTCTATAATTAAAAAGAAATCTTAAAATTTTAGTAGAAAATAAAAAATTTTAAGCGTTTTAAAAAAAAAAATTTCTAAAATTAAATAATATACATCTGTTTTTTAATTAGAGCTGTCGAGCGAACTTTAATAAGCGATATTTAATTTTCTTACGCTTTAATAATTATAAGACTAAATTTGAGATTTTTATTTATTTAATAGCGTAAACTACGTTCTATAATTTAAAGAAAAATCTTAAAATCTTAATAGAGAATAAAAAAGTTATTCTATATGTAAATAACGTATATTTACTTTTTTAATAATAGGTCTTAAGAGAGCTAGCGAGCTAACTTAGTTAATTTAATTAAAGAGCTTAATAACTCTAAACTTATAATTAATTATATATATAATTTTTTTTTTACTTAGTTCTATTTTATTCTTTTATATATACTAATTAAAAAGACTTATAGAAGAACTATATTTATTTCGAATAATTTAATTCTTTAATAGAAGAAGTAAATAGTCTCTTAAATTAATTAATATCTATATTTTATAAATTAAAATACTTCGCGAGAGAATTTAAATAATAATAAGCTTAATTATAATACGTAATAAGATAAGATATCTCGATAAGATTTCTAGAGAAAATAAAAATAAGATAGAGTTTCGAAATAGAGTCTTTAATTTTCTAAAAGTCTTATTTTATCTCAATCTCGAGATAATATTTTAAGATATATATTATTATTTTATTAAGTTTATTAAGTAGAATAATATTAAGAAAATAGTTTTAAGTGAAATCATATATATGAATAATATATATATGTGATATAATAATAATGATAAAATATAGAAGGTCTATAGTAGAAGAAGTCTCTATAGTATCGTAGTATTAAGGTACTAAGCTTAATCGAAACGCCTAGTAAAGAAATTCGTAATAAATAATTTAGAACTATTATTATTATAATTTTTTTTAAATATAATCTATTATATCTCTTTCAATATTATTTTAAATATCTATACTCTAAGATTTTTTTTAAATATAATATTATAATTTAAAGTTTATTTTATATAATTTTCTATACTTAATATATAAATTATTAAAATTATTTAAATTAAATTTCTTATAAAATAATAAAATAATCTTATTATTTTACTAAGAAAATCTTATTTTAATTCTATCTTATCTTTCTTAAATCTCGCTTTGAATTAAGATAAGAGAATATATCTTAAATCTCGTTCTATATTATCTTATTATATAGCGTAAGCTTAAAAATTATTTATATAATTTATCTATTAATAAAATTACTTCTACTTTATATAATAAATTAATAAATTAATAAAAAAGTACTATTAATAAATTAAAGATTATTATAAAAATTATTAATTTAATATTTATAATTTAATATTTAAACTATAATATTACATTTAATAATAATAAAATATATCTTTCTATTCTTATTAAAAACTTTATTTTTTAAATTTATATATTAAGTTATTATATATATATAAATATTATAGAGTATTATATATTAAAGAGAATAAAGATATTATTATTTTAAGATATTTACTCTTATTAATAAGTTAAATAATTAATAAATCTATTTATACGCGTAACGCGATATTATAAAAATTAAAATAATTATAATTATTACGAGCGTATTCTATATTCTTAATATATTACTTCGCTCTCTTATCTATTCGAGTCTAGTATATCTAAATAGAGATATTTATCTATTACTTAATATCTCTCTTCTATCTATATAGTTCGATATCTTAATTATCTTATTTAATATATCTATATTAATATTATATCTATATTAATTTTAATACTATAATAAAGATTAATCTACTTATTTTATTTAAATTAGCGAATAAATTTAAAGAAACGCGCTAGTAAGAAATTAAATTAAGCTATTATACTTTTAAATAAGTCTATTAAATAGATAACTCGATTTTAAAAAGTCTAAACGAAATAACGAAACGGCTTTAATGAATAGTACTTAAGAAATAAAGAAGATATTAGATTATTCTTATAACCAGCGAATCGAAAGAAATCGCTACTATTATTTTATTTTCATTTATATTTTTATATTTAAAATATATATTAGTAATATTATTTATAATCTTAGTTATTAAGTTATTATAACGTTTAAGATTTAAATAAGATCTTAATTAGATAAGAAATAGTCGAGTTATAGTTAATTAAAGATACTCTTACTTATAGCTAATTATTAAGTATTCTTATATAAACTTCGTAATAAAATAAGAGACCCTCTAAGGAAAGTAAGTATACTCGAAAAATAACTATTTAAAGTACTTATAATCTTCTTAATATCTTAAACGATTAAAGAATAAGTATATTAGACTCTTATAAAGAATTAACTCTATTTTAGACTTTATAGTAAAGAAAAATTCTTAATATTAACTACTATTAATATATTTTAAAGAGATTTTATTATTCTCTAATTAGTTTCATATTTTTAATATCTAATCTTTCGAAATATTTAAACTTCTCTTTATTCTCTTTTAAATCTTCTTTTTTCTTTTACTATAATAAAGTTTAATATTAAGAAAATAGATTAAGTTAAGATCTTACTAGATCGAATTAAATCTCGATAAATATTAATACTTGAAATTATATTCTAGATAAGATAGACTCTATAAATATATTTTAAAAGTCTTTAATAGTTTATAGCTATAATATTAGACTATTAACTAACTCGATAAATTTATATTTATATTAAACGGAATCTATTAGAAATAAGACGAGTTTTAGAAAATTATTATTCGATATTACGCTATTATAATAAAAAAGAATTAAGCTATAAATTATTTACTTTAAGTAAATAAATTAATCGAGAAGATAAGTTAGCTAGCTCGAGAGTTTTAAAAGAATATAACTTTATTATAGCGAAAGATTAATAATCTTACTTTATAACCTATAAAGAATTTATAAATATTCTTAATCGAAGAAGAATATATATCTAGATATTTAAAAGAGAAGTTAATAAAGAGCTTTAATTTATCGATATTTATCGATAGTAGTAACTCTATTTAAGATAATTAATTCTCTAGAATAAAATAAAATTTAAGATTAATAGTAATTATTATCTTATCGAAAACTCTAAGATAGTCTATATAGTCTCGCGATTTAGCGATAAGACTATATAATATACGAGTAAAGGCCTATGAATTAAATTCATAATCATTTTTTTAATTAGGGCTATCGAGTAAGTAGGTGAGCGATATTTGAATTCCTTGCACTTTAATAATTATAGAACTAAATTAAATAATTCTTTTTTTTCTGAAAGTTCATGTTTTTTTCTACAATTTAAAAAAAAAATCTTAAAATTTTAATAGAAAATAAAAAAGTTATTCTAAAATCAAATAATGTGTACCTGATTAGGGCTGTCCGACTGTCGAGCGAACTTTGGTGAGCGATATTTGAATTCCTTGCGCTTTAATAATTATAAGACTAAATTTCAAAATTCTTAAAAATTCGGAAAGCACAAACAGCGTTTCAAAATTTTAAAAAAAAAATTCCAAAATTTTAATAGAAAATAAAAAAGTTATTCTATATGTTAATAATGTACACCTATTTTTTTGATGAGGGAGGCGCGCTCGCGCGGGAGGGCGAGATTTTGATGGTTGCGGACGCTAATTTATTTACCCGCGATGAGTTAGCCGGTCTAGCCAAAAAGCGTAGAGGACCCGAATTTATGATTGGCTGCATATACAAATTCAAGCTCAGCTCTATCTTATTCTATTATATATACTAATTATATATAAAAGACTTTAAAACTTTATTAATTTATATTTATCTACTCAAGCCGGTTTTTAATATTTGGCCACCTTACTACTTTGAGAATGCCTCGGCTACCGACTAGTCCGGATTCTTCTCCATCAAGGCTTCGAATTGCATTGAGATCTCCGGCACGTATCCAGCCTAGGAAAAGATCCTGGGCTTCAAGAGCGTATCCACCACCCTGTTTCATAGTATCGGACTGTCTGTACTGAATTATGACGTTGTCATTGAGTTGGGGACGGCGGTGCGCGAGAGGAAAGTTATTTGGAGCGTCTGAGAGTGTATTTAGTTCTGAATAGCTTCATAATTTCCGAATCGAGACACTTACAGATGAAATGGACAGTGATGGTATTCTCGGTCATGACTTGCAGGATATAGAGTGAGGATTGTATGTAGAACAGGTGTGTGTGGGGCTTGAAAGTGTGCCGAGGCGTTTTCAAAGTAGTAAGGTGGCTAAATATTAAAAACCGACTTGAGTATTAATAAGATAATAAACGAGTTAGCTAATATTTATATAAATTTAAATTAATATAATAACGTTATATATAAGTTTAATACTTTATAATAGAAAACTCGAGTCTTTATTAACTTATATTTAAACTTTATTCGAGTAAGATCTATTCTTAGTATTAAGAAAACTTTTCTATTAAAAAATTATTTTTCTTAGAAACTAAGAAAGAGCTTAAATAAGATATAAGATATTTAAAAAGAATTTATTAAGTTATATATCGTTTATCTTACTTATTCTATTTACGATAAATTTAAATAGAGAATTATATTTTTATATAAACTATTAAAAATTAAATATTATTATTAAAAAAAATTAATATCTAATCTTATTAAAAGATAAGACTTTAGTAAAGATTTAAAAATATAAATATCTAAGTTAATAAGAACTTAACTCTTTGTCAGGACCAGCATAGAGGCATATTATATGGGTGAGGTAGAATAGGATAATAAGGCTACCGAACTATGTATGTGGGAAGGAGGCATGATATGGTAGGGGATGCCTCCGCCAAGGCACTAGGCCATAGGGCTGAGTGGTGTGTCAAGGGTACGCTCGTAACAGTACTCCCCCCTCTCAAAGAGCCATGGCCCCCATGGCTGGTAGACCGGAGATGCAGGCCCATTGCTTGCCTTGTATCTCCAAACATCCATAGTCCGTGTAGGCCTTGGCTGGAGATGATTGAGATCCCGGAGATGTAGCCACATCTTGCCTGCGTATCGGCAAGATTCTCCAAGTTCTTCTCCCGTCCAGCCTGCCTGCCATAGGCCTTCGAAAGAACTAAATAATTCCATCGCATGCATATGTGTTGTGCTCGCTGAAAAATCCATAAATCCATAAAAACAAAGAACTTTTGGTGTTAGTATGCCAGGCCAAATTAGTACCTTTCTCCGGCGGCGACGGCGGCAGCAATATCGCGTCCCGGAGATTCCGCTAGCGCGTCGTCGATAGCACTTTATTATAGCGTCAAGGGGCTCCCAATTTGATGAGAATCCATGAAGAATTGAATGGATAATGACCGAAAAAGGATTTGCTATGCAATGGCCACCTGATATGGCGGAGAAGAAATCGATGAAATGATGCAATCTGATTGGTCGATGCCTCCCGAACCGAACCGAGCCGCAGGCGCTAAAACTTTAAATCCAATATCAAGTGGATTTGGTGTGAGCCTCTCCATGGAATGCCACATAGCCGATATCGATCGAGGCTACCAACGGCGACAGTGAGGTCCATAGGTGACGCACCATGGCTTCGGAAGACCTTGAGACACATGACAACAAGGGGAGCCTGGTTGGTGGGCCTGACATGAGGTTATTGTTCAGCAACATGAGTCTGAGGAATCGATTTGCGAATGTGAAAAAATGAGGCCTTTCTGAAGACATCGGATGGTTTCAATTCGTTCAAAAACACGATGTCCGAGGATTTGCCGGTGCCCATGCTGATTTCGACTGCATTTGCAGGGCTGCTGCGTCCTTGACTGCATTCGCCTGCTGCGTTCTCATGACCATATCGTTCGTAGGTCTGATGCGTCCACATGGCCCATGCAGGCCTGGTGCGTCCGGCCTATCGCCTATATTCCTCTGGATCAGGGCGAGGAATAATAGCATATTTGCCACGTGGTTTGCTTGCATCTTCGAGTCTCGCCTTGGCATACTGTTTAGCAAATACCTTTGCTTTCTTGTCTGCCAGCCGTTCGGCATACATCAGATCACGGTATTCTAACATAATGAGGTGTTCCTTCAGGTCTGGCAATGTCCACTTTCTTCCGTACATAGCATATTCGTCCAGGAGACGGAGGTTTGCCCTGTTCCTCAAGTCGATTATGAGATCTGGCTGAATGACATTGATCTGATATTCTTTATCGCCATACTCCTGCATGTACGCGGCATGTTTCATGAACTCTGTGTAATACTCGGAAAATGACTGACTATCACGTCTTCTGAAGGTTGAATAGTCATAAACATTCCTTTGTCGAATAACGTCTGCTGGAGTCTCATAAAGATCACTTAGTTGATCCAGGAGGTCGTCGACTGAGAGATAAGGATTTTTTGTAGTCTTTCGGCGTCTAGGTACCGTGTGCTCGACAGTCTTCCCTCCAAGGCGTGATACGACGTAGTTTATCTGAAAAGCGTGGGTAGGATAGTGATCTTTGTTGAGGCTGATTTTGTCCATGATTCTCATTTTCCAGTCCTCAAATTTGGATCTGTCACCGTTGAACATAGGTGGATCCGGTAGCCTCGGGCTAAGTGGCTGTCTGACTGGCTGTGGCGAGATTGGTCGATGTCGATTTGCTCTGAGTGCCTCGAAATCTCGTGACTTGGGTGGAGGTGGGGATAGGGGTGGAAGGGCAGAGACGCTAGCCGAGTTTTAGCCCTGCGTCTCCTCTCGCTGTCCTGGTATCTCCTCTTGGTTGATGTGGAATCGCTGGTAAAGATCCTCAGCAGATAGAGATCGCTGCACACGTGGCATACGAAGTCGTGGCGAATGTGGAGGTGAATATCTCGCATGTAGGTCTTCGTATGTGAGATATGGCTGGCCACGGTGTGTAGGAGATCGTGGTCTAGAGGAGGAGGAAGTGTTCTCATAACGACGGTGTGGAGGGCGATATCTTGGTGTTGATGTAGGTGGATTTGAGGAATTCATGATGTGTTGAATGTAGGTAAGAACGGAGCGGAGAAGATAGGCGTAAAAATGGCGATTTTGGCTGGGCTTCCCCGTCGAGGGTTACTGCAAATATCGATAGAATGGAGAGATCTCTGTGTTGAGTGTTGATATTTGGCTGTGACGCCCGAAATACTCGTTTCTTGACCGATGAAGTCGTCGTAAAGACTATGAGTACTCTGAATGGTGTCCTTTCGAATGGTAGGAAGTCCGCCGGGGGTCTGTTGGCCGGTGATAGATTTTTTGCGGGGAACGGAGCGGAGAAGAATTTCTTGTATTCGATGTAGGGAACTCGTTTTTTGATGGATTGGGCTACCGTTGATGGTGTAGATTGTTTGATGTAGGTTCTTTCGAATGATGTAGGTGTCTGATGATTTGAATGTGTGGTGGGGTTTCTGTATGGTAGAAATACCCAGCGTTTTCTTTATCAGGCTCGGTCGCTTGCTCCGAGCAGAAAGTGAAAAACCCGTCAATTCTCTTCGCCGGGGGGTGTACGAAGGAGCCTTATTATAATGTCAGGACCAGCATAGAGGCATATCATATGGGTGAGGTAGAATAGGATAATAAGGCTACCGAACTATGTATGTGGGAAGGAGGCATGATATGGTAGGGGATGCCTCCGCCAAGGCACTAGGCCATAGGGCTGAGTGGTGTGTCAAGGGTACGCTCGTAACACTCTTATTAAATATAATTCTTAGATCTATAATAAGAAACTATTAATAATTATTTATTATCTAGAATATTAATATCTTAAATTAAAATATATAAATGTTTCTATTAAAATCTTTATCGATTATAAAAATCTAGATATTTTATTAAAAGAAGAAATCTTAATCGATATTAAACTCGATATTTAAATATATTATTAAAATTTAATATAAAGATTATTTATTAATTTAGATCTTAAAATATTAAGATAAATATATTTATATATATAACTAGATATAAATTGATTAATTTTAAAAATTAATAATTACTCTAATAATATTAAACGATCTTTATTTTTAATTAATAGAAATTAAATAATAAAGATCTCGTTATATTTATAATTAATAATCTTATCTTTTATAAAGTAGTAGAGGCTAATAAGAAAGATAACTGCTATATAAATATTTATAAGACTATCGTTAAAGATAAGAATAAGTTTAAAGAAATTACTCTTAGTAAATAATTTATATAATACGATATAGTTTATTATAAGAATTATTTATAGATATCTAATAATATATATATTAATATTATTTATAAAGTATACGATTAATTATTCTACGACTATCTTAAGATAATATATATCTATAAACTATTTAATAGAAAATACTATTAGCCAGATATAAGAATAAAGATAACTATCTACGTTTAGAATTACTATATATATTAAAAGATTAGAATATCTTATAATTAAAAGTATAATTTACTTTAGTCTTTATTAATTTTATAGAAATAATAATAAGATATAGTAGTTAATTTTATAGTAGATTTATCTTTATTTAATAGCTATAATACTATCTAGATAATAATCGATTAATCTATAAAGAAACGTTACTATATAATCTATTTCGATATTAATAGAGATACTATCGATAAAAAATAATTAATCGCAACAGTGGGACTGTGGGTTAGTGGGTCCATTATGAGGCCATAGCGTTGGTGGCTTTTGATCAGCCGTCCCATTACTATGCGATATCCGATATGCGATATCCGATATGCGATATGCGGGAGACAGGGGGACATGGCGAGTACTATTTGTATGGCCGCTGCACCTATAGTGGGCTCTTCATTCGAATTATTCTCCTTAGAGCTATATCATTGTTCTCTCTCCCACTCACACCTATATATAGCTATAGCTTTATTTTCACTTCAGGGTATGTCGCTTAGATATGGGAGTTTTCTAGCGCTGAGGGGCCTTTTTTTGGATTATTTGTATGTCCAAAAAGGTCTTAGCTACCCCAGTGTTGGATATGCCCAATCATCTATCTACATATCTACTTGTGCATACGTTATTTTATATATGACCTCACTGTTTGCGAGCACTAATTTATTATTTATAAAAGTATTTTATTTATACGACTTATTAATATTAATAATATCGAATTAGAGTTCTTAATTTATAGCTATTATATATGAATCTTTTTATAAATAACTCGATATTACGACTAAGTTATTATTAATCTTTTATTCTAAAATTAATAGATAAATTAAGCGAGTAAATTAGAATATAAGACGTTATTTTTAAATATATTATAATTATATATAAGACGATTAAATAAGATAATTATTAATTATTAAGTTTATTAATAATAATATTACTTTAATAATTATTAATATCTTATCTTTTCTCGCGAATAAGAGATTTTTTTAAGTTCTTTAAATAAATTTTAATCTAAATATTATTAATTATAAGATTACTTATAAATATCTCGATTAGATAAGATAGATTAAGAATAATAAGACTATCGAACTATATAGGTGGGAAGAAGATATAATATCACCTCGTGAGGTAGTAAGTCACATCCTCGGGCACTAAGCCCTATAGGACTATATAGACAAAAAAGTAGCATTTCATTATTCTTCGGCTTCCACTACTGTTAACTATAATATCCACACAATTCTATATAAACGTCTTTCTACACTATACGCGTCGACGAGTATAAGATTAAGGGACTCTCGGACGATATCAAGTGGACTAAAGACCAGAAAGCGGCCTATGGGAAGCGTTCGCTACTAGAAGCGATTAATTGTAGGCCAAATGTAGGCCAAAGGTCATGATATTGAATGTTTTTCCCCGGGCTAAATGGGTTATCTCTGATTTAGATTATTTGCATGGAGGATTAGAATAGGTTGCTATAGTGGTACCTAAATTTGTAGATAAATTGCTTTATTTGTTATGTATCTATGTAGCTATATAATAAGATCATCTCCGTTCGCTTAGCTGACCCTTAGTGTGAGAATCGAGGAGTAGCGTCGGAAGTCGGTATTTATGTAGGATTTATACTATATTAGGCTTAGTGCCCGAGGGTATAACTTACTACCTCACGAGGTGATAGTAGAAGATTTATATTTAATATAATTAGTATATATAAAAGAATAAGATAGAGCTAAGCTTGTAAATCTTGAATTTATATATGTAGCCAATTATAAATTTAGAGTTACTACGCTCTTTAATTAAATCAACTAAGTTATCGCGAATAATAAATTAGCGTTTATAATTATCAAAAAAATGTAGTCGAATAGCCCTAATTAAAAAACAGGTGCACATTATTTGATTTTAGAATAACTTTTTTATTTTCTATTAAAATTTTAAGATTTCTTTTTTAAATTATAGAATAAAATATAGGCTTTTAGATAAAAAGAATTCTTAAATTTAGTCTTATAATTATTAAAGTGCAAGGAATTCAAATATCGCTTATTAAAGTTCGCTCACCTATTTACTCGATAGCCCTAATTAAAAAAAAAATTATGAATTTAATTTATAGGTCTTTACTCGTTTAATTATAAAAAGATTAACTAGTTTAAAAATTAAAAATTATAAATAATTAAATATAATAGATATATTTTTAATAATAAATAAAGAGAATAAGTAATTAATAAACTATTATAATAAATAGATAAAATAATAAATTTATTAACTATTGAATTAAAATTATTTAAAATTATAGATTTATAAAGAGAAGAAGAGACTAGATTAACTACTATTAAGTGTTTTTATATAATTCTCTTTAAATTCTTCTTAAACTCTTTATTATTTTAAGTTAAAACTCGTTAGCTTTTAAACGACTATTAATTTAATTAAAAGAACTATACGTTTATTAAATAAAAGCTGTACGCGTAATAGCTATCTATTTTGAATAATAGTATCTCATAGATAGGTTAATAGCAATGTGATAGTAAAGTAGTAAGAAGGTGTCTATAGCAAGATGCGTGGGCATGCTACTATATGCTTGACTCATCGTTTCTAATATCGTAGCGAAGACAATCTAACGTACAACGACCATGTGTGGCATTTTCTCCCTCCAATTCGGCCCTTCTACTACCCGGTCATATTATCAGCAGAGAGCAAGAGCTTCCTTGATATGCCCCGTTCTTTTTCCACAATCTTCACAACCACTAAGCGCCACGATGTATTCTTCTAGCGCAGAGTGGAACTCACTTGCCAGCATTTCACTTTCGCGTCTCATTTGCACCATCCCGACCTCCGCGCCTTCGATCTTGTTTAAATATACTTTTAAGCCCTCCAGACTGTCGCCTGGGAGTTGTGACCCTGTTGTGGGAGACATATCCAGGGCTTCGCGAAGGTGTTGGTCAGCTCTCCTACATGCGGTGGCGGCTGCCTGGTATTTCAACTTGGCGTTGTTTAGAGTAGATTCTAGGTCTTGAACTTTGATCTCAGATGCCGTGAGAGCGAGCTGTAGGTGTTCTTCTATCGACATAGTTTCGTTGCTAGGGACTTCGGCTCGGAGCCGTCTGGAGCCCATTCTTTGTACCGTGGCACGTAGTCCGTTGAATTCACTATTGAAGCTGTCGTCGCTAAGGTGATCGCTTAGGTTCGGTTGTCTTAACCGAGGGGTTGTAATGAGAAGGGAGTCGTCGTCAGACTGATCGCTTAGGTCCGGTTGCCTTGACCGAGTGTCTTCGATGGAAGGGGAGTCGTTGTCAAAGTGATCACTTAGGTTTGGTTCTCTTGACCGAGGGTTCTCGATGGATGGGGAGTCCTCGTCAAAGTGGTGGCTCAGGTCCGGTTGCCTTGACCGTGGGTTTTCGAAGGAAGGGGAGTCCTCGTCAAAGTGATCACTTGGGTTTGGTTGCCTTGGCCGAGGGTTTTCAATGGGAGGATAAGAGTCGAGAGTTTTGCGTCTCTTCCTTGGTTGAGTCTCAGCGTAATTTGCTTGAAGATGCTTTGCTGTACGCTGGGGAAGCCGTTGAGGATTTGCGGGTTGCGTATCACTGGCATCGAGCGACGAGCTGGCGGTATCCTTGTTTTTGAGCTGCTGGAGGAAGGCTTTCAACTTTGCCTGAGTAGGCTTTGTGCCCCGGAGACCAGTAGATGCTTTGTACCGATCCTGCAGAGGGCCGTTAACGGCGAGATCCAACTGTTCTCTGATTTCGCGCGTCGGCTGGCCCTCGAGATACTGTACAAACTCTTCAATGGTAGACAAAGTGCCTACAGCCAGGGTTGTGATAGTCGCTGTGGACCACTGTTCGAAGATCTCGCCGATATCACAGCCTAGTTTCGCTTTAATGCGTGTCACAGCCCTTCTCTGTCGCTCCTCGGTGGTGTATGTTACAAATCGTCTATTGCAGAGATTGATACTGTCCAGCGTGGAGGGTTCGGAGATTTTGGCGGTCAAGTCTATGGACTGTCGCCGGTACAAGTCAGTACGATGCTACTGCTTCAGACAGTGCAATCTTATGACACGATTACGAACCTTTGAGTGCAGCCACGCGGTGGTGCCATAGAGCTGTCCTGATGTCTTACGGTCTTCTTCGTGAAGAGTCGTGAGTCTGGTCAAAGCAAATTCGATAGCTTGGGTGGCGTTCTGATGGTATCTCTCATTCAATCGATCATACTCTGGCTGCGCGATACTTCGCTCCGGATGTTCAAGCCTATCGAGTGAGCAGAAGTCGACGGAAGGAGCTTTTAAAGGTTGTTGCGCAGCCACCATCCCATCTACCGTAGATATTCGCTGCTGCTAGTGTGATACTGCTTCATATTGTTGTAGTGCTTATATTGAACGCGCTTCCGAAGTGCTGTAAGTAGCGACGGGAGAGCCAAACTGGAAATTCGGTGCAGTGTCAACTGTCAAGATTTTGTATTTTTAGCGTCGCAGCTTACTTGGAAAGAAGCAAGTGAGGCCGTGATTTGCTTCCAGAAGCACAGTCGTGATCTGAGCGAGCCGATGAGGGTATAGGTACTAAGGGACTCGTCTTCGGTGAAGGAATGACTTTGGTCACTGTGAAGTCTTCAGACTTCTGGAAACGAGTGATACCTTAGTTCGTAGGACGAATCATTCTTTAGTGTCTGCCGTCTGGAAGAAGTTAAGCCTCCTCATCCTAGCGCCATTGTGCCGGCATATCTTGGCTAGGACATTGATTTTCTCCGTTCCGTCGGCACATTTGTTACGAGCGTACCCTTAACACACCACTCAGCCCTATGGCCTAGTGCCTTGGCGGAGACATCTTCTACTATATTATACCTCCTTTCCATCTATATAGTTTAATAGTCTTATTATTCTTATTCTATCTCACTTATATTAATATTACATCTATACTAGTTCTAATAAATTTCTTAATTTATTTTAATTTATAATTAAAATATTTAGATTATATTAAGTAAATACTTAAAAGATTTAAGAGATTTAACTTATATATAAATCTAAAGAAATATAAATTCTTTATTACTAAAGTCGAATTCCTAGACTTTATAGTTTATAATATCTATTATTAACGTTTTAATAAATAAATATAAATAGAAATAATTCGAGATTAGTTAAAGTTTAAGATCTATTATAAAATATAGATCTTCTTAAAATTTATAAACTTCTATTAAAGATTTATTTATTATTATTCTTAGATTACTAAATCTCTAATAAAGTTATTAAAAGAAAGTATTAAGAATATTAAATATATATTTATATAATTATATAATATTTTTGTAGATATATTTATCTTATAATACTTTAATTTTAAAATTTTAATTTAAGTTAAGATAAACGTCTTAGAATTTATCTTAGCGAGTATTTTAATTTAACTTTAGATAAATAATAAGTAATAATATTTAATAATCTTTTATTTTAGAAAGATAATAGACTTAATAGTAATAGAGCGAAATTATAAAATTTATAATTAAAAACTTCTCGCTATTATAATAATATTTAAATATTAATATTACTAAATTTAAAAGAAAGTTTATATTTTATAAAAGTATTAACGAATTATAATAATTTAAAATACTTTATAGAATTATTTAATTTAAATAGTTATTATAGAGGTCTATATCGAAAGTCCTACACCTATACTAGTATAGCCCTAATTCTACTTTCGAAAAGCGACCCTATAGAGGGGAAGCCTAAAAATATCTTCTTATAGCGTATAATAGGACTTAAGATACTTCTTTTAGCCTTAATAGAGGCAGTAAGCCCCGAAACTTGACTAGGGCTAGGTGCGATTTCGAAGAACTTTAGACGTATTATTTAGGTAACTCTTTAGATAGGGCGTTATTCGAAGTCTGAGCGTAAGAGTCTTAGCGGGTATAGAACTTTCGGTATAGACCTCTATAAATTAGATAGATAATAAAGTTATTAATATTCGACTTTATTATTATATATAAATCTAATAAGATAAACTTATTAATATATTATTAAGATATCTTAATTATAAGAATAAGAATAAATTATTAAATCGATTTTTATCTATATTATAGTAAAAGCTATTAATAATAAAAAGTCTAATAAATTTTATTTTTATCTTTATCAGTATATATAATAGAATAAGATAGGGCTGAGCTTGGAAACCTTGAATTTATATGTGCAGCCAATTATAAATTCGTTAGGTCTACGTATTTTGGTTAGACACCGCGGGTAAACAAATTAGCGTCCGCAACTATTAAAATCTCTTATCCTATCTTTCACCCTTTAATAACTTTACTATTTTCTATTGAAATTTTTAGGGTTTTCTTTTAAATTATAGACCGCAATTTGCGCTTTTTAAATCTTAAATTTTTTTAAAATTTGATCTTATGATTCTTCAAAGGCAAGGAATTCAAATATCGCTCACCAAAGATCGTGTTAGCAGCAGCCCTACGGGGGATCTGCGACAGCCCTACGGCAGGTACGGGGGCCCTACGGGCAGGTATTTAGGTCTCACTCATCGAATTTTCTCGACAGCCCTAATTAAAAGAAATGATTATGAATTTAATTTATACGCCTTTACTCGTTATTATTAATATAATATATAAGTAAATTAGAAGTTATAAGAATACGAAGTATATCTCTAGCGAAGAATATTCTTTATTATTATATAGTCTAGACGAGTACGGAGGTCGATATTAAAAGTCCTGAACAGCGCTAAAATACTTGGCACTCTTAATATTCTTGGCACTTTCTATATAGTTATATTTATTTAACGATAATACTTTATATAATTACGTATATACTTATTAGCTCGCTCGACGAAGTCGTATAATTATATATTACCTCTCTTACGATCTTTTCTATACTTATTATTATCTTTAAGACGTATTATCTTCGTAATATATCTCGATATTTACTCTATTTACTTCTAAATTCTCTTTTAAATAAGCTTATAATTTTAATAATATAGCTATTATCTTTTAACTTTATTATAAATTCTTAATATATCTTTTTAAGTAGTATAGAGGTCTGCACCGAAAGTCCTGCACCCGCCAAGACTCTTGCGCTCAGACTTCGGATAACGCCCCACCTAAAGGGCTACCTGGGACAGTGCGTCTGGAGTTCTTCGGAATCGCACCTAGCCCTAGCCAGGTTTCGGGGCTTAATGCCCCTATCAAGCCAAAAGAAGTACCTAAAGTCCCATCCGTGCGCTGTGAGAAGATATTTCTAGGCTTCCCCTCTATAGGGCCGCTTTCCGGAAGTAGGGTTAGGGCTGCACTAGCGCATGTGCAGGACTTTCGGTGCAGACCTCTATATAACGTTTTATTTATAATTAATAAGACTTAGTAAATACTTAAATTCGAGTTTTATTATTATAATTAATACTTTAAGTATTAAATATATTAATAAAATATAATTAAAATAGAGAATAATAAGAAGATTTCTATTTATTATATTATATAAATAAGACTTATATATTAGAAGTCTTTATACTCTTTCTCTATTTCTTTACGCTATAATTAATACTTTAATATTATTACTATTATATATTCTATTAATATCGCTATTATATATATACTTCGCATATTTATACTTCGTATATATATACTACGTCGCTATTATATAGAGTACTAGTACTTATTAAAATAAAGAATAATAATACTATTCATGAAATTTGAAAGTATGCCAAGCACTCAGCCCTACCTGAACCCTTGTCTTGGCATGTTTAGGACTTTTAGTGCCGACCTCCGTAAAGGCCTATGAATTAAATTCATAATCATTTTTTTTGATTAGGGCTATCGAGTAAGTAGGTGAGCGATCTTTGATGAGCGAACTTTGGTGAAGCGATATTTGGTGAGCGATATTTGAATTCCTTGCGCTTTAATAATTATAAGACTAAATTTCAAAATTCTTAAAAATTCGGAAAGCACAAACAGCGCTTCAAAATTTAAAAAAAAAATCTCAAAATTTTAATAGAAAACAAAAAAGTTATTCCATGTGTCAATAATGTACACCTATTTTTTTGATGAGGGAGGCGCGCACTGCCAGGCTGGCTGTCAGAGGCTAAGTCAACAATGAAAGGATTTATAAACTTACTTTTACTTGTAGGAATATAGGTAATACTAATCGTACCAACTTTGTAATTGAAATAATCTTCTTGAAACCTCTTCTTGTTGAGTTCTCGTCGATAACTCGAAGCGCCAAGACTGCCACTTATTCTGACAGCCAGCCTGCTGCGCGGGTAGCGATGTGACCAAAAGCCTTGCAGTAATTACACTTTCAGTAATTACACGTGAAATTACTGCAAAGCAATTGGTCTGACGGTCACGCTAGTAGGGCACTAGTAGGTACTTAAAATTTGGCCTGGAATCCACCTGTTGAGAGGTACCATTTCCGTGTAATCTAGTCCTACTGAGGGTACTCTTGCGAGTCAAGAAATGAGGCTATACAGATCCGAGGTACGTGCAGGAGCCATGGGAGGTAAAGGCCCTCCAGACCGTATGGTCTCTTTGGCTATGTGTTCTGATAGGAGGCATGCTTGGTGGGAGGTCAATTGATGAAGAAACGGTAGGTTTTGAAGAATTTTCTCCGCAAGATATTGCTAAGACTATGGATTTGGCCAATCAGAAGGCCTACATTTGGATTACTAAGCGCATTTCACGAATTACATGCTGTAATGCTCTAGAGGCCTGACATACGGTAATTACTGTAAAGCATTTGCTTTGCATGTAATATCACATCGCTATGCGCGGGAGGGCGAGATTTTGATGGTTGCGGACGCTAATTTATTTACCCGCGATGAGTCAGCCGGTCTAGCCAAAAAGCGTACAGGACCCGAATTTATGATTGGCTGCACATACAAATTTAAGGTTTTCAAGCTCAGCTCTATCTTATTCTATTATATATATTAATAATACTCTCTAGATATTAATAAAATAAAAGAAGTAATCGCTTAAAGAGTAATATTTATAAGTTTAATAATGATAGCGATATAAAAGATATATTTAAATTTAATCTATTTTTTAAGACTTAGAGAATCTTAATTTGAAAATCTAGAGAGTTTAAGCGAAATATTTATTTATTATTATTATAATATAGTTAAAAAGTAGTTTAACTCTATTACTAAGACTATTAGTTATAAATAATTTATTCTATATTTAATCGTCTAGATAGCGATAACTAATAAAATAATATATAATTTAAATAATAAATTTATATTTAATAATAACGCGATAACGTAATATAGAATAAGTAAAAGAGAAATATCGAAGTTTAAATAATAGATAGCTAGAGATTATTAAAGTATAAGAATATATTATATATCTTTAAAGAGGTTTTTATTCGCGAAAAGCTATTAAGACTTTATTATAATAACTTCTAGCGAAATATTTTAAACGAGTTTTAAATCTAAGAGTTAAATTTATAGTCTATTTTTTTAATTAGAACTATCGAGTAAATTTAATAAGCGAACTTTAATAAGCGTTATTTGAAATCTTTATCTTTAGATAATTATAAGCTTAAATTCTAATATTTTAAACTATTAAAATATATAAGTTACGCTTTATAATTTATAAAAAAAATCGAAAGATTTTAATAGAAATTAAAAATAGCTATTTTAAATTTAAATAATATACTTATTTTTTCGATTAGAGCTATCGAGCGAACTTTAATAAGTAATATTTAAACTTCTTATCGTTTAATAATTATAAGATTAAATTTTATAATTCTTAAATTAGAAAATTTAATAGAAAATAGTAAAGTTACTAAAGGATTAAAAGTAGAGTAAGAGATTTTAATAGTTACGAATGCTAATTTATTTACTCGAGATATCTAATTAAAAAGCGTAGTAATTTTAAATTTATAAAGATAGATATAAAGTTATATATTAATATATATAACATCTATTAGCGAATAAAGATAAAAAGATATTACTCTTATAGTAAGTTAAATATACTTTCTTAATCTAGCGAACCTTAAAAAGAAATTATAATAAATTTTATTATCGATCTATCGCTAAGTAAGCGTAATAAATCAGTATATATAATAGAATAAGGTAGGGCTGAACTAGAAAACCTTGAATTTGTATGTGCAGCCAATCATCAATTCGTCAGGTCTACGCTTTTTGGTTAGACACCGCGGGTAAACAAATTAGCGTCCGCAACCATCAAAAAAATAGGTGTACGTTATTGACATATAGAATAACTTTTTTGTTTTCTATTAACTTTTTGAGATTTTAAATTTTAAATTTTGGAGCGCAGTCTGCGCTTTCCGAATTTTTAAGAATTTTGAAATTTCGTCTTATAATTATTAAAGCGCAAGGAATTCAAATATCGCTCACCAAAGTCCGCTCACCAAAATCCGCTCGACAGCCCTAATCAAAAAACAGGTGTACATTATTTGATTTTAGAATAACTTTTTTGTTTTCTATTAAAATTTTAGAATTTTTGGTTTAAACTATAGAGTATAATGTGGGCTTTTAGAAAAAAAAGAATTACTAAATTTAATCTTATAGATATTTAAAGGTAACGAATTTAGATATCGCTTACCAAATATCGCTTACCAAAATTTACTCGACAGCCCCGATCAAAAAAAAATGATTATGAATTTAATTCATAGGCCTTTACTCGTATATTTATAATATAATATTTATTATAATAAATTAATATATATAGATAATAAGATAGACTAATAATTTTAAAAATAACTCGAAGAATTATAAATAGTAAGATTTAATATACTCGAAGATATAGTAATAATAAATATATATAAAAAATTATAAATTTAAAGATTTAATATAGTTATTAAAAATAATTACTAATAACTTCGAATTTATAATTAACTATATATATGAATTCAAGATTTTTAAGCTTATTTCTATTCTATTCTTTTATATATATTAATTATAGATAGTAGATAAACTTAGTAATATAATTTAAAAGAATAATTTAAAATAAAAAAGATAATAATTTAATAGACTAATTATATAGAATAATACTTAGCGTCGTCGATTACTTATAAATTAAATTACTATATTATATTATAAAATAGTAATTTAAATATATAGTTATCTAATTAGATTTTTATATTATAAATTTAAGAAATATTATCTCTAATTACGTTAATAGATTTTTAAGTTAAGAGAGATTTCTTCGAAATATAATCCTTTAAAATTCTCGAAAGTTTATTTATTAGATAATTACGTATAATATTCTTTAAAGTAATTTACTTTCTTATCTTATTAAGTAAAGTCGTAGAGCTATAAGACTATTCCCGCTTTAAATTATTTTATTAAATCACATTGCTAAACCTGTCTAGTACTACGCTTCTTTTTGCAAGGTCTCCTCCAGCCTCTGTAGCTCCTATATCTTCTGCAAAAGGGCCTCGAAGCCTACTACAATCTCTGCTCCCTGATCCTATATCATCCTCCGTTGCTTGTACAGTTCCAGCGCTTTTTGTTTCTCCTTCCTCTTTAGCTCTATATCGCGTATTAATTCTTCAGTACGCCTGTCCTGTGCATCAGCACAGTCCTTGCGCTTCTTTACGTCGATGAATGATGGCGGGTTGGATGACTGAGGGTGAGTTTCGAACTCCTCGGCAACCCTTCTGATAGCGGTCTGGTGCTCGGACTCTTTTAACAAATTCGCTTTCCATTCCTTTTGGAGCTCTGTTTGACGCCCCAGGATCATAGCGTTCAATTGGTCAATGGTTTTGCGAAGGTCATTCTCAAGATCCTGATGGTATGTACCTTGCCAGTCCGACATTGTCTGGGGAGAGGAGTCGTATGTGGCGTCGGTCTCAGGGAAGGAGACGAAAGGGACAGTGCTAGACTGACGGCTGCTCGGAGGTGCGATTAACTCATCGGTACCGGTCGTCATTTCATAGCCGGCCAATCGATCAAAGTGACGGTCTTTAGGAGCCTTCTCCAAGTCACTGGTGACAAGCCGATGTGTGGGATATTGAGTGTCAGGGTCCTCGCCCTCGACCAAATCCAAAGGGCTATCGCATTCGCCCAGACCGGTCACATTATCCCAGTGACCGTGCGCACCTGTGTTCTCGTCGTCCTCATCGAATGATCCGCAAGTTAGATGTCGATCGGGTGAACGGTCCGATAGTGTAGTTACCGCGTAGCGGCCCCGCTCTGGAGAGGGCGATTCGTGGGAGGGCGAGTCGTGGGTGGAAGTACACTGTCTCTTGCTTACTGGGGTTCACGGTGACGAAGAAGTCTGACGTTTTTGCCTCAAAAAACGTTGGAGGCGGGGATTGACTTCTCGCGCGTTGCTGTCAATGGGCGTACGAGTTGAGGTGGTCTGTAGTTGGTGGCAGAGTGCTAGAATTAGAGTCTGACTAGGCTTCTCACCCAGCTGGTCAGTGGTGATACCCGGACCATTTACTGCTGTGTTGAGAGCGATTGAAACCTCGTCGGGTGTCAAATGTGGGGAGAGTGCGACGGCACGTTCAATAGCGGCAAGCGTACCAACCGCCAGCTGTGAATGATCTGAGGGCCCTTCGGGCGTCCAGCAATTGAAGACGTCCGCAAGAGGTCTCTGAAGCGACTTCTCAATTCGGTCGAGATGGTTCCTTTTCCTGTCTTCAGTCTTGTAAGCCTTCTTGGCTTCTTTTGCGGAGGCAATCAGACGCTTGTTGCTGTCGTTGATAGCTTGTAGTGTGGAGTCGGGGCAGACGGAGGAGATATCGAGACCCTTAATCACGAGTTGTAAGTTAACTGATGGCGTAGTCCGTAGTAAGGTAGTAATGTGACGTACCTTTGCCTGAAGCCAAGCAGTCGCGGCGAATACTTTTGAAGGTGCGTATAAAAGCTGTTCGCTTAGGAAGTCGACGATAAAAGCTGAATCACATATTTGGGATCGAGTTCGGCGCTGCTGCGAGCCAGATGGGAGGGTATTTTCCAGGTGCTGGAAGACGTTGTGTACAATCCCACCTGCTTCGTGTGCGTCAATGACAGCTTCGACGTGGCAGGGAATTAGTTCTATAGGCATTGGCGGAAGATCTTCATCATCGATGTAGAAGCCATAGATAATGTCCGTCTAGCATTTACTGAAGAGCAAAGATCTGAAGTGAAAATTGGAAGTGAAAACGGAAGGCGCATTGTTTTCGGGCAACTTATAGTAGAGAGACCATTCGAAGAGGGTAATATCGTGGAGTAATCTGCGCGATAGAATATTACAACCTAATAAGAACGTCGTTATAGAGCATTAGGGCCAGCGTCGTTGTATAGCCGATATAAAATGTAGTTGTTGAAAGAGATGTAGAGAGTCCAACTCTGAAGCTATCCCTCAGCTTAGACCCTGCCAAGCTGGCCAAGCTCACCCCTACGGCGCTAAGCCCTTTTCAATCCTGCATGTGCAGAAACATTCCTTATAACGCGCCCGGAACCCTAGAGACCCCCAGCCGCCGCCGTGAGGGCGAGCGTAATAGAAAGGCAAACGGCAGCAGAGTCAGCACCGCCTCCATACGGCGCTGAGAGGCAATTCGGCCTCCGTGCCCCGGGAGCCTCCGTATTTGTTCCCCTATTGCCGAGACGCAGGAGGCTGAGAATTCTCTCTTACAACTGCTATAGATTAAAGGACCTGGTCATGGCAGACTTGCTTCGCAACTCCAAAGTGTGCGACTACGATCTAATCGCTATTTAGCGTATTCAAAAACGTCTGGAATGCTTGGCACCGGAGATCTTTTCACACCACACACCCAAATTCGTACTGTAGCATAGAAATCTCACAGCAAAATCATTCAAATCAAGTGCAAACAGTCGCATCTAATCAATTTTGAAGCTATACAAATCTCAGCTATATCTTCTAAACGCACCAATAACGCTTAATTACTTGCGAAGGCTTTTGATAGAAATAAAGAAGATGCTTAGCCTTCGCCTGAGTAGAAGTACTAAGGGAAAGAGGCATAGCGATTAAGAGGCTAAGGAACATATCAAGACTTCAGTATAACTTCATCTTTTTCATCTGGGACCTATACTAACGATAGCAGTGTTATTAAATGATTTTTCGGAGAGATTTCTATGCTACAGTACGAATTTGGGTGTGTGGTGTGAAAAGATCTCCGGTGCCAAGCATTCCAGACGTTTTTGAATACGCTAATTCCGTCAGCAATTTTAAAGTTTTGTCCACCTTTTACGCAAGGGTGCGTCTGAACTACTCACATAAGCCAGCATCTAAATCTCCGTTGATATTTCATCCATCTCCAACGCAAGCACAACGCTTACGCTGTTTGTCGGGATAGTCGCTATTCTCACATGAAACTTTAAGGATCTCATCAACTTAGTCTCGGACCATTATCAGGATTGGGTTGACATCGGCAGCCGGCGTGGTGGAGTTTATATCCGAGCCAGATGCCGAGCTTCAGATCTTCGCACTGAGGAAATTGAACGAAGAGATCGACTTACTATGGACAGAAGTCGTTGGATCCGTGGGCGATTGGATCCGTGGGCGAGGTCGAGGCTTTATACGAGGATCCTCAGTTTCCAGAGTGGGAACTGGCCGCTCTTGTCGCGGCGAAAGTCTACTACAACCTCCAGGAATATAATGAGAGCATGGTACTTGCCCTCGGAGCCGGCAAGCTATTCGACCTAGACCACGAGGGTGAACTCGAGGATACTATCGTATCTAAATGCGTGGATACCTACATCGCTCTCTCTGATGCAGCTCTCACAAGCGATGTAAATCAGCCAACTCAGCTCAACACTGCCTTTCCTTCGACAGCAAATGGAGCCACAAGTACATCAGCTTGTCTCGCTTCCCCTACGATGCCATTCTCACAGGCAACCCTCCCGTCGAAGTCCCTATTTTCACGCCAAGACAGTACAAATACGTTCGATCCGGCGGGTGCCCCGCCCCCACGACCGCTCTACCTCCGTCATTCGCACAGCAACGAGGGATCCAGAAACCTTTGCAAGCGGTAATAGACCAGTTGTTCGAGCGATGTTTCCGGGACAGGCGTTATCGCCCAATGGTAGGAGCCGCGGTAGAAGCACGCGAGTTCGATGTCATTCGACGGGCTGTACTCCGTGCGAGCGACGATGAGAAGGGCAACAAGCCGGCCAAGGATGGCATTGGACAAGTTGACGAGCTGCTGGAGTATCTACTGGGTATCTGTATGGACGTAGTCCAGGAGCGCGGATTGCGCCAGGAGGTAGGAAGCTCACCTTTCCTTCGTCAGATTTAAGGCCACATTTCCTAGCTAACATCGGGTTTTCAATCAAGCTACTGCGTCTCATCCTCTGTCTACTACGATGTTCCTCTCCAGATGTCTTTTCGATAGCAAAATGCATCGTTTATCTAAATGAGCATTCGATGGCATCGAAGCTACTGGCTGTGGAAATATGAGGTAAGACACTTAGTTTTTAACTATAGAGTTACTATGAAGGAAAGAGCGACTAGATACGGACACGCTAAGGCGTGTCACGTGACCAAGTCACGTGACCGCCAAGACGCCAAGAGTCACGTGATCCGAATTTCAACACTCCCCTTCGCACGTATCCTCTCATAAGCGAAACCCAGTGGACACGAAGTTCAACGCTGACGGGGTCCAAAACCGGGTAGCCAAGGTGAGTTAGTGCCGGGTAGCTAGCGTGAAAAGCACACCCCCCCCACCCCTACCCCCCCCCTGCGGACGAGATTGAAAAACACGAGATTCAAAGTTCGCGACGTCCAAAACAGGGTAGGTAAAGTGAAAAGTCGAAATCTGAAAACGACTATGTCAGACCAGGCCCCTACCAAAATTCGACCCAAATTCCACTTTTTGTCAAAAAGCGGTTTTTTGGAAATTTTATTTCCAGGCCATCTGGTGCACACCAAAAATCGATCGATTCGAGGCCGGAGGATATTTGTGGGGGTGACTGAATGGAATGATTGGAAGAAATCCTCCTAGCTGTATATCGCCGGCTGCAAGGTCTCTGCGGGGCCGTTTTAGGTAACTGGTCCTTGGCAATAGTGGCTGCGGCAGCGGCAATTTAGAGGTGCAATATCCGAGGCATTGGTGACGAATAGGTATGGGTCCCCCGAAAGAGCCCTAGAAGTTTGGTAGCGATAGCGGCAATAGCGCTGAAGAAATAGCTGTTCCGATATAAAATGGCGAGTCCGCAGAGTGCCAAGTCTGATATGGCGGCTCGGCGGGCGGCTCGGGTAGATCACCCGTAGTATAGGGACTAATAAAATGGCTCCCCTGGAGTAGTCGGTAGCAGGCGGCTCCCCTGGATCCAGGTGGCTCCCCTGCAAAATGAGGCTATACTGAGGTAGCAGTGAGATTAGCGGCTGCCGGGGGGTGAGTAGGTGCAGCTTCCACCCCAAGGGCGTCCCGAAAAGCAACGAATTTGTCCAAGCAAAGGGCCTTGGTAAGCCCATCGGCTACCTGTTTATCAGTGGGAACATACCGCATGTCCACAGTGCCATCATTGACCTTTTCGCGCACGAAATGGTGGGCAATGTCAATGTGTTTGGTGCGAGCATGGAACTGAGCGTTCTTTGCGAGGGCGATTGCGCCCTGATTGTCACCGAAAATGACGGTGGCTTTGGGGTCCACATCGTCGGGGCGAAGGAGTTGATTAAGCAGGTTCTTCAGCCAGATCGCTTCTTTGGTAGCCTGCGTCTGACCGATATACTCTGCCTCACAAGTGGACAATGCCACGGTGGCTTGACGCTTAGATGACCAACTGATCGCGCCGCTCCCCACATTGAAGAGGTAGCCAGATGTAGACCTTCGGGTCGTGTCGCCAGCCCAATCAGAATCGGTGTAACCGGTGAGTTCTTGAAGGGAGCCTTTGTACACGAGTTCGTAGTGAACTGTGCCCCTCAGGTACCGGAAGATTCGAATAACCGCATTCCAGTGTGCTGGAGTCGGGTTGGCTGAGTAGCGGCTGACCAATGATACCGCGTAGGCGATGTCGGGACGGGTGCCGAGCATGGCATACATGAGAGATCCGACCGCGGATTGGTAGTCCTCTTGCAATTTCCTTGGGGCGACATAGCCCTCTTCGGCGGGAGCCAGTTTGCGGCTGGTTTCGAGGGGCGTCGATGCCGGGGTGAGGTTCCAACAGTTGAAATGGTTCAAGAACCGAGTGACGTAGGCCTCTTGTCCCAGGCGAAGGACACCGCTACGGCGATCCCTCTTGACAGTCATACCCAAGTAGTAGGCACATGGTCCCAAGTCCGACATATGAAACTTCGCGTTGAGACCCTTCTTGATCCGCTGAATCCCGGCTTTACTGGGGCCGGTGATCAAGACATCGTCGACATAGAGCGCCACAATAGTACCCTCCTTGGGGTCCATGAACACGCTGTCGTCCGATTCGATAGGGAGGAGGCCCAGCTCCTTCATGTACTCCGAGAAATGCTGATACCAGACTCGAGGGGACTGCTTCAGGCCATAGAGTGCCTTATTGAGCTTACAGACCTTGGTACCGTCTTTGCTGAAGCCATCGGGTTGGCGCACGTAAATCTCTTCCTTCACGTTGCCGTACAGAAAGGCAGTTTTGACGTCCATTTGCTCCAGGTCCCAATCCAGGGCGGCCGCAAGCGCGAAGATCGCCTTGTAGCTCATGGGCTTTACCACCGACGCGAAAGTGTCATGGTAGTCACGGCCCTCCTGCTGTTCGAATCCTCGGACAACCCAGCGTGCCTTGTAGCGGGTGATTTCCCCATCGGGGCCCCGTTTCAAGGTGTAGACCCATCTGCCTCTTAGGACATGAGCTCCGGGAGGCGCCTGGATAAGGCATTAAGTGTTGTTGTTCATAAGAGATTTGTACTTATCCTTCATGGAAAGTTCCTAATTTATTCGGGACAGCTGGTTAGATATGGCCTGCTCGTAAGTGGTAGGCTCGAAAACATCCGGCTTATTGGTATGGTCAGCAAGCAGGGCGAATGCCGCAAAGGCCCCCGAAAGAGGGTTAGGGGATAGGTCCCGTAGATCCGGAACTGTGAGATCCGGGTGATCGTGTAGCACCCTTTGAATAGCGCTTAACTTACGGTCTTCGCGGATAGCTTGTATAACTTCGATAATAGTGGATGGTGAATCTGAGCCTGAGGAAATTTCCCGCATAGGTGGCGTAGGTCGAACTACCGGTGTAGGTGCAGGTGCAGTATTTGATCGAGTAGCCCGTATTGGGGGCGCTTGAGCTGAGGGCTCTCGCGTAGTTGATTGGGTTCGCCGTATTGGAGGCTCTTGCGTAGGTCTCCGCGAAGGCGCTTTCTTATTAGCTGGTCAGGGGAAATTTGGCCTTGGCCTTATAGGTGCTGGAGGTCTTGAAGCCGCCGAAGGTTTAGTGGCTGTTTTAGTTATAGGTGCAACGTCTTTAGGTTTAACGTCTTCCGAAATGTTAGTGATACGCTGCTTATTCAGTGCCTCCCCTGCAGCGGATGCTGGTACTGTCAGACGTTGCCGTTTGTTCGAGGGCTCGTGGGCCTCGGTTTCTTCTTCCGGGTCTACGACTAGGGGCCGTTTTTTTACGAAGTGTACGCTATTAGCGCGAACAACTATCTTCTTGGTGAGATTGTACAGCCGGAAGATGTGCTCCCCTTCGTACCCCAGCAGTACACACTTTTCGCTTCGATCCACAAGCTTCTTCTGAATTCGTTTTATCGCGTAAGCGATGAAACCGACTATGCGCAAGTGGGAAAGAATAGGCTTTCGTTGATAGAAGGCCTCGAAAGGGGTTGCGATGGTCCTGACGTTAGGCGATCGCATCGTTAAATAGTTAGCGGTGGCAACGATTTCAGGCTAAAAGGATTTGTTAAGGTTGAAGCTTAACAGGATGGGATGCATCTTATGTAGCAGGGTTTGCCTAAAACGCTTAGCCGCACCGTTTATCTGGGGGTTACCAGGGACGATAGATTCCTATTTGATATTCGACAGAGCGAGATAGTTAAGAAAGGCTTTAAACATGTACTCGCCTCTATTATCGAGGCGAATACGAGAGATCTTATAGCTATACGACTTAAGACGGGTTTTAAATCGTAAGAATATAGTAAAGGTCTTACTCTTATAGCGGATGCAGTAGACTTTAGAGTAGAAGGTGAAATCATCCTTGAATGTCACAAAGTATTTATAGCTATTGAAATTAGTAGGGGACAGAGGCCTTACGAGATCGCTATAAATGAATTCGCCCGGTCGTGTGTCGGGCGCAGTGGGACTGGTATGGGGGACAGCCTTCTGGCGCCCTATAACACAGCACTCGTAAGTATACTCATCCGCGATATCCTTGGTGAAATTTATATCTACCGCTATGGCGGGGAGCCTATTTAGGTTTTGCTGACTTAAATGGTTTATGCGAGTATGCCAGAGTTGATGAATCGGGTTCGAAGGAACACTGTATGTCGTTAAGGCACTATTTGGACTGTCCTAGAGGTCGAGGAAGAACAGATCTCGATTGCGAGTGCTTGTAAGCTTTAGGTCGTCTTTGGTTAGAGCGTAGCCAGTCTTGTGGAAGGCGACTGCGATATCGGAGTTCAAGAGTTTGCCGACGGAAAGAAGGTTGACGCCTATATCGGGTATATGTAAGACGTTGAGTAAAGTGATATTCACACGCTTGCCTTGAACGGAGCAGTTTAAGCTGATGGTATCGCGGCCGAGGGGTTAAACTTGACTGCCTTCGATACCGCGGATAGGGCGAGAGTAGATCTTTTCGTAGGTGATAAACATCGAACGATTGGCGAAGGAATAGCGAGAGTAGCTAGAGTCTATTACTATATGAGAGTATAGGTCGGCGGAGTCAGTAGCTATCAGGTTGTGCTCCAGGCTAGAATCGACGGCTATCAAGTTAATAACTTCCTCATTATCAGCCGTATCGAGGATATTAAAATCGTCGGGGCTGAGATCCATATAATACATGGTCGAATCCAGTTCTTCCAAAAAGGCATAGTTGGCATTAAAATACTCATCCTCCCCTAGAGCAGAGGCATTAAAGAGCGCCTCTTCGATACGCTTGCGCTTAGTGCTGGGGCCCTCCCCTACATTATTAAAATTGATCGCGGCGATTTGAGCCTTCTTCTTCTTTTCCTCATCCGACATAAACTTTTCGGGCTTCAGGTAAGAGAACTTGGTCCAGCATTTGGCGGGAGGATGCCTGAACTTGCGTCCGGCGGCCTTGCATAAAAAGCAAGTTTCGCGATTGGCTTCTGAGCCGCCGGTTTTATGGTGTCTGGCGGACTGCTTGCCTTTACCCTTGTCGCTGCCGTTGCGGGCAGTGTATATAGCGATATCGCCGTCTTTGGATGAGAGCAGGCGGGTTTTTTTATTTACCGCGGTATAGATGACCTCATCGAATTTGACGGCCTTGTCGTCGTATAGTTCGTGGGTCTGGATATAAGTAGTCACGAAGATATTAAAAGAGTCCCCGAGTCCTATGAGGAAGAGCTGAATTAGGAAAGGTTCTGGTAGAGCGAGCGACTTGTGTAGGCTGGCGATTTCGGCAGTGATCTTGCGAAAGTCCTTTTCGTATTGGCGAACGCCTCCCTCGGAAGTAAGGGTGATGCTGAGTAGTTGGCGAATCAGCTCCGTGTAGAGCCCGGAGCCCTTAGGCTTATAGTATTTGGCGATGGCGTCCAGTATCGCCTGAGGATCCTCGTTATCGTAATTGGTCTCGGTGAGCTGGCGACCACTATACCCGAGGCGTTGGAAAATAGTTATATAAGCCTTGAGCTTCGTGGTTCCGGTAAAGGGCAAAAGGTTGTTGAGCATTAATCAGCCCTTGATGTCTTGCCTTCATCTGGTATATCTTATGCTGGATTCCAGAATGGCGATGGAGGTCAGAGGGAAACTGTTTTCGCTAGACTGGGACTGATTAAGAGCATCAGCCGCAGGGCGCTGTAATTGATTATTCGGATCTATCGTCGGTGGAAGATAGTCTAGACGGAGGTACGTAAGATGCTGATAGAGAGGGCGATGGCGGCGATAGTGACGGTAATTTAGCTACTGTTTCAGGCGAAGTAGTGGAGTCAGAGAAAGATTCTAAGAGTGGCTCCGAAGCGAGTATAATAGGCTCTTTAGCACGAAGGCCGAATAGTTCGGTATCGCTTAAAGGGCTAAAAGTATCTTCGCTGGCTTCGGATTCGAGATCGATAAGACTATCGTCCGGTGAAGCAGCGGGAGTAGAATAGATACTCTGATCGTCGTCAAAGTCCTCGAAGGTCTTACCGGTACTGGTTAACTGTCGCCTTTAAGCTTCGAGTTCTTACACAAGAAATGGGAAGTGCTTATATATAGAGCTGCGATAGATACGGGCGATATAATTAAAATGAAAGGTACTTAGTGGTAAGGATGACTTATAGACGAAGGCTGGTTTCTGATAGAATTATACGAAGTGCAGTTGTAGGCGTGCGGACCTCCTTCTTGGAGGGGGATTGGCACCCTTCTTATGCTGCTCGTTCAGGGACTTAGACCCAGAATATCCACGTCGCTGGCTACTACCATAAGACTTCGAAGATCGTTCTGGCTCTATAATCACGGTGGCAGGACACAGGCGAACACGGAAAAAGAATTCGGTGGCAGGGCCCCAACCCCCTTCTTCAAGGGGCTTCTGGAGGCCTAGAAGCCAATATCAACAAGGTATCCTTATTATTTTAGTCTCAACAGACTTATAGGCGCACTGGGAGATAGTAGTGCCAGCTCTAAAATGCTCTGGACTGCGGTCAGACTGTTGGTGCTGACATCCAGCCACTTTCAGTTAATAGCCATTAATCCGGCAGTTAATATATAATTTTAAAGTTGATGTTGGTATAAAATGGCTCCACTTTTAATAAAGTCAAGTGTCCTAACTCAGCGGAAGCTGGCAAGATTCAGAGGGGCCTTAGCGGTGTAACTCAATCGCACGGCGATACGGTCGTATGCTTAACATACTTAGCGAGTTCGGCGTTTCGGCTAGAGGCGGTATACCTCGGCTCGCTTAGGGCAAAGGCGATAGCGGCTCCCAGCCCCTCACATTGTTGACGAATCATACTCGCTTAGGCCCACGACCATTTTGAGAGGGGGAAATACCCCCATCGAGAAGGTTGAAAGAATGCCTTCACAGCTGCTGCTGTCTTTATATAATGGGCTTCAGATATTATAAGATAGGTGCTGAAAGCCTGAGGGCAGTCGTAGTTATAGAGGCGAATAGTAGATATGATGTAATAGTTGCCGGGCAGAGCCCGGGCTTATAACCTGTGGAAATATGAGGTAAGACACTTAGTTGTTAATTATGGAAAAAAAAAAAAAAAAAAAAAACCGAAAGGGTTTTTTTTTAACAAAATAAGGTGACCCCAAAAACCCAAAGAGTCACGTGATCCGTATTTCAACACTGGAGATTTAGTCGAGACTGGCGGGCCACGCCGCCTACGAAGCCTACCAAATTGCCTTCGACCTGTACGACAACAGCTCCCAAGAATTTTTGAAGAAAGTTCGGGAAGGCCTTCCGAAAAACCCAGAGCCCACAGCCGCTCAGACTACTGATGGCGTAGACAAGATGGATGAAGACAAAGTCAATGATGCTCAAGAGACTGATAAGCTCTTGTCAAAGTCGGACGGCAATGCTGCTGCTCCTAGTTCTTCGCTGGATAACTCTGTGGAAAACCCCCAGCCATCAGTCCAGAGGCGGAGAAAGCATTTGACTCGATACGCGAGATTCTATCAGGGACAAAAAAATTCAACTGAACCTCGAATTCCTCTACCGAAACAACCATGCCAATGTTGCCATACTCAACAAGCTCAAGGATAGTCTGGTAGCACGGAACTCGATTTTCCATACCCAGTTACCTTGTCGTGTGGGTTCATGAACACCAACTTCTTCCGCGACAATCTGGACTGGCTCGATAAAGCGGTCAACTAGTCAAAATTCACCGCCACTGCTGTCCTTGGAGTTATACATCGCGGTGATCTTGGCAATGGGCAGAGACTATTAAAGCCATACCTGCCAAAGGATACTGTCGAGGGTGCAAACACTGGCTCTGTCTACAGTCAGGGAGGCTCACTTTATGCCATGAGTCTCATCTACGCTAACCACGAGACGTTTGCGCTGGAACTTATTCGTGACCATTTCAAGAGGGCCACGGAGGAAGTCGTGCAACATGGTGGGTGGTGGCCTAGGCTTAGGCGTCGCTGGCATGGCTACTGGCGATGAGGGCATCTACGATGACCTCAAAGGTGTTCTCTACACGGACTTAGCTCTGAACGTTGAGGCTGTAGGCATCAGAATGGGCTTGATAAGCTGGGGACTGGCAACATTAAGACCCTCGAGGATATGATCCAATACGCTAATGACACACAACACGAGAAGATCGTCCGTGGCCTCGGTCTTGGAATGGCACTCATAATGTACGGCCGGCAAGAGGGAGCTGATGAATTGGTGAATGGCCTTTTGGATGACCCTGATCCAATTCTCCGATACGGAGGCATCCAGACTCTCGCGCTTGCTTATTGCGGCACTGGCAGCAACAAGGCTGTTCGCAAGCTGCTTCATGTGGCCGTCGGCGATGTTAGTGATGACGTACGGAGATACGCCGTCATGAGTCTCGGCTTCATCCTCTTCAGAAAGCCCAAGAGTGTACCGCGTATGGTTGAGCTACTGTCAGAGTCGTACAACCCACACGTCCGATACGGCGCAGCAATGGCACTGGGTATACCTTGTGCAGGTATTGGTCTGGACAAAGCCATCGACATTCTGGAGCCAATGATCAAGGACCCAACTGACTTCGTGCGCCAAGGAGCACTCATTGCCCTTTCCATGATCATGGTACAGCAAAACGAGGCCATGAACCCAAAGGTTGGCACTATTCGAAAGACACTGCAAAAAGCCATCGGTGACCGGCATGAAGATGCCATGACCAAGTTTGGCAGTGCCATCTCCTTGGGTATTGTCGATGCTGGTGGCCGCAACTGCATGATAAGCCTCCAGACCCAGACAGGTAACTTGAACATGGCTGGTATTGTCGGAATGGCAGTGTTCACTCAATACTGGTACTGGTTTCGTCTGACACACTTCCTGTCCCTGAGCTTCACTCCAACGTCAGTCGTTGGTCTTGACCAGGACCTTGAGGTTCCCAGCTTCAAGTTTCACAGCGCGACTCGACCTAGTCTGTTCGACTATCCTCCGGAGCAAGAAGCCAAGACGGAGGATGCTCCAGAGAAGGTCAACACCGCCGTACTCTCGACAACTGCCTAAGCAAAGCGTAGAGTGCAGAGAAAAGAAAAGCTGCAGAGACGCGAGAGCATGGACATCGACCAGACCCCTACCGCGCCAAAGGCAGACGCTGGGGACAAGATGGACACTGACGAGTCCGCTGTCAAGACCGAAGGTGACGGCGAGAAAAAAGCTGAAGAAGAAGCAAAAGCATTAGATAAGCCTGAAGGCTTGAAGAGGAAGATGGAGAAAGAGAAAGTGGGGTACGGTCTCGAAAAAATGTCGCGAGTACTACCGGCATAGCTGAAATTCGTCAGCTTCCCAGATGAATGCTACGAGCCTGTTAAGAAGCCCACAGTTGGCTTGATACTGCTGAATGACACCAAGCCTTCAGAGTCAAAGACGCTCTTGGAGATGAAGGAAGCCAAAAAGTCCGCTCAGTCCGCTGTCCTACCAGGTTCATTACAAGATCATGTTGAAGCTGCGATGGCTCAAGGGGGGCGACTAGGGAGGCGAATAGGGAGGCAAGCGGTGTAGCCGACGCAGCCGGGGTTTTGACCGCGCTTGATGAGGGTGGTGAAGGGGAGAAGGACGCAGAGGTGCCGCATGAATTTGAAAATCAGTCTGACAATGAGTGAGCATGGCGATGATTAGGAAACGCTCTTGACCGCCATCTCCTCGTTTTATTACCATCAAATACCCAGCTGTTGATGGCCACCGGCTGTTGTATTATTATATTATAGCAATAATTACAGAAGTATCAGCCTTATCCCATACAACTGACCATTCACCTGGGTCCCTTGAAGTAGAGACACTTGGTAAGCGTTATCTTCAGATTAATTGGCAAGTACCGCATATCAAGTTTCCCATTTCAACCAGTGAATAATGAAAAATACAGTTACCACGAGAAATGCTTTACAGTATTCCTCACTCAACCACTCCTCAATCACTCCTCACTCATTCGGAACTCGCACGCGCATAGCCCAGATTGAGATCAGTTATCAAGTATATATCCAGAAGCGGTCCGCAAAACTGTCCTTCGGTAACCTTTTAAAACGCCAATTCGCAACAGTGGGACTGTGGGTTAGTGGGTCCATTATGAGGCCATAGCGTTGGTGGCTGTTTGATCAGCCGTTCCATCATTATGCGATATGCGATAGTAGGGAGACAGGTGGACATGGCGAGTACTATTTGTATGGCCACTGCACCAGTAGTGGGCTCTTCATTCGAATTGTTCTCTTTCAGAGCCACATCATTGTTCTCCCTCCCACCCACACCTATGTATAGCTTCATTTTCACTCGAGGGCATATCGCTCAGACATGGAAGTTTTTCTAGCGCTGGGGGGCCTTTTCTGGGCTATTTGCATGTCCAGAAAAGGTCTTAGCTGCCCCAGTGTTGGATATGCCCAATCATATATCTACATACCTATCTACTTGTGCATGCGTTATTTCTGTATGGCCTCACTGTTTGCGAGTACTAACCCGGGTTTGAGGGTTCTAGCTGTGGCAGTCAATGTAATGCAATGCGTCAATACCTTTGGAATCAGTCTTTAGAACATAAGCTGCTAAAATTCGCTGGCATCTTTCTTTCTAGTATCAGCACTGCCTGCGACTGCGCCTGCCACTGCGGCGATGGTGTGGTATGGCGGTGGCGGCGCGGAAGGATGAAAGATCTCCACAGTATTTGCGTGCTGGTATATCGTCTCATATCCATTTGTATGCCTTTCTGTTGTTCCGTACTTCAGCAGCAAAGCAATAGATGCAGGGTTATCACCACGTCTTCCTTCCCACTTGTCAATACAATCTGGAGCTTGGAAGATGTCCAATTCCCTCCATGGCTGGGTGGATCAGCCAAATAACCGCGGGACTTTTGACATCATTTCGAGTTGCTCTCTAACCGTACATTGGTGCACATGGACGTGCCTCCATCTTAATGTCCCCGCTTCAAAAGAGGGCACTTGGAGACCCGTCTTGAGGAAGTTTCGCTGGATGGTGTTGACCATACTTGAACCCGAGTTCGCCGTTGCCTTCGCGGCAGGGCAACGAGCCAACGCAAAACGCGCACTTGACACTATGAGAGGGATGGGTTACTCCGAATAGACTCTACGTCACGGCTTTTATGCCAACATGGGTGGATTTATTCTGCAAGCACATGACAGCGCACCATTTCCCATCCATGGGTTACACCTTATTTACCTACTAAAAGAGGGTCATTTGGATCTCCCAGAGATCGCTTCGGAGGAGATCTCGGATAAGAGCAAGGCCAATTCACTTGCTAAAGTTCTGGTGTGTCTGCAAACTGGCTGGTTCGTGGTGCAGTGCCTCGGTCGTCTGGCTCAACGCCTTCCATTAACAACACTGCAACTCGTGACAACGAGTTACGTATGGTGCACATCGGCTATCTATGCACAATAGCTCAAGAAAACTCTGGACGTCACAGCGCCTACCGTTCTCAGGATCCAAGCGAGTACCGCAGGAATTCTGCTCATGGCCGGTCCTGCAGCTTCCGAGCCATATCGTCAAACTCCCCTCGACTTTGTCTGGGACGGTCGCGTATCGTGGACTCTGGATGTGCAACCGTTCCTTCATTTCCGTGTTGATCATCGCAAGAGACCTATGCCACGTATACTGAACGATAGCATTCCATGGTTTGACACAGCTGTTGATGCTACAGTGTGCATTTTCGTGATTGTGTTCTATGGTGCCATCCACATGTTTGGCTGGAATCTGCCTTTCCCAACTCGAACGGAGAAGACTCTGTGGCGTCTAGCCGCGCTCGTTCTCTTACGCATTACAGTGATATTGTGCATATGGGAAGTACTATAGGGTATCTTTCGTACGGCGTATCTTCCACAAATCAATAAAAGAAATTTTACTTTTAGGTCTGTCTAGTATATCTACGCGGACAAGGTCGAGAAGATTAGCGGAGCGGACCGATTGCCTATCCATGACAAGGACTTCGACGAAGGCGTCATTACGTATTGGCACAGGGGGGTTTATGTCCCCCTAGGGGTGTTGTACGTGTTCTCTCGACAATACATAATTGCGGAAGCTCTTGCTTCACTTCGAGCTCTTCCCAGCGGTTCCTTCTAAGATGTACACTGGACAACTCTCATTCCGCACTTTTAGGGGCAAAATCTTGCATTCGGAAAGCTTATTTGCTTCATTGCTTCATTGCTTCTTCGCCTTCCTACATCGTCCTGCTTGTAAAGATTGTGAAGATATGAACGGTCATGATAGGTTAGTGCTCGCAAACAGTGAGGCCATACAGAAATGACGTATGCACAAGCGGATATATAGATAGATGATTAAGCATATCCAACACTGGGGCAGCTAAGACCTTCCTGGACATGCAAATAGCCTAGGGAGGCCCCTCAGCGCTAGAAAAACTCCCAAAACAACCCAAGACGTCATCTAAAGAGGGCGAAGGTCTCGAAGAGGACTCCTGACGGTACCTACTGCAGCAAGCAGGGGGTACTGACAGCACTAGTGCGGACGGGCGGGAAGGTACTGGTGCCGTAGTGATGCTCTGAGTATGTGGGCTGGGTGAGTGACGATGTAGAGGCGGTAGGAATCTGACTTCCAACGGCCTAGCAATTGGATCTCGTCATTGCTAAGGCCGGCGTCACGTGCTGACGTTGCAGCCCCTCTGCGGAAGGAATGGCCTGAATAATGGCCCTCAACACCAAGTGACGTCAGCACCTCGCGGAGGTTGCTGGTGACGGCCTTCCTAGTGAAGGAGGAGCCCCCCAGCTGGAACAGCGGCGCATCAGGTGGGGCTTCCCACCTGAAGAGGTGACGTATGGCTTTGATTGCGCATGCGTCATCGCCAGATGCGGCCACCGTGAGTGTGATCCCACGGCGAAATGGGTCCGTTTTGGACGCTGGAAGCGTGAGTTCCAGGTGATCGTCGAATAGCCTCACCGAGCGACGTGTGAGGAACCATTCGCCGAAGTCCTCCTGTTGAAGGTCCCGCTTGCTGTAAGTAAACTCACCTACGCGTAGGAATGCTGCGAAGGCGAGGCAAAAGGAGGCATGTAGAGTCGCCCCGGCGTGGGTCGACTTATCGAAATAAGGAAGGATTTGAAGCAATAGATCCTTGGTGATTGGACGTCTTTCTTTGGTGTCAGCTTCGCCACGAAGACGGCGACTACCTGCAAAAATGCGTTGTAACTGGGGGCGATGAAACACTGAAAGATCATCGAACCCCATATCCACATGGGCTGACCTAAGGCCGGTGAGGTATGCCTTCATAGACTTCGACTTGACGCGGTGAGTGCTCAAGTCAGCAATCCAGCCCGTGAGGGCATTCATAGTTGCTGGAAAGGGAGGTTGGACCCCCCTAAGTGCGCAATAGCTAGTGTAGAATCTCGCTGGAGTCGCGTATGTCTTCCTGGTTTTGGTAGCAAGCCCCCACCAGAGAAGTCGTGCGGCCTCTCGCAGCAGTGCGGTCTGATTGTACCAATATCCTGGTGGGTCTCGCCCTATTTCAGCGGAGACACGAGACCTCTCAGCTGTAAATATGCGTCAGCGATTTTTCGGTACCGAAAACGTGAAAGGTCATCGGCCAGCTGGTTAGCCTTCGTAGAGATCCAAGTAAGAACCCCTATGATGTCATGAGTAGCTGCCAGCATAGCTATATCGCGCAACTGGGCCATGGCTGGCCCATGCATGGAGGATTTACGTAGTCCATTGACGCATGCGTCGTTATCGTAGTAGAGAACCAAGCGAGATCCTCACTGATCTAGCCACAGCTCCATCGCGTGATGGACGGCCTTCATTTCTTTGAATTGTATGTCTTTGGAACGATGACGTGTGGCTGTTTTGGTGCTGAAAACGTCCTTAGGTAGAACCGATTGGATGTGGTCGGGATGGTCTAGAACGTAGCCTCCCATACCGAATTTTCCAGACGCATCAGTCCATATGTGCCACGTGACCCGACTGTCGACGTGGCGTATCAAGGCGACGCCATCCCAGTGCTTCAGGAAGGTGTCCCACCATAGCAAGTCTGCCCTCATATTGCCTGTGATCCGCACGATCACCGCAGGCCTTCGAAGGGCATCAAAAAGTCGCCTCAAGGATGCTCTTCCTGGAATTACGACTTTGGCAGCGAAAGAGAGGAAGCCGACCGCTGACTCGAGCTCCTGATGTGAGATAGTTGTTCTTTTTAGGAGGTCTTCCAGCGTGGTTCTCGCCCTGGCCAGCTTGTCCGGGGGGAGTCTCGCCTGCATGCGAATACTATCAAATTCGATTCCTAGGAACTCGGCTATGAAACCCAAAACATCCTTCGTGTGATTGATCTGAAGGCCCAATCCGCCACATAGGTGGTTGAATTGCTGGGTGTATGCAGTTGCGTCATCGCCTGGTGAGAGGATTGCGAAGGAATCGTCCAAGTAGTGGAGCACTACTCCCCATAGAAAGATCGCGATCAAGATCCAAGTGAGGGCCTTTGCGAAGAGATCGAATAGGAACGGTGACATGCGTAGTCCGAATGGTAGATATCGTTCTTTCCAATAGCGTCCATCGCAGTTCAAACCAAATAGCCATTGATCAGATGTAGCGACCGGTATGTGCCTGAAGGCGTCTTTGAGGTCTCTTTTGACGAATTGGGCCCCTGGGCCTTTCTGTAGCAGTGCTCCTACTGCGCCATCGTATGTAGCATATTCCAGTGCGCCCCAATCCTCCTGGATACCGTCATTGACTGAGTGGCCGTGTGGGAATGAGAGGTCGTGAATTCGCCTCCAACCTCCATCGTGTTTCGGTACCAAACCGAGCGGCGACCGGACGTACTGGGGCTCGTTTTGAGGGACAAACGGGTCAGGCGATGCTGTTGTAGCTGTTTTTGGAGGTCCGCCGGTAGTATTTGGGGTGCTTGACGTGCTGATAGGTGATAGTGGTTGCGGTAGGCTGGGATATGGCCTCGAAAACCTATTTATATGATAATGTGCTCCTCTTGTTAGCTTAAAATTGTAGAGTACTACTCTTGTAAAGGTCATAGAAGGTAAGGTTTGTTGTTTACGTAGTATTTCATTGTAATCTTTTATCAAGTCAATGCTAATCCGTTCAAATACCTAAATTTCCGTCAAATATAGCCTGCAGTGCTCTAAACATCAAATCTATCAGCACTAATCGTTGCATGTAGAAATCCTTAATCGTTCATAGACCGCCATTGTCATAAGCCACGGCTTTACCTGGTATAAGAAGAGCGTCTAAACACAGGTGGCTCATCCTATAATACCTGTCGAGAAATCCGGTGCTAATACGTTGATCATACGCCGTATGAAAGGTCACTAGTTCAGGTCGATGAATGAGCAAAGTTAGCCGCGGCGTAAAGGATTTATGGATGTATCGGGGCTGGGTGGGCTATTAACGTAGGTCAGAGCAAAACATTAAGTGTTACCATTAGCTTGATTAGAATGTCCAACATTAGAAACAGTGCTATTGCAAGAGTGGCATTACGTTCTCTACAATTTTCTTGAATGACGCTAACAAAGTCGGAGGCGGAGTGAATCAGCTTTCAACATCTTATTTAATTTGCAATCCATAAATCTTGGCGCCCTTCCGAAGAATAGCCGAAAGCGTCTTGGCAAAATTCAGGTCCGGATGATCCTTCAACCATTTGGACCAACCATTGACTATCAACGGTCCTTGATAGAGCAGACCCGGGTCCAGTGGATCGTACAGCGCGTATGGGAACCCCTCAGATATGCACTGCACTTGGAAACACGATTGCCCAGTGGCAATTGATTGGAGCTACTCACAGCTGAGTTTTGGGCCTTAGGGCACTTATCTGACGAGTGATTTTGCTGACAGATTCAACAGATATGTGAGTAGATGCAACGCTCGCGAAAACAGCTACCTCTATTGGAATTCTTGCAAATGCCAGTTCCTTCGGCTGCAGCGGGCTTGTTGGGGCCAGACCCACCGGAATTTGGCTTGCTATTGCCCGCATGAGTCCTTTTGGGCACGAGAAGGTCTCTGCAGCTCGGATCGTCCGCTTCCCAGGCCTTAGGATCGTCCTGGCCACCCTGAATGCGTGCAGTAACAAAGGCGAGGTGAAGTTACGAGGATGGAGTCAAATCTATAGGTGATGGGCAACCGCAATAGGCGAATAGCATACGAATGAAGGGCCTCATTCAAGTCTTCCTTCACGCTCACGTGCGCAAAGCGGCCAGCGGCTACAGAGTACACATGGAAGCAGTGCATCATGTGGTTATGGCCATTGACGTCCTTATCCTCCTTGGCCGGGGTAGTATGCATGTGGGCCAGTTTGGCGAAGTTTTTGGTCTTGAAGGTCCCGAAGAAAACTTGCTTGAAGTACTTGACGTCCACACTTCGGAACCTTTCAGCAATACTAAGAAAGGGCTTCTTACCTTCCGAGTGACGAAATGGGACCCCTCTTCTTTCCTCCCAGCCCGACTCAGAGTCGGACGAGTCCGAATCCGATGTGTCCGAGTGACGATGACGATGGCTGCGGCTGTAACGGTGGTGGTGGCGGCGTGACTTATGAACCCGGCCCTCGTGACGATGGCGATGATCTCGCTCCTCTTGGACCTTGGATAGCTGGGCTATCAATTCCTGAAAATCTACTTTGGCAGTAGGCGGGGGCGTTTTTTCGATCTCGTCCGGGCTAATGGTACTCGGTGACGTTTCGTGTACGACGATCTCCTCGCGGGGGGGAGGTGTTTCGGCCTTGGGGGCCTTGTTGGCCGCCTTGGAGGTCTTCTTGGTGACCTTGGAGGCGGGGGTGACTCGTTTGGCCGCGTTCTTGGACCTGGGAGCAGCCGCGGGAGCCATTATGAAGTATGTAAGAGTATGGAGTGTGTTTGTGGTAATTGGATAGTGCGCTTGTGGTAGTTGAATAAAGGCTAATGTGTATCCCATCGGCTGGCAGCGTGTAAAATCAGGGGTTCTGCCCGAACATCAAAAAGTCCCTTCTTACAACCTATCGCAACTCAACAACGAGGACACCCACGAAAAAATTTATAGTTTCGCAATTGTTAAGCTTATCATTAAAAAGTTAATGCGTTGCAAAGGTATGGCATTTTTGATGTTCTGCCAAGACATTTTACACGCAGCTTGCCAGACGATGGGATAGACTCAACTACGAAAAGAAGAACAATGATATGGCTCTGAAAGAGAACAATTCGAATGAAGAGCCCACTACTGGTGCAGTGGCCATACAAATAGTACTCGCCATGGCCACCTGTCTCCCTACTATCGCATATCGCATATTGATGGAACGGTTGATCAAACAACCACCAACGCTATGGCCTTATAATGGACCCACTAACCCACAGTCCCAGTGTTGCGAATAGGAATATTTCGGTTTCTCATCAAAATCAAGAGAACCGATGTAGTCGAAATAAACCGCAAATTCCTGAGGGAGATCCTCGCACAGATCCTCTGTATTGATCCTTCTCTTTTCCTCTAAGATAAGTTCTTCCTTTTGCGTCTGATCTGTGGCCGTGAGACCTTGCCATGGGAGAGAGCCCCGGAGGAAGTAGAGAAGCATGTACAGCAAAGATCTACCCAGCAATCTAAACCAACAGGCCCCAGTAGCACTCTTCCCTTCGTCAATGTTTGGACCCACTATTTCACGGTCGTACGTTGTCCGTGGGATTTTCTCATCGGCTCCCGACAAAGAGTACGACGCTTTCTGAGTTCAAGTTAGCGATGATCGATATGTTTAGTTTCCTAGATTTATCGACTGACAGCATTTTGGAAACTAGCTGGGGAAAGCAATACTGTACTGCTTTTTTACTAGGTATGATTTCCTTCTGGTGAATTGTTGCGTCTTCGCTTTTGCCGTTTTGGCTATTATGAGATTCCTAGCCCTAAACATCAATATAGAAATTTAGTTGGATGAGGAATCCAAGCGATTGAACGAAAATAACCTTGCCTCAGTATCAGGAATGACTCTGCTTGTTGCTAGGTATCTGCTTGGGAATATTCTGCTTGGTTTCAGCTTTGAGAATTGCTTGGGAATATCAATGATACGATAGCATTAGCTTCAGCGTAGATAAATTCAAGTATTCCAACCGGCCACGAATAATTTATTCTTCAACTACGCATGACCTTATGGATAGTCAGTGAATCGCCAGAGCTGCAATTAGCCACAAGAGTGTTGTATCGCTGATGGTGTGAGCCACTGCCCGTGGTGTGAGCCATTTTTGGTGTACCCCATTACTCATGGGGTGGACCACTTTTGGTACACACCACATCTCGAGGTGTGGACCGTCCCTCATGATTTAAACCACTTTCATTCAGGTAGGAATCTGGATCTGAACCTATCCTCCGACATAATGTCACCTCCCTATAGCTGCTCTGAGCGCTCATGCAGGCCACCATATAGGGATACTTGGGCCGGACCACATCTTCGGATCGTTCGGAGACGGGAACTCCATTGCGTTGATTTTATCAGATGTCTTATTTGATGCACATTTCGCTTGATCTTGTTTGACATCGAGAACCCTGTCGCATCATTACAAGTTCATAGGTACCATCAAGCGACTGAAAGCGCGACTCCAAATCGACCTTGCCATCAAGACCTCCTACATTATACCCATTGTCTGTTTAAGTTCTTTCAGTCATTTACGCCACTGCGGCCTTTGTCCCTCCTGCGCGAAGGCAAAACCTACCTCTTCAGCATCGACGTTCATGGGATTCTTCGCTTCCGAATTGCTCTTGGATCTTGCCCTCTCACTTCGCTTATGAGCCTTGACATTAATCTAACTGAGGCTCACAAGATAGCAAGATGCCGTCTTCCCTTCTACGGGTTCGCAAATTATTACTCACCTCAACGGTACCACCAGACCTCACTTTCGATTGTGAGGAATATGATGTTGGATCTGATTCTTCTTTTGACGACCACCTGGCCCTTCTGAAATTGCCAGAGACTGTCGGCCATAACCCTTTCGAGCTTGAAGAGATCCGCACGACGCCACTTTTCTCGATGTCTGTGAGGCATCATGACAGGGAAAATAACTGGATTTCCTCTCCCGGAAAGCTCATTATTGTTGACCTTAGCTGTCCGTTCGTGGATGCTGATACAGCATGTGCGTTGTTTGATATATGTCTGGGAGTGTTTCTCGAGCAGAAGATGGACACCCGGCGAGTTGTCGCTCTTGATGAGGCGCATAAGGTAGGCGACACTCTTGACCCGAGCCGGATGTTAAATTCTAATATGTGATATGATTTCAGTTTTTGAGAGAATCGCCCGCGGCGCAGAGGCTGACAGAATCGTTGATTACGGCTGTTCGCCTCAAAGGCATCTGGCTTGTCGCGTAATCGTTGCCACTCAGGAGCCCACCATATCTCCGAGGCTCCTCGACCTCTGATCCTTCACTTTAGTTCATCGATTCACCTCTCCGGACTGGCTAAAGGTTCTTAGAAATCATCTGGTAGCCGCCTCATTGGAGACATCCACGAAGACCGCTAGCGAGGTCCTCGAACGAATACTCGTCCAAATTATTAACTTGAATGCAGGAGAGGCCTTGCTTTTTGCACCTTCGGCCATCCTTGATGTTGAGAACGTGGCTGATCGAGGTGAGACGGCCAAATGGAGACTCGGAAGATTAGGAATTTCGTATCTCAAAGTCCGCATTCGACATCGATTGACATCCAATGGAGGAAAAAGTGTTTTGGCTATCTGACCTCATACATTATATATATTCTTATTGGCCTAGGTGCCAGTGTGAATGCTCAAGGCGGAGTATATGAAAACGCCTTTGCGTCAGCGAAGCAAAGAGGTTATGATCACGATCCAGCCTTCTCACTTCGGTCAATGTCCAGACCTTTGTCAGGGAAGGGAGGCGAGTAGTAATAAGCAGAGAGGGATGTCAGCGGGTGAAAAGATTAATAACACGCGTGTGATGTCCACAACTGCTCAGACTTCATCATATCTCCTTAAGATCTCTTTGAGGTCGTGGATTCGGAACTTGTCTGCACCACTTGATCATGACCTCCTTGTGACGCTGCGTATAGAGCGTTGTCATAGTCTCCACCCTGAGCGTTGACATCAGCCCCTTTGTCGAGTAGCATCTGCACCACATGATCGTAACCTCCTTGTGAGGCTGCCTGCAGAGCGTTGCCATAGCCTCCACCCTGAGCGTTGACATCAGCCCCTTTGTCGAGCAGCATCTGCACCACTTGATCGTAACCTCCTTGTGACGCTGCCTGCAGAGCGTTGCCATAATATCCACTCTGAACGTTGACATCAGCCCCTTTGCCGAGCAGCATCTGCACCACATGATCATGACCTCCTTGTAACGCTGCGTATAGAGCGTTGTCATAGTCTCCACCCTGAGCGTTGACATCAGCCCCTTTGTCGAGCAGCATCTGCACCACTTGACCATGACCTCCTTGTGACGCTGCCTGCAGAGCGTTGCCATAATATCTACCCTGAGCGTTGACATCAGCCCCTTTGTCGAGCAGCATCTGCATCACATGATCATGACCTCCTTGTAACGCTGCGTATAGAGCGTTGTCATAGTCTCCACCCTGAGCGTTGACATCAGCCACTTTGTCGAGCAGCATCTGCACCACTTGATCATGACCTCCTTGTGACGCTGCCTGCAGAGCGTTGCCATAATATCCACCCTGAGCGTTGACATCAGCCCCTTTGTCGAGCAGCATCTGCACCACATGATCGTAACCTCCTTGTGAGGCTGCCTGCAGAGCGTTGCCATAGCCTCCACCCTGAGCGTTGACATCAGCCCCTTTGTCGAGCAGCATCTGCACCACTTGATCGTAACCTCCTTGTGACGCTGCCTGCAGAGCGTTGCCATAATATCCACCCTGAGCGTTGACATCAGCCCCTTTGTCGAGCAGCATCTGCACCACTTGATCGTAACCTCCTTGTGACGCTGCCTGCAGAGCGTTGCCATAATATCCACCCTGAGCGTTGACATCAGCCCCTTTGCCGAGCAGCATCTGCACCACTTGACCATGACCCTCTTCCGCAGCAACGAGCAGAAACGTATACTCATTTCTTCCCACTTTTCGGCTGCGATTCAATTCCATAATGGAAAGCGCGTGTTCTTTCAGAAATTTTGAAAGCCCAAAAGCACACGCTACACTGATATGTGTTTCAGGTGTAGATGCTGCAAAAAGTAGTTTATAGCCGAGACGATCGCCCCAAGCAAGCCCCAGAGCCTGATTTAGAAAAGACCCATTCTCGTTGTCAGGTTTTGATCGGATACCTGACGCCCATTGTATATAAAAATGTGACGTTCTTGATCCTTTCATCAAGAAATGCGACACCTTTTCTTGGATTTCTTGGATTTCTTGGATTTCGTGGAACTCACAATCCTCTATATACTTGTAATGTACTGGCCAGTACGCGTCGGCATAATCTTTTAGAATATTTCTCTGCGGTACAGTCCTTGGAACCCTAGAGCTCGATGATGGCTCGGTCAGATACACGTCGAGGCATCTCTTCGTGGCTAGAGCATGCTGTCCCATGACGGTGTATTCCGACTTCCCTAAAAGGTACTCTCGAACCGATTGGTGCGCAAATCGGAACGTCTTCTGTTCAGAATCAAGGACGACTAGATTGCGGCAAAGTCGAAGAATATCGTTCTCTGGAGAGCCTGCTTTCCCATTGTCGTCGTCCTCGTCCGACTCTGATGACGGTTCGATGTCGACGGCATAAACCGCGGCCAGAAGTTCCTCTGCTCTCAGTAGACGCTGGGCACATAGCAACCATGTCAGTGTCATGATAGCCACACTCCGTCCGTAGGTCTCAGTCTGATGGATCTGTGTATGGATGATATCATACAGACCAGATAGCTTGACAGGGAGTTGACCGAGGGTTTCCTTGAAATCTGGCGCATACTTGATCCGGCTTAAGGCCTCGAGCGACATTTCCACCCACCGAAACATACCCTGAGCACCCTTGATGAGAGTCTCAAGTATTCTCTCTTTGAGCTTCTTGGAAACATTGCCGTCTAGAAGTAATCGTTTCGAAATCAGACGGTCCACCTCGGACTTAATAAATCGTGTAATGTCGGCGCTATTCTTTTCCACACTAATAGAGATGTTTCTCGGACCTTCCAGATGCAGTTTCTGGAGGAGAAATATTCGTTAGCGGACATGACTTCGCTCAGGTGCGTTTGTGGAAATCCTAAGAACTAATATGACAGAAGGTACTCACGATATCGATATCATCGCGACTGGAAACGAATATTTTCACGACGTTCGCAGACTTGCTAATTATACTATCAAATGCTTCTAGAAGCTCAGGACGTGTGCCCTCGTCACACTCGTCGAGAGCATCGAGAATAATGGTGGCCGGATGATCTTTGGTAAGCTCGACAATCAATCTGGTGCAGTCTTCAACTGTCAACCTCTTAATTGTGGAACAATCTTCTTCCGCCTTCTTCTTCCGAGCCTCATATTCCCTGGCGACAGGGTTCTTGACAGGTTGATCTGGGTTCGAAGTGCAAAGCTGTCTGAGCAGGGCGCACAAAACTTCAACAGGTCTCGCTCGTGCTGGCTCCGCCGTGCTTCGTGCACAGTAGAAGAAAGCGGCCGAAGCGGAGTCTGCATTAAGCATTAGATCGATGACGGTTGACCTAATCCATTAGTCCGATATCAGCGTAGGCAACCTTGTGAGCTGCAACAGGATTTGGAAAAGCGATCATGTTCTCAGGATATTGATAGCGAAACACTCACGTAAGTCTTGTCTTTCCCGATCCAGCTATGCAAAAGTCATCTATAAAATCCCTGAATTACAGCGTGATTACTTACGTATGCCGTGGAGCCAGAGAATAGAAGACACACTCGATTGACCCCATTCAATGAAGTCCTGGCTGTCGAGTAACCATCGCCCGGAATTATCAAGTAAACCTTTAGAAAGGTCCTCATGGTGGCTTCTGTACTCGATCTCCGACATCCAGCGGAATATCCTTTTCCGCTCTTCTCCTAACAAGAGATGGGGATCAACGAGTAAGGCATGGAGATAGAATAGATCTTACTGTTAAAGGTGTCGTGGATGATCGATATCTGATCGCTCATCTGTGTAATAGGGTTTTTGAATTCAGCAAGGGTTTGTCTGAGCCTTTGGTCGTGCTCAGTAAAGTCTTCTCTCGCTCTCTCGCGAACTTTCATTTCGTAAGCTGAAGCTCATACGATTAACAAATAAACATGCTCACGCTCTTCTTCGACCAATTTGATCCATCGTTCAACGTCAGTCTCTGAAACTTTTTCCAATAATCCTATGTACTCATTTCGCATCGTGTCGACAAACGCCCGACCGAGACGTTCTTGATGCATACATCAGTAAAAATCAAACGCCATTGATCAAACGCAGTTAAGTACTTACTCAAAGTACTGCCTGTGAAGTAAGCCTTGACTCTTGCTAGGTAAGTGAGAATGTTTGCGTAGAGGTTTCCGATAGCTTTCTGCAGTCCGGGTGCTGCTTCACACTCATAGCGTAGATATAGTTTTTCGACGATGACATATCGTGCCACAAGGCTAGCACTAGATTCAATGCCTTCAACAAGACTGCTGAACACATCAATATCTGAGATGCCAATCTGTATTCTCTAGTATTAGTAGGCTTGGGGACTCTAACCGCATGATCTCTTACCGTCGTGAGATATTTGACGATTCCCCACGGTAAAGCTGCGTGACCACTCTGATCGAAAGAAACCCCTATATCAACAATGTTGATAATTCCTTTTACCCATACAGAAATATTTTTCAAGGACATGTCGGAGCTTGACTTCTTCACCCTGCTTGTTTCGATAAACTTTCCACCTTTCAAAACACAATCTTGCTTCTTGCTCTCCGTGGCTTCTTGAACCTTATAAATAAATCAAATGTTAACAGACTCGGTCCTAGACGAAAATAATGCACATTCGCATGATTAAGCGATAGTCGCATACCGTACCTGCTTCAAGACGTCAAGCATACTTGAGGAGCTCGTATTGCTTTTGATCCTCGGCGCTGAGAGTGGCCAAAGCTTGTTTCTACAAGTCTGGCTTAACGGCTTCCTTAGTCTGCATAGGAGTAGGCGTTGTGGAGGCCATAATAGCAGGGATAGGTACGAATGTTCTTCACTTAATAGGGGCTATCAAAGTTACTTCTGCTATTGCAAATAGTAACTATTTGACCCCATTTGCCACCCGTCAGCCCTACGAATAGTAGATAGCAAATAATTTTGAAGTAGCAGGTCCGGACCTGCTATTTCACTCAATAGTTACTATTGCGTCTTAAAAAACACGCTCTAACGTAGTGTTATATACATATATCGCGCTATCGTTAAGTCCTTCCTCCTGTTAAGTCCTTTCTCTCTATCGCCATGGCTAGAAAGAGCTTTCTTGCGAGACGTCTTTGGGGTAGATATGATGACGGTGATGAGAAATAGCGATAGTAATATTAATGGCTATGGGAAGAGGCAGTGGCTATAGTGCATAGATATAGGCATGCGCATGTGTTAGCAGCAGCCCCCACGGGGGCCCTGCGACGTCCCTACGGGGCCCTATTTAGGTCCAAATAGGGGTGTCTGGCTGTCAAGCAGACACCCCCGGGATTAGGCATGGCATTTGTGCGGAGAAGATTTCTCCGTCGCCAAGGCCCTATGCATCAAAACGGTTAATAGGTATTTATGATTACGAATCAGATTTGAATAGTTACTATCTAATAGTAAGGTGCTATCAAGGAACTAGTAACTACTTGCAATATCAGATAGTTACTATTTGCAATAGCAGAAGTAACTTTGATAGCCCCTATTAAACGCACCCGCAGGGACTGGTATCTGCGTACTGACCTGCACGCCGGGCCTTCTCCAACCTGTGTACACCTTCTCCGCCCTCGTTCAAACCTGCACTGTCTGCTGTGCGCTTGGAGGAGCCTCGAATGTCGGTGGAGTCCATGGCTATCACAGGCTCAACGTCTGTAGGGCTCATTGGGCTCCACATCCATGCGGAGCCAGCCGGATCTGCCACTGATCCTACGGCGTCTTCTCGGAGCGGAGACCGCCACGAAACCAGTGGTGGTTCAGGATTTGGCGACGCAATAGGCGATCGGAGAGAGTATGGGATGATGTTGTCTGTACTGTAGCTCGCCTCTTTGTCCACTTTCTCTCTCCCCCACAAAAGTGACAAGGCTTGATATTTTTGAAGCTGATTTCTTTATCTTTTGTCGACGAGGAGAGGGTAGTAGGGAGTGGAGGAGGACCAGAGACGGGATCTTCTGTCTTCTCGCGGAGGATGGAACATCTAGATAGGCGCTATCTATTAGTACTAAGATCTGCTAACGGGGTTATAAGGGTCGTACCCAGCCTCTTAGCCTGCTACAGAAGTCCGTAGAGTGTTGAGGGAGTAGTGCCAAGGAGTAGTTGCCTCCCGCCTTGCTCAGAAGTCGAGCCGTCGCTTTTAATTAATGACTAGAAAGACGCGATCGTGATCGACAAGATAGATAATATCGATGATAACTTAAGCGATCTCGATTTCGCACGGATCTGATCGCAATCTAAGTCTGTCTTCAAACGGCCTCCCTTTTCGCGGAAATTCCAGCAACACAAGAAAACAACAAGCTCAAGTCGATCCAGTGAAGTTGGTGACAGTCACGGTGTGCCCCCCAGTGCATTTCTGACCAGCACCCGGGATTTCTTCTAACATATTTCAGATGACCCTCTCGTGGTGGAGGATAACGACGAAAAGACAGGCGAACTTGACGCTTCTACCAGGGCCATGAGCATAGAGTCTAAGATTGATATTATACACCTCCAACGATCCCACCCAAAGAAACAGCCAGAGAGACACGGTTGCTTGAGTCCTAGTACCACTGGACCTACTACCGAACCTACTACCGAACCCTTCGATCGCCTCATCTCTCTCAGTATCGCACTATCCCATAATCGAATGAAGCAGGCTACCTGTGGAGGTAATCGCGGAGCAGCAGTGACCGTTCATCCCCCTCACGCCATCACCGTCCCCTCATCACTTGCTAAGCGGCCTCAGGATCAAGGAGGTTCAGCATTGGATGAAGAGGAGTGGGAGATCGTAAAGATCGTTGACAAGAGACGGACCGGAAGGGGCTATGAATACAAGGTGTGCTGGCAGAAAACATGGCTGCTTGAAAGCGAGTTAGGAAATACGCAGGAACTGTTGCGGGAGTTTGAGGCGAAACACCAGGCGCAGCAGGGAGGCAAACGGGGAAGACCGGCACGTGCAGACAAGGGTCGGTGATCGCTGATTACTTTTGTGTTCGTAGAAGGAGTCTGTATGTTCTTAAAATTGTAGGAATTAAGATTATTCTAGTAAATTTGAGACACTACTGCCATTTGCTACGTCTTTTCATTTCATTAAATTGATATGCTTAAGGAGACAAACACCACAGCCAGCGGCGCACGGTTCTGACGGACGTATGGAATGATTCTGTGCATCACCCACTCCGCCCTTGGCTGTTAGTCCTCCATGTTAGTCTCCAGGCCTTCAAACAGCTGCTCCACAATTCTATCAGGAGATTGTTCTTCAATAGATATATCTGCCTGAGACCAAACTTTGTGTAATCCTTGCTCGCTAGCTCCTTTAAGGCGGGAGCAATCTTTCGAAGTCCAAATGCAATGGGCAGAAAGGCTGATTCGACAGTTAAGTATTTCTGGCAAAGGTGTTGCCTTTTCTGGGTTCACTGGTAGAGGCTCTGTCTTCGTCTAGTACCTTCGTTGGACCCACGCAAGGTTTCTTCTTTGGGACCGACGAAAAAAAGTGCAACGTCCAGCTACTGGAAAAATCAGACCCAGACAAAAACAACAAATACGGGATAAGTAGACAGCATTTTCGCATCGACTTCAAACCGGGAATCTGGATTCTTGAGATTGAACAACATGTCGTCAACGAATGGTACCGGGGTGAGTGCTCCTTCGTTCAAGAATGGTTTTCAGTCGCTCAAGTACAATAACATGCACATGTTACACTCGGCGGAGCAAACCGAGATCCATGTTGGCACACTTGTATTCGAAGTCTTTCCATTCCGAGGACAGTGTCAGCAGTGTTTCTGAGTATAAAGACTCAATCGTCCGCGTTGCCACAATTGCTTCATCATTTCCTTTGTATGGAATTCGGGTCAATACAACAACAGGTTAAACTCAAATCAACAGATATTAGTGAAACTCTCGTACGGCGACGCTGTCCCACTACGCGACTTCAAGTCCGGTTTGAGCAATGACAACCGCGAATGTTGAGGCTGATAGTCCCGACTGTTATAGAATGAGATTATGGCGGGTGGTGACTGAGGCTCTGTTTCCTTGAGGGAATACTGTGTATGCTATTGTAATGGAGCGGCTTTCGTTCCAAGGCGGATGGATGAGGGCTCGCTTTCCCGTTCTATCGAGGTTTCACTTGAGTTGGTGCTAGATTCTAAGGCTGCGTTCGAGATTGGATATTCCTCTCGAATATCATCATCTGAATCGGAACTGCTAGATGGGACCTCGACTCGATCCGTTAACTGTCTCTCCGCTCTCGTGGCAAGGCCGAGTCTAGTCTCATTGACTCACGGATTTGGCCGGCGGCATCGCTAGGATGCACTTCGAAATTTGTTCTTTCAGGAATTGTCCTTTGGAAAACCTGCTACTCTTTCAAACGGAATCCGCGATTCCAGTTCGGCTAGACCGTACTTGCGATATAGATGAATTGCTATAAATTTCAGCCGGGAAGCAGTGCACGTGGAATAGGCAAAAGGGCTTAGGGAATGAGCAACGCTTGGAGTTGAAGAAGAAATCCAGGAGTCGTGCTGAGAATTCACTTGCAAAAGGAACTTATGCACCGTTATGTGGTTCATGAAAACGACGGCACTCAAGAGTGTTGGTGACAGAACTCAGGAAATCAGCGGGTGTTCCCCACTCTTAGTGCTCGCAAACAGTGAGGCCATACACAAAACAACGCATGCACAAGTAGATATGTAGATAGATGATTGGGCATATCCAACACTGGGGCAGCTAAGACCTTTTTGGACATGCAAATAGTCCAAAAAAGGCCCCCCAGCGCTAGAAAACTCCCATGTCTGAGCGACATGCCCTGGAGTGAAATGAGGCTATATACAGGTGTGGGTGGGTGGGAGAAAAATGATATGGCTCTGAAAGAGACGAAATCGAATGAAGAGCCGTTGACAGGTGCAAAACAGGTGGCTATATAGCTCGTACTGGACACCTGTCCCCAACCCCTTGCCGGGGTACCAACAGGGGTACCAACAAGGGTACCAACAGCACCCCCAGTCCCACTGTGGCGAACGGCTGATCAAACAGCCACCAACGCTATGGCCTCATAATGGACCCACTAACCCACAGTCCCACTGTTGCGATTAGTGCTCGCAAACAGTGAGGCCATACACAAAACAACGCATGCACAAGTAGATATGTAGATAGATGATTGGGCATATCCAACACTGGGGCAGCTAAGACCTTTTTGGACATGCAAATAGTCCAAAAAAGGCCCCCCAGCGCTAGAAAACTCCCAAAATCTAAGACGTCGTCCAAAGAGGGTGAAGGTCTCGAGGAGGACTCCTGACGGTACCTACTGCAGCAAGCAGTAGGGACCGGCAGCACTAGCGCGGACGGGCTGGAAGGTGCTGGTGCCGTAGTGAATGATAGGTAGGCTGGGTGAGTGACGAAAAGGCGGTAGGAATCGCCGGCGTCACGTGCTGATATTGGAGCCCCTCTGCGGAAGGACTGGCCTGAATAATGATCCTCAACACCAAGATGCAGCCCCTCTGCGGAAGAACTGGTGTGCATAATGGCCCTCAACACCAAGTTGCAGCCCCTCTGCGGAAGGACTGGCCTGAATAATGGCCCTCAACACCAGGTTGCAGCCCCTCTGCGGAAGGACTGGCCTGAATAATGGCCCTCAATAATGACCCTTAATACCAAGATGCAGCCCCTCTGCGGAAGGACTGGTGTGAATAATGGCCCTTAACACCAGGTTGTAGCCCCTCTGCGGAAGGACTGGCCTGAATAATGACCCTCAATAATGACACTCAATACCAAGATGCAGCCCCTCTGCGGAAGGACTGGTGTGAATAATGGCCCTCAACACCAAGTTGCAGCCCCTCTGCGGAAGGACTGGCCTGAATCATGGCCCCCGGTGGGGCTTCACACCTGATGTAAGGCTTTGACGCGTATGCGTCATCGCCCGATGCAACAGCCCAAATGGCTGGAATAGATGAAACATCTTCATGGCTGCGGTAGCCCAAATAGTCGGAGTGACAAGGACGTCCCATAGCTGCGATAGTTCAATTAGCTGGAATGGCTGGGATATTCCAATGGCTGCGGTAGCCCAGTTAGCTGGAATATGGCAGTGATAGTTCGACTGAGATATCCCCATGGCTGCGATAGCTGAGATATCCCTGTGGCTGCGATAGCCCAAATGGCTGGAATAGGTGAAAATCTCCATGGCTGCGATAGCCGAGATATCCCCAGGGCTGCGATAGCCCAAATGGCTGGAATGGCTAAGACATCTTCATGGCTGCGGTAGCTCAAATAGCTGGGATAGCTGAAATATCCCCATGGCCGCGGTAGCTCAAGTAGCTGAAATAACTAGGACATCCCCATGTCTGCGATAGTCCAAGTAGCTGAAATAGCTGGGACATCTCCTTGGTTGCGATAGCCCGAATAGCTGAATTGGCTGGGACCTCTTCAAGGCTGCGATAGCCCAAATAGCTGAAGTAACTGAGACATCTCCATGGCTGCGGTAGCCCAAGTAGCTGAATTAACTGGGACATCCCCATGTCTGCGATAGGTCAAGTAGCTGAAATAGCTGGGACATCTCCGTGGTTGCGATAGCCCGAATAGCTGAATTGGCTGGGACATCTCCAAGGTTGCGGTAGCCCAAATAGCTGAAGTAACTGAGACATCTCCATGGCTGCGGAGCCAATTAGCTGAAGTAACTGAGACATCTCCATGGCTGCGGTAGCCCAATTAGCTGGACTAGCTGAAATTCCCCCTGGCTGCGATAGCTTAACCAGCTGAAATAACTGAGACATCTCCATGGCTGCGGTAGCCCAATTAGCTGGAATCGTTGAGACCTCTCCATGGCTGCGGTAGCCCGATTAGCTGAAATCCTGAGACATCTCCATGGCTGCGATAGCTGAGATACCCTTGTAGCTGCGATAGCCCAAATAGCTGAAGTAACTGAGACATCTCCATGGCTGCGATAGCCCAAACGGCTGGAATAGCTGAGACATCTCCATGGCTGCGATAGCCCAAATGGCTGAAATAACTGGGACATCCCCATGTCTGCGATATTCCAAATAGCTGAAATGGCTGGGACATCTCTATGGTTGCGGTAGCCCGGACAGCTGAAATGGCTGGGACATCTCCATGGTTGCGATAGCCCGAATAGCTGGAATGACTGAAACATCCCCGTGGTTGCGATAGCCCGGACAGCTGAAATGGCTGGGACATCTCCATGGTTGCGATAGCCCGAATAGCTGGAATGACTGAAACATCCCCGTGGCTGCGATAGCTGAAGTAGCTGGATATGACTGCGGTAGTTCAAATAGCTGAAATGACTGGGATAGCCCAAATAGCTGGAATAGCTGAGACATCTCCAAGGCTGCGGTAGCCCAAATAGCTGGAATAGCTGAGACATCTCCAAGGCTGCAGTAGCCCAAATAGCTGACTGACTGCAATAGCCACATGGCTGCAATAGCTCAAATAGCTGAAATAGCTGAAATAGCCACATGGCTGCAATAGCTCAAATAGCTGACATGGCTGCAATAGCTGACATAGCTGAAATAGCCACATGGCTGCAATAGCTCAAATGGCTGAAATAGCTGAAATATCCACATGGCTGCAATAGCCCACATAGCTGCAATAGCTTAAATAGCTGAAATAGCAAATACTCAATAGCCCTCATAGCTGCAATAGCTGACATAGCTGAAATAGCCACATGGATGCAATAGCTCAAATAGCTGACATGGCTGCAATAGCCCAAATAGCTGAAATAGCCGCATGGCTGCAATAGCTCAAATAGCTGAAATAGCTGAAATATCCACATGGCTGCAATAGCACACATAGCTGCAATAGCTGAAATAGCTGAAATAGCCACATGGCTGCAATAGCCCACATAGCTGCAATAGCTGACATAGCTGAAATAGCAAATAGCTGAAATAGCTGACATAGCTGAAATAGCTGAAATAGCCACATGGCTGCAATAGCTCAAATAGCTGAAATAGCCACATGGCTGCAATAGCTCAAATAGCTGACATAGCTGAAATAGCCACATGGCTGCGATAGCCGAAATAGCTGAAATAGCTGCAATGATTGAAAACATCCACATGGCTGCAATAGCCCAAATAGCTGAAATAGCCACATGGCTGCGATAGCCGAAATAGCTGAAATAGCTGAAATAGCTGAAATAGCTGAAATAGCTGAAATAGCGACATGGCTGCGAGAGCCGAAATGGCTGAAATAGCTGCAATGATTGAAAACATCCACATGGCTGCAAAAGCCTAGATAGCTGAAGTGACTGAAATATCAATGTAGCTGCGATAGCTGAGGTGAATAGTTACAGGTGGAATGGCTGAAGTGTGTATCCAAATGGTAGTTGCATGGTCGCATGGCCGTACGGCTGCAATGGCTGGAATGGCTCCAATGGCTGGCATGGCTCCAATGGGTGAATAGCTGCATGATCTCTATGTGACTGCAATAGCCTCAAATAGCTGGTATGCTGGACAATTCCATATGGCTGATATGGCTGGAAATGGCTGAGTAGCCTCATGGCCGCATGGCTGCAATAGGGCTGAAATAGGGCTGAAACAGGGCTGAAATTTCTATGTGACTGCAGTGGCCTCAAATAGCTGGAATGGCTGAATAGCTTCATGGCCGCATGGCTGAAATAGTCCAAATATCCTTTCGCAATGACAGAAAAATGATATGGCTCTGACAGAGACGAAATCGAATGAAGAGCCGTTGACAGGTGCAAAACAGGTGGCTATATAGCTCGTACTGGACACCTGTCCCCAACCCCTTGCCGGGGTACCAACAGGGGTACCAACAAGGGTACCAACAGGACCCCCAGTCCCACTGTGGCGAACGGCTGATCAAACAGCCACCAACGCTATGGCCTCATAATGGACCCACTAACCCACAGTCCCACTGTTGCGATATGTGCTAGAGCTTTTCAAGTCGTCAAAGTATGGAGATAGAAAAGTTATAGAACATTTACTCTAGTATACACAAATCCGTAAGGCCAGACAAATCAACAATTAAACCAAAGATCCATAAGGCATGCTAAACCTTATCAGACATATAGATCCCGTGAACCTTCGCCGCATGGTTCTTGAAATGCATCACGCTGTTGAGCGTGACTGCTGAACATACAGAATGGGGAAAAGGGCAAGGTTCGCCTGGCGGAAAAGGGTGACGCCGGTCGAAGTGCCGCTGCAAAGAATATTTACTGCCAAGGTTGTGGAGTCGCTCCTCCAAAGGTAGATTGGCATCGCCCAGACAGTAAAGGCACTGGTAGGGTTTGCATCTCGCAGGAAAGAGGTGGGGGCCCGGAAAATCCGACTCGGACGTGGACTCAGACTTGACGGCGTTCGACGTGCATTCTGTATCAGCATCTCGTGGATGGCTTTTTCTCCCCTGTATTCTCCTTATTCGGCGGGCTTTGCGGAACACTCCCTCCTGCCGGATACAGAGCGACACCATATCATCGACAATGGAGACCCGGCAATCCACATCGCCCTCGGGGCCACGTGTCGACGGTGGATCGAAAAAGGCCTTCGCAATGCGTGATCGTTCCACAAACGCGAATTCATCAGGCCCTGAGGCGGGAAGAATGAGACTGAGCAACTCCACATCTCCCTCGAGCTGCGCTCGCATGTCTTGCACGGGAGCGATGGCGTCGTATTCTTTTTGGATCTGCTTCATGAGTTCCCGCTCTCGCGCTTTGATCTTTCGATCCACAGCTCGTTTGGCCTCCTCATACTGATCGTAAATGGCGTGTCCCTCTGCACGGTAGATGAACGTGAATTGGTGTCGAATGCGCTGGAACAGCTCATCTCGGCGGCCGCGAAGCTCCTGGATTTCTTCCTCCTGGCGGATACTTGCACTCTGCGCCTCGGTCAGCTCTTTGGGTCGTCGGGGGTCGATCCGTCGGCTCATCCGGTTGGCCGCTTGGATCAACTCCGTCCGAGGCGCCGTACCCCCGTATGCGGCCTAGGTGTCGTATCGGATCATGCGGGACAGGTAGTTGCGCTGGAAGATGGCTGAATTGATATAATCCATGACCAGATTGCGGACGGCCTCATTGGAATTGGGATCATCTGGTGAATGATCGTGTTAGCTCAGGCTCCCTGGGACCAGAAGCCTCAGGGCTCACCATTGATGGCATTTCCCGTCGCTCGCCGGAGACAATAGGTCGTGAAGACCTGTACGAAGCCAGTCTCTTCTCCTAACCGTTTGATCCACTCGTGATACTTGTCGTAGGAGAGCGCCATGTCGGCCGCGATGGCACAGCCCCTGGAGGATTACATAGGCGCACGAAACAACGGGACGTCCAGTATGTCCTCTTTCCACGGGATTGGTTGGCAGTTCAGTCCCTTTAGGACGCCCAAAGTCAGAACTGTCCTGGGGTTTGTGTTCGGGAAAAGGTAGGCATCGTCGTCGCAGGCGAGGCCGATGATATGGGATATTATACAAAAGAGGGGATTGGTATCGATAAAGAATGTGTAGGTTTTCCTGCATATCTGTTAGATTGATGGACCCGATCTCTTGGCGGTCACTTACGGTCTCTTGCGCTTCTTGCGAGACTTGGTTCGGGTGAGCTTCAGCTGCAAGGTGAGCGCCACTTCTCCCGTGGTCTTGTCGCGCTGAACGAACAAATCCAGGTCACGATAGGTGATTCCGAGAAGGGCTCCGGGTCGGGATCCAGTGAACGCCGCGACCAGCAGGATCGTTGCCAGCTGAACCCGTTGCCGTTCGTGAGGGAAGGTGTTGGTGTCCGTCACCCAATGGCAACGCAGCAGCTCCACGAAATCGACCGCATCCAAGAGAGGCTTGTCGGTTTCGCTGTCGTCCAGCCTGTGTTCTTCCGCCAATGGACCGTTGATGAACTGTTTCAACGTTACTCGTGTGTGTAGGAACATCAACGTGGGGGCCTTTCACTTACATTGTAGATTTGCTTCAAGGTCAAGGGACTGATCCGTCGACCCTTCCATTTGATGTAGAGCTGGCTCAGTTGATGCCAGTAGGTCTCGACCGAACTGATTTTCTTGACGGAGTAGTTGTTACACATCCAATGAAAGAAGTTCTTGATTCGACCCTCCATTGACCTTTTGAGTGTGTAATAGGGATCGATGTCGACGGTGTCGTAATACCTAGAGATTAAGGATTAACAACGTGAGCAAAACGACTGTAGAATTCATACTGTAGATGACTCACTCTCTCCATAAACCTTCGAGACGATCGATGTGTGAGTTGGTGACGTCGGCGTAAAGAGTCGTTGATCGGTGGCATTTATCAACCTTCTCGTACCGTGCGTTATAGTATTCTCGAGCTGAAAGCTGGCTTCTCTTGAAGGGAGAGGCGTAAGGCGAGTAAGATGAGTCCTTGAGAATAGCAGTGAGAAGAGGGAAGTAAGTCGGGAAGACAGGAAGACAAAGAGGGGGAGGAGGGCCATCTTTGTAGGCGCCTGAAGCAGCTTGAGGGTCCCAGTATATACGCCTGACCCTTCTCTCTCTATCTCTCTCTTCTCGCCTTTTCCCTCCCCATCTCTACACTGCCCGACCATGCATTGAGGATTCAATGAGCGACTCTTAGTGAAGTAATGAAGATAACCAAGAAGATGATGATGCAGGAACGTCTTGACTCGATGCGATGGACTAGCGCGCAAGCCTGCATATTGGCTGAGATCGTTCCAGCTGTGGTCGTATGTTTCGAAATACTCGTCAAAGCTGTCCGCCGACTAACTGAGGTATGCGCCGGCCGTCGCTAGTGCCAATGGCAGCTCATCAAGGCGTTGGGCGAGTCGTTTAGCTGACTTATCTTAGGAATAGTAGAAAGGTTAGCCACCGCGATCGCTTTTCCTTATCTACTGTCCTTCTCTCACCTCCGTCAACCTTACGACCTGACCGCGTTGCCAGAATAGCTAGGCTCAGACCGACATCCTGCAATTTTGTTATCCGAAGTTGCTTTGCAAACGTCAGTCGCGGCGAGCGCGTCGTGATCAGGATCGAACCCTATGCTCGGGATGGGAAGTAGGCGCGGATATCGTACCCTGTTGCGCTATCTATTCCCGGTAGACGGAGATTGTCGTAATTATCGTATACGATCAACCACTTGTCGTTGCCCTGCTGTGACAGCCATTGTCGTGCTTTTTGCACCAGTTGCTCTTCCTTATGCGCGTTGGTGAGGGTGGAGGACGCAGATATCTGTGTCACCTCCATCGCTAGTATTTACCGCAAGCCCAGCCTTCAGCGTATTCTCATCCTTCGCGTTAAGCCAATAGATCGACGAGTATCTACTTTCCGATCGCTTGATCATGTGGATGCTCAGCTGCGTTTTGCGGGTAAATTACAAATTCATACCCCAAAACCTTGGATCCTTACAAATTCATACCCCTAATTACATTTTCATACCCCAATGGGGTATGAATCGGTAATTTGCCATTCCTTGGGGTATGAAAATGTAATTTACCATAGTGCGCTGAGGTTAGGTCTTCGGGGGTTGCGAAATCAGGCCGGACCGGCCCCGGGAGCCCCGAACTGAAGACCTCTAGGGTTCGCCGTGTAACTCGTCGAAATCTCGCTTCGGGGCTGAGGCGAGCTCTTAAATCCCCAACTCACCCCAATCCGCGATAAATTTAGGGTTCAATTTTCTAGGGGCTTTTTAAGGCTCCCGGGGCTTCTTTAGGGACGTTAAGTGCCGGGCACTTAAAGACGTAGTTTAATCAATTACAAATTCATACCCCAAAGAATGGTAAATTACATTTTCATACCCCAAGATTTGGTGGAGGGGTATGAAAATGTAATTAGGGGTATGAATTTGTAAGGATCCAAGGTTTTGGGGTATGAATTTGTAATTTACCCTGCATTTTGCCCATCCATCCCATTCCATACAGCGCCACTATATTCTGCCGTCCAGGACGTGTAGTGAGCCATATTTGTAGCTGCTCGGTTCGTGATCGCGGCCAATGAAGTGGTCCTCATCAATCTGCGGGGAATCATGAAGAAGTCGGACGCCAGAGTCGTAGTTGTATGAGGCTATTCCAGAGTAGGGAGGCTATTACCCCTCCTTGCAACAATTCGCGCCTCATAGACAACTGGCTTCCTAATTGGGCTAGATTTGGTTGCATTAGCGTCCGGCTGAGCGCTCGAGTTAAAGTTGACAGGGGTCGCCTAGCCAACAACACTAGTGGGCCTTGGCCATGGTAGATATCTGGCTCTGCACCAGCCATACATAGTAGTCATCCTCTTCTACCCACACGAGCCGTGGTCATTCTTGTTCTTTGGAGGTCCTTGCCCGGATTTCTTGTGGCCTTGAAGAACGATCATACTTCTGTCATTCATTGTCTTTCAGTTCAGTCACATCATCACATCAGTCACATCATCAGTCATGCCGAATCAGTCACGTCCGACATTCGATTTTTGTCGTACTTATGACGGTTCAGAACCAGCCTCCCGTTGGCTGAAGCGTCTTGAGTTTGAGTTGCGAGGAGATTCTCGGAGTGGAATCATTGCCCCGGAGCACTATTTGAGCTCTGTGGATCTACTTCTTATGGGGGACGCAGCCGATTGGGCAGAGTCTTCACCAGAAATCAGTACGCTTTTCGCCGGATCTCATACCAGCGAGTCATTGGATCGATTCCTCTCGCTCTTCAAAGAGCGCTTTCCTACCAAGTCTATCGAGACAATTCCGACTACCTTTTCGGAAGAACTCGAAGGCTTACATCAGAACACCGAGGAGTCACTCACTTCGTACTATCAGCGTACGATACAAATCACATATCGTTTCGGGGCCCGTGATCGTCTTCCCGGAGGCCCACCCCTATCAATCCTCGAGTCGTCAATACTGGACTTGATCTACAGTGCGTTTCTCAAAGGTTTACAAGATCTCGAGCTCCGGCGTAAGGCCATTCGGGGGACTGTTACTGGGATATCTCTACACTCGGCATTTGTGTCTATGGAACAGGCACACAAATCACGATTGGTTATCAGGAAGATCGAGTACGAGGAGGTTCAGTCACGAGAGGCCATATTCTACAAGGACGTCGTGAAGAGAAATATGTCTACAACTCAGCTGGAATCCATGTGGGCTTCTTATTCAGCGGGGAGCAGGTGTGCCTGAACAGAGAATCCCACCACAATTTCTACTACCGTCTCCGAATCCTAAGCAAGTTTCTCAGTCAGCAATCGATTCGAAATCAGTCACCTGGGGTATCAGTGGTTTAGGTCCTACGGAGCCTCGATCCATTTTGAAGAAGAATCATTACGAGTCTGGGGCTACTGAAGCTACTGGGGCTGGGGCTGTTGTGGGTGCTGGGAGTGTTAGTGCGTCTGGACCGGTCTATGGATATGAAGGATATCATGAAGGATTTGGTGTGGATCAGGGTGTTGGCTAGGCATGGTCGCGGGGCTCTTGTTGTTTGTTTGGTAGTAGTTGATAGGGGCTGCCTAGCCAAAAACACTAGTGGGCCTTGGCCATGATAGATATCTGGCCCTGCACCAGCCGTACATAGTAGTCATCCTCTTCTACCCACACGAGCCGTGGTCATTCTTGTTCTTTGTTAACAGGCGTGACTTCCTTGCAGGCTTTTGCAGCTAGTCCATATGTAGTATAGCTTGGCCTGGTGGGATAAATATCCTGCTGCCGTAGGCTTCCATAGATTCTACATCCTTTGCTACCCACATAGTAGAACTGTTTCGTTCAACTAAAGGTCTTGCCCAGATGGTAATCGTGGCCTTGCAAAGTAATCATTGTTCTTCTTGTTAGGCTTGTTGTGCCTATTGTTTTTATACCTCATTTCACTTTTATACCATCCACTGGCGCCTTCCGTGTAAAATGTCTTGGCAGAACATCAAAAATGCCATACCTTTGCAACGCATTAACTTTTTAATGATAAGTTTTCCAGTAAAATAATCTGCTGTGAAGTTTGATATCTGCTTGAGAAGAACAATTGCGAAACTATAAATTTTTTCGTGGGTGTCCTCGTTGTTGAGTTGCGATAGGTTGTAAGAAGGGACTTTTTGATGTTCGGGCAGAACCCCTGAATTTTACACGCTGCCAGCCGATGGGATAGCCCTTCAGATCGATCCGAAGCTCAGTTATGAAGTCTTTCTCGCCCTTATCTTAATCCCAGTGACGCCTTTTACGGTAGTGGAAGCTCAGCAACTCAATGGCTACAACACTATAACACCAAGCTATCCGATCACGTGTATACACCAAAGCAGTATCTTACCTGGCTTCAAGTACTTCTTGCAGGTGACGCCGAAGCTTGGGCCAAGACCTATCCAGATATAGCACACTTGCTAGAAAGCACACCGACCCAGCAAACTGTTGTCAGCTTTACGAGCCTCTTCTGTACACGATTCCAATCCTTAGAGGAGCAGTCAGTCATAGCAAAGCCTGTCGTACCAGAGCAGCCTGTCGTACCAGAGCAGCCTACCTTACCAGAGCAGCCTACTCCACAGCTACCAGAGCAGCCTACCCTACAGCTACCAGAGCAGCCCGTCATACCACAGTCAGCTCCATCAGTACCAGAGCAGCCTACTCCACAGCTACCAGAGCCTGCTCCAGAGCTACCACAGTAGCCTACCATACCACAGCTGTCAGAGCTACCACAGCAGCCTACTCCACAAGTACCAGAGAAGCCTGTCCTACCACAGCCTACTCTACAGCTACCAAAGCCTACTTTACAGCTACCAGAACAGCCTCCCCTACAGCTATCACAGCAGCCTATCACATCAGTCCTACCACAGCAGCTACCTCAGCCCGATTTCACATTCACATTCACACACCTCACTCAGCAGTCCGGTACTACCCCACACTACTGGTTCTAGCCTATCATAGGGGTTGGTTAGCTTGCTATGCTACGAAAGCAGTCTTGTGCTTGCAGAAGGCTTCATGTGCTTGTTAGTCGCGGGGGCTCCGTCTTGTTTGTGTGGGAGTAGTTAACAGGCGTGACTTCCTTGCAGGCATTTGCAGCTAGTCCATATGTAGTATAGCTTGGCCTGGTGGGATAAATATCCTGCTGCCGTAGGCTTCCATAGATTCTACATCCTTTGCTACCCACATAGTAGAACTGTTTCGTTCAACTATGCTGAAGCTTTTTCACTTCTTTACCACATTATATATATATAGTCCCCTACAATTTCTCCAAAGTATCTAAAAGTGCTTGAAAATACTAAACCTCAACCCTAATGGCTGAAGCGATTGGAGTCACAGCCGGTTTACTGGGCATCGCAACATTCGCATTCGAGACAAGCAAGGCTGTCTACGACCTTGTGATCAGCATCCAAAAAGCTCCTCAAACGATCCGAGACTTGAAGAGCGAATTGCTAGCCCTCGATCCGGTTCTCAGCTCTATCCACAAGACAGTCACGAGCGATGCCTCGAAGTTTGAAGACATCCGCTACCCGCTCCATCAGTGTGGCATGGTCTGTTTCAACCTGAGGTCGCTCATTCAACAGTGTACCACGCATTCAGCCGATGGCAGCAGAAGCGCGAGAGATTGGGTCAAAATGCAGTATAAAGGAAAGACCATTGACGGATACAAGGGCCAGCTCGCATCGTACAAAGCTACCATTGCAATCGCACTAGACCTTTTCACGCTGTGAGTGGTCTGATATTCAAACATTCCGATCTTTATTAATATGTCTTGGTTCTAGAACTACTTCTAACTTGACCGCCGAAGCCATTGATGGAATAAAAAAGAAGCTTGACGATAAAATCAGCGAAACGGAGCCGGACCTTGAGGTGCATATTGAGGAAATTACTAAAGGCCTCAAAAGTCTTGCCGTTAAAGTCTCCGCCATATCTCATGATCAACACAGCCAACCTGATGGGGATAGCAGTCTACTGGTTCGGGAGGGACAGAAAAGAGTACTCGAGGAGGACCAACTGGCTCTAGAAGCCGAGAAGAAGGCTATTGAGCAAAGCCAGCAGGCCTGTACAACAGCAAGAAAATGGCTAGCAGAGACCACTCCGCAACTTGATTCTGGGTCTGTTCATGTCAACTTTTCAGGTGCAAGCAATTCGGGTTTCCAACTAGGTCAAAATACGGGCTTCATTAGCAATTTGAAATGGGGTGCTCAACCTTGAGTTCGGAATCGGTAGTCTACGGTCTCAAAGGTCCACGGTATCGAAAGGGCCACCGTTGAAGTCGTCTGTGTCCAGGTCGTTTCCTCGTCCGAGGGACTCAACCGGTCTCGAGTCCATGTGTGCACGAGCGGGTGAATGGAAATCAAATGATCTTTATTACGATTGATGAGAGAGAATGATAGCAAAATTGACACCGCTGCTCGAAGAGGGTAGACACTTCATTTCTGACTTGATTTGTCAAGTAGTATGTCCGATTGATGTGAGAGCGTCCATTCCGAAGGCGGGTCGCTCCGTAAAGTTTTCCATGCTCGGTAGAATATCTCTTCAGAAATCCCATCGTGGTGGAGGTAGCTAAAGATCTGGAGTAATTCTATAGCGTCTTGCCCGGCCTCGCTCGATATCTCCTCAATTATTTTCAGCGAAACCTCCCAAGTCGTGTACACGGTGTATCGATAATCTTCACCATCTTGCACAGCTTTCTGACTCAGAAGTTCGCGTCGACGCTGATAGTAAATAGTGCAGTGTTCCTCCATCCTACAATGACCTTGTCGAATCACCGCCTCAGCCTGAACAATCGCTAGCGCCAAATATCCCAGGGTCGTGACTACCCGCTCCGCACTCTTCCGTATCGACTTGTCTAATTGATCACTGAGACCGGTCGTCTTGAGGATCAAGGTAACAGCTTCATCAGGTTCCATCGCGCCCAGCTCGTATGACCCGACGGTAGCATGAATCTGGCAATCCGGGAGTCGTGATCAAGACGATCCCTCGATTCCCCACCGGAAAGAGATATCCAGACGAGCAGCATTATCTAAGATCAGGGCCCATGACTCGGATATATTCGATAACCATCGTTTGACAGCATCCACGTGAGGTTCTAGACCGCAGACCTTGGCAACCTGTAGATAACCTCGCTCGAAACTTTCTATACTGCTCGCATCGATCCAAAATATACCCCAAAATCTGAAGCACCGTCAGTGCAGACCTGAAATATAATAATAAATAACACCTACTCTTCACGATAATCTTCCGCAAATTTGAGGCATACCTGCGTCTTGCCTGATCCACCCAGCCCGTAAATGACAAATCTCTTCTGTTGTTGCTGCAAGTTCAGGGTGGTGGACGGTAGACAGTGACTTTGTAGTCATTTGCCTATTTCTTCTCGTCCAGTGAAGACAGAGCTGGGGTTGCGGGGCACCTCGAAGTGTTTGTTGTGGAATCGAGAGGTCGGAGGTGTTCGATCTAGATCCCCACGTGCTGTTAGCAATTGTAGCATCTTCACCAGCTGTATAACTAGCAGTATCGAAAAGGGTTGACGAACCTCCTGGCTGACTCCCAACCCTGACGTGGACGTGTCCCAGGTTCGACCCTAACTGAAAGTCTTGATTGTTGTGGCCCGCAAAGCTTGTCATGGGATTGGCAGTTGTCATGCTGAGCATGTCGGGCCTGATGCTACGGTCTCAGGTGGCATGTCACCATGTCCGCACTGACTCATCGAGGTAGGCAGGTTGAAGGCGTCGAAGATGGTCGTTGGACGGAGCAGGCTTCGCTTATCCTCAGCCTTGCTTGTTGCTCTCGCTAATGGGTGTGCTTTGAAAATTGCTTGATCCCACTAGCTCAAGCGTTTAGGTCATCAGTTCGTATTCGTACCCCGCCCTTACCCCTATTTTCGTAATCATTGGGAAAATATGTGCTGGGGCGGGGCTTCCAGTAGTGAAAAGCTTGCCGAGTACTGGTTTTACCTAATTTTGATTCTCAGGGAATCCCCTAAAACCCCTCGGACCCTTCGGGGGCTCTTTAAGGGCTCTCCGAGAGCTTCTGTCGAGGGGCTGTCAAAGCAAGCTCGAAATTTGATTATTTTAGTGATATTTGATTGATTTCGAGCTTGCTTTGACAGCCCCTCGACAGAAGCTCAACCCTAAAGAGTCAAAGGGTTAAGGGAATTTTAAAGGATCTATCCCTGAGAATCGAGAGAGATAGTTGATATACTGGGAGACCCTGAAACCCCCTAACCCTCTCCGAGGTCCCGGAGGGGATCTTCTCGCAAGCTCGATAATTTGAATAAAAATCTTAGTTTTTAGTATATCTTTACGAATACTTTATCAAATTTCGTCTTCGCTACTTTATTTGAAAGCGTTTAATTAACTCTATAACTCTATAAATTTACTTTATTATCATTTATTACGTAACGTTAAAGGAATCAAATAGAATAGATTAACAAAGTTGATGTTCGAGGTTCAGCCTTATGGTGCTTCCTCTTTGGATGTACCCGTGTTTAGAACGAAAATGAAGAAATAAGGTGTGTTTTAGACTCGAAATCGTGAAATTCGAGGATCTGATTGGCCAACCTTAAATTTATGGTTGTCGAACATTTTGTGATTTCAGTCTTGAGTAATGAGAAAGCAAGCTTTCCAATTAGAAAATTAGCATTGGGGCTAGCATCCCTCTTATCTAAAATCCTACTATAGGTATACTTACTATATTATTATTCTTATAATTCTTCTTATATCTCGCTATCGCTAAATTAAAATTAAAATTACTCGCTAATATAATTTTTTTTTTAAATCTTTTATTAATATACGAGTAAAGGCCTATGAATTAAATTTATAATTACTTTCTTAATTAGGGCTATCGAGTAAGTAGGTAAGCGATCTTTGATAAGCGAACTTTGGTGAGCGATATTTGAATTCCTTACACTTTAATAATTATAGAACTAAATTTAATAATTCTTTTTTTATCTGAAAGCCCATATTTTATTCTATAATTTAAAAAAAAAATCTTAAAATTTTAATAGAAAACAAAAAAGTTATTCTAAAATTAAATAATGTGTACCTGATTAAGGCTGTTACGAGCGTACCCTTGACACACCCCTCAGCCCTATGGCTAGCGGGCCTTGGCGGAGGCATCCCCTACCATATCATGCCTCCTTCCCACCTACATAGTTCGGTACCTTAGTTATCTTATTCAACATACCTACATTGATATTACATCTGTACCGGTCCTGATAAGGGCTGTCCGACTGTCGAGCGAACTTTGATGAGCGATATTTGAATTCCTTGCGCTTTAATAATTATAAGACTAAATTTCAAAATTCTTAAAAATTCGGAAAGCACAAACAGCGCTTCAAAATTAAAAATTAAAATCTCAAAATTTTAATAGAAAACAAAAAAGTTATTCTATATGTTAATAATGTACACCTATTTTTTTGATGAGGGAGGCGCGGGAGGGCGAGATTTTGATGGTTGCGGACGCTAATTTATTTACCCGCGATGACTCAGCCGATCTAGCCAAAAAGCGTAATAACCCTAAATTGATAATTGGCTACACATATAAATTTAAGATTTTCAAGCTTAGTTCTATCTTATTCTTTTATATATATTAATTAAATATAGATAAGAGTACGAAGAGTAATATTAAAAGTCCTACACATGCGCTAAATCTCTTGATATACTTGGCAAATATTCTAAATATCTTAAATATTCTTAATATCACTGCTTTTTACTTAATAGCGACGTCAATACTATATATATAAGGTGTATATATACGAAGTGCATATATAAAGCATCATCACTAGAATAAGAATATGATCTTTCTCTATTTGTTATGGGCAATTATTACGGATTAATCCTTCACACTCGATACACCTTCCTAATTAGGCCTTAGCGCGCCTCTCTCCGCACATATGTGCCTGTATGTAGGTCAAAAACGTATAGCAAGCGATCAGAGTTCGATTTGACTTAGGGCTAGAGCTAAAATTCGATTTGACTTAGAAAAATCCAACTCCATAAATTTAATTCATGGGCCTTTACTTGTTTTAATAGAAAATAGTAAAGTTATTAAAGGGTTAAAAGTAGAGTAAGAGATTTTAATAGTTACGGACGCTAATTTATTTACCCGCGATAACTTAGCCGATCTAGCTAAAAGGCGTAATAACCTCGAATTAATAATTGGCTATATATATAAATTTAAGGTTTTCTAGTTTAGCCCTATCTTATTCTTTTATATATATTAATATCTTTTAGCTATAGAAAGACTAGATAGCTAATACTCGTAGATAGTAAATATTCGAGTTCGATGAACGTATTTCTAGTAGTAACGAGAGGGGATAGCTAGTTAATTAGCTATCGCCATAGAAGAATAATCTAAAGACCTTACTATTCGACGATTTGAAAATATTTAATCTTTTAAACTTTATTAGAAGAGGTTTAAAAAGGCTTATCTTACTACAATTAAGAGTCTCGATAATATTTCCTAGAAGACTATATACGAGATTTATATCTTATATGACTAGCGGCCGCGCGAAAGCTAATCGAATTTGAGAGGGAGTATATATGTATTAAAAGAGAGTGTACGTATATTACATCTCCTTTTTTAAAATCTACTTTCTTCGATTTCTTTATTATCTGAATAGTATATGATTGTTAGCAACTCAGCTAAAAAAGCTGGTTCCGGGGGTGTCTGCGCTTAACAGTCAGATACCTCTATTTGGACCTAAATACCTGCCCGCAGAGGCCCTATAGAGCCCCCGTGGAGACTGTTCCTAACAATAATAAAAAAGCGAGTTAGTAGATTTATAGATTAGATCGTACGCTTTTAAATAATTCTATATTATTAAGAAATTATTATGGTTTAACTCATATATATATATGATATAAAAGATATTAATTGTTCTATGAGCCTATAGGGTAGATATATGCGGTGTCAAGCCTACGCTAGTAACTCTATGGGTATTTCTAAGATATCTCATAACATATATAGACGAGATTAAGTAGAGTTCTTATAAATATATTTAGAAAATAAGAAATGATTGTAAGATTACTACGTAGAGTACACTTAGTATTTCGATTAAAGTTCGATTACACTCGAGCTTGCGTCAGAGAGCCCTCGGAGGGAAGGAGGATTTAGGGGGTCTCCCCTTGGAAATATGTCTCTCAATTCTCAGAGTAAGACCACTCAACCCTTCGGAGCTCTCCGTGCGCTTCTGCCGAAGGGGTTGTTAAATCAAGCTCGAAGTCCATCAAATATCACTCAAATTATCTATACTTCGAGCTTGCTTTAACAACCCCTTCGGCAGAAGCCTTCCGAGAGCCCTCGAAGGGTTAGGAGTGATCACCCTAAGAATCATACTCGGCAAGCTTTCCACTAATCGTATCTACCCCTATTCGCGTTATACCTCTATTTACGCTATCTTAAATCCGATAATTTCGATCTAATATTAAAATGCCTATCTTTTATTAAATTTATATAGCAAACTAGTATAATAGTATTAATCTTTATTACTATTAAGGCTTCTATATCGAAGAGTCTAAATTACTATTTTTTAGACTTTATCGGCCTATTATATCTTGAAAAAACCGTTACTACCTCTTCTTCTACTATCTCTTCTTCTTCTACCTCTTCTTCTTCTACCTCTTCTTCTATTACTTTTTTATCTCTTTTATCTCTTTTATCTTACTATTATTACTATAATAGAGCGAGGTTTAATAGTAGTAATAGATTAGTCTCAGTACTTAGACTCTATTCGAAAGGGTTGGTGGTAGTGATAGGTCGGAAAAACCTTTTTTCCGGGCCGAAAATTCGTCATACCCTTCCCTTAGAGTCTGAGTAGAAAACCCTGGAATCGCTACATTAACCGTTATTTTGTATGGGATCCTCACCAAAATTGACCGAAATAGAAAATAAACAGTTTCTTTTATATATAACTTTTTATTAAGAATTCTAATAAAGAAATAAATAGTCTTTTATAAAATAACTATTTAAATACCGTAGAATTAGATTTTTTTTTTCGATTTTTAATAAAATAGCTTAATTAATTATTTTTAGAAGATTTAAATTAGAGTTTTAAAAACTATATTTTTAACCCCCCTCTTATTTTTTAACGTGCACCGGCAAAACTCTAAAAATAATCTTAAAATACTCGTTATATTTATAAGTCTATTTAAGAATATTATTATAGAATTCTCTGGGCCAGATTTTACACATTAATATTTCTTATATTTTTATTTAAAATTTATTTATCTAAGCTATTATCTTAGATAATCTATTAAATAATTTATAATTTTAAATTACTATTTAATAATTTATAGATATAAGTAAAGATATATAAAGTTTTATTAATATTATTTTTTAATTTATTTAATTTATTTAATTATTTTAAGATTTTTAGAAAAAAAATTAAAAAGCTTAATAACTTTAAAGACTTCGAACTTCAAATTTAGAAAATTTAATATATTATTATTATATATATTAAGAATATATTTATAAATTTTTATAAAAAGTGATGGTTCGGTTATCGAGTAATAATATATCGAAGTTATAGATTATTAAGTCTTTAAAATAGTTTCGGGGTAGCTTCGGGGTAGCTCGCTCCGGGGCAAAGCTACCCCGGAACTTACTAATGCTGATATATACCCAGGGGTAAATATCTCATATCAGCCAAACTACCAAAAAAACGAGGCTTGGCAGGGTTTCCTACTCAGACCCACTGCGTGGGGCCTTTTCTGAGACTAGTAATAGATCTAATGTGAGAGGCGTAGTAGTCTTCTTCTTAATTGGACTTAAGTAAGTCACATTTGAATTTAGGGTAGGAATACCTACTATAATAGATCTATAGACGGCGACTATAATATCGTAGTATTGGTTATTATAATAGACTGTGATAGTAGGCTATTTGAATGAGTGGTAGTGGTAGCTATTTATGTCGGATTTATCGGATTTAAGATGGCGTAAATAAGGGTATGGCGCGAATGGGGGTAGATACGATTATTGGCCAAGACAAGCGAGAGCAAAAAACAAGGCTGAGGATAAGCGAAGCCTGCTCCATCCAACGAACATCTTCGACGCCTTTCAATCCTGCCTACCTCGAGGAGTCGGTGCAGACGCGGTGACATGCCACCTGAGACCGTAGCATCAGGCCTGACAACTGCCAATCCCATGACAAGCTTTGCGGGCCACAACAATCAAGGCTTTCAGTTAGGGTCGAACCTGGGACACGTTCACACTGGAAATACCCATGCTTCCAACAGCCAGATCTTCCAGGGTAGTTTCCAGGGACTCACCATCAGTTAGACACCCACCAATACGGACAGAACACAAGCTGATAGTGCTCAGATCCGACGGCGGCTGCTCAGATCCCTCCGAGCACCTATGAGGGCCACTATGCCCGCTCGTCCCTCCAACCAGTCCCCAAATTCGTCTCGCGACCGCGATTGCACCAAAAGATCAAAGAACAGTTACACGACCTCAAGGATGACAGGAGGGAAGACGTGCGGATCCTGGTGTTGTGGGGGCTCGGTGGAGCGGGTAAGTCGCAGCTGATGCTGAACTACATCCGCGAATATCGACGGGACTACGCTGCCGTGTTCTGGATCGAAGCTGGATCGAAGGAGTCGATCGAGCGCGACTATGTCCAAATCTACCAACTCCTCTATGGTCGGCAGACATATATGGGTCAAGAGGTAGTGAAGGTGGAGGACGCGGTGCCTGCGGTTAAGCGCTGGTTCCACGGTCGTGAGGGGCGATGGCTGGTGGTTCTGGACAGTGCGGACACCATCGACAACGATCGAGACAAATCCTATATCGACCTGGGATATTTCATGCCTGATACGCCCGGAGTGCATGTTGTTATCACCTCGCGGAGCTCGACAGCTAAGGAGATAACAACGCTGGACGCGGTAGAAGTGGCGGATATGGAGCCGTCGGAGGCGGTAGAGCTGTTCCAAAGGTACGCGAAGCTGACGGAGGAAGGGCCGGATGTGATAAAAGAAGTCGATGGAATCGTGAGAGAGCTCGGGTATTTGGCCTTGGCGATCACCCTGGCTGGCTCGTATGTGTCGGTGACGGCTCGCTTGTCGTCTGATATCAGGAGGTATCTCCCCGAGTACCAGCAGCGGCGAAAAGAACTGCTTCGACGGCCGGCCAAGCGGCATATACATCAATACGGAGAAAGCGTTTTGAGCACATGGGAAGCATCGTTCGAGGCGATTGAGAATCACAATCCAGCCGCGGCCCGCTTGCTGAGTCTGTTGGCGTTTGTGAACTTTGAGGATATCTTTCTGGGTCTTTTCGATCGGGACCGCGCCGGTGTCCTCGCGAGCGCTCCCACTCGTGTTGCGGAACCATCAGAGGCCATGACATCGTCTAATGAGACGTGGCAGTTATTCCTCTTCTCTGGGCAGCAAAGGACAGTATATGAGCTTGAATCGGCGTTCGAGACGCTTCAAAGCTATTCTCTGATTCAGTGGAAACCGGATCAAAAGAGCTATGCGATACATAAGCTCGTACATGCATGGGGACAAGATCGGTTGGAGGCGGACGGGCAACGGCAGCTGAGCAGTCTGGCCCTAGAGCTTATGACGGATGCCATCGCTAAGGATCAGATGGACCCTAGCCATCAACTCCGGTTGGTGCCACACGTGATGGCTAGCTTTGATATGTTTTCTCCCCTGCATGAATCACTGGACGAGCTTGCGACGGGTCGACTCGGTATGATCGATGAGATGGAAGGCTTCCTGGCCAGGATAGGACGATGGTCCGAGGCGTACAAGATGCAAGTGTTTCATTTTAGAAAAACAGAGAAGATGCTAGGCAAGGAGCATCCATCTACGCTGACGAGTATGAACAGTCTGGCCTTGATGTTGAGCAGGCAAAGCAGATACGAAGAGGCCGAAGAGATGCTTCGACAAGCACTGGCGTTGAGGGAAACGGTGCTGGGGAAGGAGCATCCTGATACGCTGACGAGCATGAACAATCTGGCCTCGGTATTGAGCAGCCAACGCAAATACCATGAGGCCGAGGAGATGCATCGACAAGCACTGGCGTTGAGGGAAACGGTGCTGGGCAAGGAGCATCCATCTACGCTGACGAGCATGAACAATCTGGCCTCGGTGTTTAGCAGGCAAGGCAAATACGATGAGACCGAGGAGATGCATGGACAAGCACTGGCGTTGAAGGAAAGGGTGCTGGGCAAGGAGCATCCATCTACGCTGACGAGCATGAGCAATCTGGCCTCGGTGTTGAGCAGCCAAGGCAAATACGATGAGGCCGAGGAGATGCATCGACAAGCACTAGCGTTGACGGAAACGGTGCTGGGGAAGAAGCATCCATCTACGCTTAGGAGCATGAACAATCTGGCCTCGGTATTGAGCAGCCAACGCAAATACCATGAGGCCGAGGAGATGCATCGACAAGCACTGGCGTTAACGGAAAGGGTGCTGGGCAAGGAGCATCCTGATACGCTGACGAGCATGAACAATCTGGCAGAGGTGTTGAGCAGGCAAGGCAAATACGAAAAGGCCGAGGAGATGCATCGACAAGCACTGGCGTTGAAGGAAAGGGTGCTGGGGAAGAAGCATCCTGATACGCTGACGAGTATGAATAATCTGGCCTCGGTGTTGAGCAGCCAAGGCAAATACGATGAGGCCGAAGAGATGCATCGACAAGCACTGGCGTTGAAGGAAAGGCTGTTCGGGACTGACGAGTGGCAGTAGAGCTTTGTTTGACAAAGACCTTTGCGCTAGAACTGGTTAATAAATTCTTTCCTATCGACTTGAATATTCAAAAGTTGATAGTACTATTGGGTGAGGCGGAAAAGAATTCTCCTCAATGTGGCTCTTTACGCCTGGATCGACTTATCAAGCTCGCAAACTTCACTTGCAGTCGCTGCAGTCTTCAGAAAGCGAGTGTTCTCTTTCCAACCTCAGCTACTTGCGGTTTAAGCTTTTCTGCTTCTTCCCATCGTCCTTGATAATACTCCCACCCAGCAGAACCTGCCTTCGGCCACTTCTACTACTACTGGCTTCTACGATACTGGCTTTTACGGTGCTGCTTTCCGCGATGCTGCCTTTCGCTACGCTTCATAGGGCTATCTCTGCCAGTGCTAGCTTCATCCTCCTACTATTTATATATTTGAAGTTTCATGTGACTGACGGTCAAAATAGGAGCCTCTTTTTTCGGGGTCAAATGCATGCCCACTCTTTTCCCATCTTTCTGCTTCTGCCCTTTACTGCTTCTTCCCCCACTCAACCACAGTATAGCCACATGAAGGTGCTACAGGAGCTTCAATATATTATTAAGCGCAACTGGTCGGTCAAAAATAATTCCTGGCGACTAGCCTACTCCGAGAATGCTTCTGTCAAGAGAGCAGGTATCGGCATTGTTATCTCAGCTTCCTCAACGTTTCTACCGTATAGCATTACCCATACTGCTAAATACATGCGGTGCGACATCAGATCCCTTAACACTCATGTGCCTTCCGAAGTCTCGACTGAACCAGACCTCTCATTCGACAGGTCCTCCACCTTTGAGTTATGCGGAACCTCACGAATAGTGTAATCAAAGTCTTTGGACAGTAGATTGACAGGCAACGGGTACGAGGCTTCCAAAGGTCGATACATCGGATTCATACGTACGATCTCTGTCATGCTGGGAGGCCACCGTTCGTGATCAGTCGATCGATAAGTATAATACCTTCCATTTCTGCGGATGATCAATGCAACGTCCGCGTGACATAATCGCGCTAGCTGATCTGCCTTTTTCATCAAGTTTGGTTTCCTTCTGGTGAACTGCTGCGCTTTTGCTTTTGCTGCGTAAGGCATTTTCTACCTTTCCTGTTAATTCGACGACACGTCCTTAGCAGGGAACGGGCGGGGAACATATTATAGACGAGCACCAATATATCTCTGAACTTCCTGCTCCACTTCTGGATCCCCTTTATCTCGTCTTCCTCGCCCTTTTGTGTTCCATTTTTGGACCGTCCCTCCAGCTCCATTTTTGGAAGAGCCCCCCCAAAACCCGGCAAAGCTCCAATTTGGCCCCCTTCCTTAAGCTCCGATTCTGGCACTGGGAGAGTAGGGACACCCTCTGATTCCCTAGGTTCGTCTTTGGAAGGCTACACACCCTGAGACAGTGTATTAACTCGAAGGTTGTATAAACTTCGAGGGCAAGCAAGCTCAAAACATCTGTAAACACGAAGGCTACACAACTTAAAAGATATGCAAGTCCAAATACTATAGAGAACTAGAAAGTACAATATTAGAAAGTTCAATACATTTAGAACTAAGAGTTAATACACTGTCTCAGGGTGTAGCCTTGTGGAGACGAACCCAGGGAAGCATAGCGGGGCCCCCCGCTCTCCCAGTGCTAGAGCTTTTCAAGTCGTCAAAATATGGAGATAGAAAAATCGTAGAACAGTTGCTCTTGTATACACAAGCAATCCGTGAGGCCAGGAAAATCAACAATCAGCCTAAAACTCCACGAGGCATTCTAATTCTTGTCAGACATGTAGATTCCGTGAACGGTCGCCGCATGATTCTTTAAAAGCATCACAATGTCAAGCGTGACTACCGCACATTCGGGATGATAAGGGACGGCGGTCGAAGTGCCGCTGCAACGAGTATTTATTGCCAAGGTTAGGAAGTCGCTCCTCCAAAGGTAGGTCGGTGTCACCGAGGCAGTAAAGGCACTGGTAGGGTTTGCATCTTACAGGAAAGAGATAGGGGATCGAGGAGTCCGACCCAGAATCGGACTTGAAGATATATAGCAGCTCAAATCTCCATCCTACGCCTTCCAGACCAACGAGCGCAGCTCGAGGAGCCGGCTTCGAACATTTCATATTAATCTCGGCGAAGATATTGCAATCTGCAAAATCAGGATCCGGTCGAAAAGATGCGGTATCCAGTATAATGCCGCCATGAGTGTCTAGCCCATGTCATTCAGCTGGCGGTTAAGGATTTGTTCGACGGGATCCGGATTACTCCTACGAACGAGGAATTTCAGAATACATGGAATGAGGAGGTGGACTCTGACGAAGTCCGAAAAAGGCAAATCCGGGCGTCCCGTTGACATTAGCGAAGGTAAGATTTCTAATCAGCTTTATAATCAATTCCCATCGCTGACTAAATACTATATTATAGGTTCGAAAGGCTGCTGTCTTTGTCAACTCCAGTCCGCTTCGAAAAGAGAATTTCAATGATATTCAGAAGGAAAGGGTTGAGCGAGATTAGTGTTCGCAAACAGTGAGGCCATACAGAAAAAAACGCATGCACAAGTAGATATGTAGATATATGATTGGGCATATCCAACACCGGGGCAGCTAAGACCTTTGCAAATAGCCCCGAAAAAGGCCCCCCAGCGCTAGAAAAACTCCCATGTCTGAGCGACATGCCCTGGAGTGAAAATGAAGCTATAGCTATATAGGTGTGGGTGGGAGGGAGAACAATGATATGGCTCTGAAAGAGAACAATTCGAATGAAGAGCCCACCACAGGTGCAGTGGCCATACAAATAGTACTCGCCATGACCACCTGTCTCCCGCCTATCGCATATCGCATAATGACGGAACGGTTGATCAAACAACCACCAACGCTATGGCCTCATAATGGACCCACTAACCCACAGTCCCACTGTTAGGCAGAAGCAGATCGAGAGTTGGCCATCTCGGAACAGCGGTATGTCAGATACGAGTACTGGGTTCCGCACTACGACGACCGTACTATCGAGGAAAACATCTTCTAGCTTTGGATATAGCGAGACGTCTGAATCATCAAGATTGGCAATTCAGAACGGATCCTCGTGAACATACCGCCTCGTGAGACCTTTTCCCCCAATGCCATACCAAGCCAATACAATGTCACTGCCAAATACGGATATGTCTGACAGCAAGGTATCTACAAAGTCTACTCCATGGCGTGCAGAGACGAGTACATTCCTGTAATGAGCTATTTCCGTAACGTAGGGAGCGGCAACCCTCACCACTGGGGGCTGAATGTAACCGTCATGCATGACGGGCTCCGAGAACTGAGCTAGAGCTTAGATCTAAGATGCGTACAGAGGTAGTGAGGGATTAATAAAGTAGAAACGGCGTTAGACACGACCGAGGGCAGAAAATAAAGAACGCTAGATACGACGGTAGAGAATGCAAGGATAAAGAGCGCTAGACACGACGGTAGTAGGGTAAAATAGACGGGTGCTAGCTACAAAATACATTGGATAACTCGGAAAATGGTGGAAGACGGCGCTTTGTGTTGCATTTTGATATTGCACTGCACGTCTTCTGTACCTAGGATAATCTTCGTGTCTGATCTACACCTGGGCCAGACGAACATCCACGTCAATAGTCCTCTGAATAGAGCCCTGGTTCGTTGGCTGAGTATGTCTTTGGAACCCTGCATTTCCATTGCGCTTTACAGCGTAAACCCTTGACAAATTACCAAGTTCGATACGGTCCTCGGTGGACCCAGATCGTCGATACCCTTTTGTGCGCCTTGTCAACCCGGCGCCGGATAATAGCGGCTGAAGTGTGGGTATACAGGCAGCGACGATGATAACGTTGATCTCGTTTCTATTCGTCTTTCGTCAGGTGATATCATACAATTCAAATGTGTCGACTCACACATTCCACACCAGCAAATCAACCGTTGCCCCTTTTTGATGTCAGCACCTCAACGTTGATATTGATCTCACATATTTACAGGTAAAATCACTGCGGAAGCTTTCTCTAACAAGCTTTGTTATTTTGATGGCAGCACAAACAGCGGCACTGCGACTCATGACTTAGGGATGTCCCTTCGAACAGGTTTGTGGGTAGACGTACAATACCCCCAAGCCCAGAACGGTACTCAATACCATCTTTCTTTTCCTTTCCCTTTGGAGGTCCTTGATGATGATAAGAGGTAGAAGCGCTAGGAGTAGATCGACTACGGTAAAATAACCTATGATTATTAGCAGCATTCATTCCAGGTATCTGGATCAACTTACTAGAAACGATCAATGCGAAGATTGTCAAAATAGTAGGAGAAAAACATTTCGCGTGCGAAGCCACTGAGGGTATCCACAAAGCCCTTATAGGTATGCATTGAGTGAATGTGACGATGATGTCGGCCGTAGCACACAGGAAGACGCTGTAGATAATGAAATGGAGAAATCGTCGTTTCCAGATGCTGACGACTCCAAGTATCCGTAAGATAGGGAAGGCCACGGATATCTTGCCGGTGGCGATCGCCATGATGCAGAACGGCTGCGAGATCCAGTTGATCTTAGTGAGCAGAGCTTGGCGAGCTGCAGACAGATAGTATACATGCCGACAGCCTCCCTTGCTCGCGTAGAATGTCCAGATGCCGGAGAATGTGAGAGGGAAGACCTGGTCCCATCAGCCATTGCCTGAACATTGAAATTAAAATACTGCTCACCAGAGTGACCACAATGAATATGTCATCCAACCCTACGTGGCGAACGATCACTGCCCGCGTAAACATACGAAGAGCGACAACAATGAGAGAACTAGAGCATTCAATCCAGGTGAGTGCGAGAATGCCTGGCGCTCTGTTTTGATTGCCACCTGCGGGAGCTTTAAGAACGGCCATTTTTGGGATACTTGGAACAAGGTTAGCACTTTCATGGGCAGGCACATATTTAAACACACGCTGCCTTCATGTTAGGCCCAGATTGAAAGACTATTTCCACCCTCCGACCCTCCTCGAATAGCGTGGATATGGTGCTCGATTGACCACCATAATGGTTTTTCTCCACCGGCAGGGGCTAGATTGAGAAGGTCCAATTGAAAGCTCGGCACAGATCATCCAGGGCGGTGCTACCAACCTAATCGAGTGAGTGGCCCCGTGGCTACACCCCAAGCACCCTCAACTTTCCTGAAACCCAAAATAATTCTCACTCTCACAATGGCACTCCTTCTCGACAACGCACGTCGTCAAGTCCGCGCGGTCGCGCAATGGCTGAATCTTGCCCTTGAGACTTCTGGAGAAACGCAAGCAAGGATTTTGTACCAGGTTTTTACGTCCCCGCTTCCTCCCGGCCCTGACAGGGAAAAGCTAAGGCCCTTGTAGCCTTTGGAGACGGCATTGATTCGGGTAGCCGTCGACCTGAGAATCTTCAACGCCCTTAGCGGAGGCCAGAAGGGATCAAAAAGCCTGGACGAATTGGCGTCTGTGACGAAGGCAGATCCTGCATTGCTAGGTACGCTGATATGTGTTTCTACTTCTACTCTGACGGTCAGAAGCTGATGACTTGATTCCAGCACGAATCCTTCGCTCTCTCGCTGCTTTCGGGGCAGTCAGACGAACACGCACCAACGAATTCAGGGCGACATGGATCTCCGAGACATTTACGCAACCGTCTCTGAGAGATGGCTCAAAATTCTGGTACGTTCCCGCCAGAGCTCGACCACGTTCGAGCTGACATAGCTTTGACGTTGTGGGGATGACATGGCAATATCTTCCGGAGTTTTTGAGAAAGACGGGCCATAAAGAGCCTTTCGACGGTCGAAATTGCGCGTTCAACATGGCTTTTTGTACCGATGAGCCATTTTTCGACTTCTTGACCAAGAACCTCAAGTTCCTGGAGGTTTTCAATAGCTACATGACGAGCCAACGCCAAGGTCGGCAGAGCTGGTTGGAGTTCTTCCCCTTGGAACAGGAATTGGTGACGGGGTTCTCCGGCGAAGGCAACGCGGTCATGTTTGTCGACATTGGCGGCGGTTACGGCCACGAGATTCAAGAGGTCAAGAAAAGGTATCCTGATCTTCCCGGACGAATAATTCTTCAGGATCTTCCGGACACGATCAATCAGATCACTGCGGCCCCGAACACAGAGGCCATGGCATACAACTTCTTCACCCCGCAGCTGATCCGAGGTAAGGAGCTCGACCTGTTTTCAACTGCATGCTGACCGGTCCTTTTAGGTGCTCGGGCCTATTATCTTCGTAATATTCTTCACGACTGGCCGGACACGCAATGTCGAGAGATACTTCAACGTACTGCCTCGGCGATGAAGAGGGACTACTCGAAGCTTCTCATCAACGAGTGGTGTCTCCGAGATCGTGGGTCTAGCATCTACGCTACCTTCCTGGACATCAACATGATAGCAGTATGTGCGGGCATGGAGCGGACCGAGATACAGTGGGAGGAGTTGCTGAAGTCTGGCGGACTCAAGATCTCTAAGATCTGGTCGGCGTCACAAGATGCTGAAAGTCTAATTGAAGCGGTGCTGGAATGATCTCGGAGGCTGCTCGCGTTGCTAGCAATCTTCTCTGTGTAGCTCATAGGAGTCCTTTCGTAGAGGGACTAAATTGAGAGTTTTCCCTGTTTGACGTTTATGAGACGCGCATCGGCCAGCGTTTCATGTCATGAGGAGGATCCCCCCAACAATGCAACTTGCTCCTTCCATCTATCTTGGAGCCAGCCAGCCACCACAATGTCTGAGGCAGACCTGGACAGCTCTCTCATCAGGCAAATGTTTCGCACTCTCTCCTCGTACTCGGTCTCGGGTAAAATTGCAGTGATCACTGGAAGCTTCCATGGAATCGATCTTGTTGTCGCCCATGTTTGTGTGTACGCGAAGGTGTCTCATATCATTCTCGTCGGTTCTCGGGAATGCACCTTAATGACAGCCAAGGGGCATCTGAAAGTATCTGTCGAAGAGTGCGGTGCATCAACACGCATTTATATGCATACGGCGGACATCACGGACATCGATCGAATTGCTTCCATTTTCTTCGGAGTGCGACGAAGAATCGGCATCCCTGATCTATTGATTCTCTGCACGCCTAGCAGGTGCCCGAGCAGACCCGTGCACGAGTATACGATCGAAGACGTTACTCAACACTTGGATCTTAACGACAAAAGCAAGAAAGGCTTTATACGCAACTTCTTAACGCCCGGCACCCGCAAGAGAAAGACTCTTATCGACCTCTCCATCATCGCCAATGAACATCTGCCCAATTTGGTCTCTGGGCAGGAAATTAAAGCCCACAGCCATTTTTTGGCTTACGCATGGAAGAAAGATAGAGATTGGTTCCTTACCTTTCAAGACATCCTTCACGGCCTCGTCACGACAAAGAGACTCGGAGAGAAGCTCAACAGGCGAAGCCAGGCTTGGGTTGTCGCTGATAGTAAGTTGAATATTTGCCAGCTGCAGAGCAAAGACTAATGAGGTCGAGCAGTAGATCCTGCCTATCGGCTCGCGCTGTGGCGCCTGCCTGAAAAGACCGCTTCAACATTTGACGGCATGATACTTGGGAGTGAATCAGTACTGGAGCAAGCTAAGGCTGCCCAATTACTCAAGCAACGGGCACGAATAGTGAATGTTCTACCAGAAGGAGGGGGAAACTGAGGTTTAGAGGAGGGTGTTCGGTAGGAGTAATAATACCGGAGGGAGTTGGTGAGATAACGTACAACACATGCATTTACGGTTGCACACTTCAATTCAACGACGCGGAAATGAAAGGAGACAAGTCTTGAACAGCGCATAGAGCTGAAACGTTGCTATAAAATCCTATCAAAAAGGGCTCCTGGAGTCCAGATATTCAACGCTAGCCTATTCAAGCACTAGCCGCCGCTTTCGCTTTGTGTTGTTGGTTTTGACGGCTTATAGCCATTGGCCACAATGTGGCTGGGGGCTACAGCCACATAGCCATGGCCCAGGTGTGCCGTGGTAACTAACACGCCTGGAAGGCTGAGATGTGACCCCCGAAGCAATCCGATTTACTATGGGCCACAAGCCAAAATCGGATGACTCGGAGGGACAAATATCCAGTGATTTGGCAAGCGACTTTTCGCATTTATATCAGGCCCATGCCCACTTGCATGAAGTTCTTTCCTTATGTTCTACCTATCATATGTACTCAATCTATTTGGCATAGCCTACCAATTCTATTGCCTTAGTAGGGCCAATTGCCAACAGGTTATGAGCCCGGTCAGCCATTGACCGAGGTTTCAGTCTTCCGCTACACCTACCTACCACCGCTATGGCCCACCTGAGTACCAGAGGACGCAGCCGCCTCGAGGATCCTACCGAAGGACACTCGGGGGCAGGGCTGCAGCAGGCTGGGGGCCGAGACCGTTCATCCGCTGAACAGACAGCGTCACCAACTGGGGACCCTTACCATCCAAAAGGTAAGGGAAGGGAGGAAGAAGAGGGGGAGGAGGACCTCCTACCCGATTTGGACAATCTACTAACAGTCGATTTGTTGGAGGAACTGGATAAGGGACTCATCAGCAAACCGCACGTCAAAATGGAAGTTCTGAAGGACTTGAACTACCACCTATGGGCCCAGGACCATCGACAGTTCCTCGAGGGACGTGGCATCTTTGAAATAGTGTCAGAGGACCTATTGATGCCCACACCATTCGGTAGGGAGCCAGCTAAACGATGGACCGTTTTGGACAGGTGGATCGCTACACTGATCAGGGGTAACGTTGACCGAAATCAGAAGAGTCATATTGCCCACCTTACCACTTCCAAATCCATGTGGGACAAGCTTCGAAGAATTCATGGATTGAGTGGCAAAGGACGTCTTCCTATCATGCTGCAGAAGTTCCTCGGGTACACCAAATCAGCAGACCAAACGATCGATCAAATGGTAGCAGATTTACGAAACCTACAGGACGAAGTCACGGACTTAAATCCAGCCTGTGCACCACACGATCTCACCATGGCGACGGTAATTATGAACGCTTGCCAGGGGAATGAGTTCGATGTGGCTAAATACAATTTGGGGATTAACGAGAATCTCACCACCGAAATGGCTGTGGAATGCCTACGAACCGTGGAGCAAGACAGACAGGCCAAGGACAAAGGCCTACTTGCACGCAATGGACGAAAGGGCCAGTCAAGCCAAAAGCCTCCCAGGGACATGAGCAAGGTAGAATGCTATGGCTGTGGGAAAACCGGGCACTACGAGAGGGAGTGTCCGGATGAGAAGGACGAAAAGGATAAGAACCATGGGGCGAAGGACTCAGATGGGCGAAATCGTGAATCAAAGGATCGACCAAGGGGTTCAAAGACATCCAAAGGTAGTGGGCGAGGACGCTCAGACCATGCTGCAGCAGCAGCAGACAAATCAGACACCGACGGTGATGCTAGCGATGTAAGCGATGCATACAGTCGAAAGGAAGGCTCATGGATGGCTAGGGAAAAGCCAGAGCCCACCGACAGTGGACTATCAGTGAAGAATTCTTCCATGATAGCAGACTTTTCAGGAAACAGTAGCTGGCTAATAGACTCCGGAGCGACTCGCCATATGACACCAAACAAGGAACTATTTACCGACTGGCAGCCTTATTCGAAAGCAGTGGAATTCGGCAATCAAAGCGAGTTGATGGCGACAGGCAGGGGAACCATCTGAATTCGTATGGGCAACCACATGCAGACCATGACAGATGTTCTGTATGTCCCAGGAATGGGTGGTAACCTGCTATCTATCATAGCACTGGATCGAAAGGGTTTTGAGGTACGATTCGGAAGCCTGGGTGTTGAAATCATCAACACATCCACAGGCAAGACGGTAGCAAGGGGCTGTGCGAGGAATGGCCTATATCAGTTGACCACATCGACATCTGATAGAGCATTCGCTTCTAGGGAGTCGGGACCTCCCATTGGAAGCACACCTACACCTACGAAACAAGCAGGACAAGTCGATCATTTTCGACTAATGCATCAACGATTGGGCCATACTGGAGCGTATCGCCTGAAGGACCTACATCTCTACGCAAGAGGTGTAGAGGAAATGAAACCATCGGAAGGATTCCAATGTGACACATGTGACTCCACGAAAATGGTTCAACAGATCAACAAGGACCCCAGGCCAAAGGAAACAGTACCAGGAGCTCGGATGCACACCGACTTCTGGGGACCATATCCCGTGGGCAGCATTGTGGGGGGCAGCAAGTGGTTTGTATCCCTCATCGATGAGGCCACTGACCAATCGAACTTCGAGCCCATTACATCAAAGAAACAGATCTACGCCTTCATCCTTAGGAATGTGATTATGATTGATAAAATGGCTGGGGTAAGAGGAGTGGTGTCAGTCAGAACCGACAATGCACAAGAATACAAGTCAGTCGAGGATACACTCAAGGAACGAGGTATCACTATGGAATTCACGACTACCTACACCCCATACCAGAATGGTATCGCAGAACGATTCAACAGGACGTTGACTGAATTCATGAGACCCATGCTTAGCCAGTCAGGCCTACCCATGAGCTTCTGGTCAGAGGCCGCAATCTATGCAAACCATCTGAAAAACAGACTACCACATGGTAGCAGAGGGAGCAAGTCACCCTACGAACTATGGTTCAACAAGAAACCGGACCTGAGTCACGAAAAAGTCTTCGGTTGTCTATGCTTGGTTTACCTACCAAAAGAAAAACGAGAAAGTAAGCTACATGCTGTGGCCTACCAGGGCATATATACCGGTTACCATTCATCCACTCAGTACCGGATTTATGACCCTCGGGACAATCGATTCGAATGGCCTACGAATGTCATTTTTTATGAGGACCGCAAGGGAGTCCAACTAATGACTCAAACTTCGTTCCCAATGGCCTACAACTCCATGCGAGCAGACATCGCCCCCACTGGTGTCCGGTGTAGGCCTTCTATGGTCCTCCTCATCATCGTCGTCGCTAGATATGTCCGGTTTCTTGTTGAACCATAGTTCGTAGGGTGACTTGCTCCCTCTGCTACCATGTGGTAGTCTGTTTTTCAGATGGTTTGCAAGGTTGTAGTGGTAGCAATAGGCCACTCACAACCATGTGTGATTCATCGCTTGAGAAAGCAGATGAACCTGGAGGTGTGTCTTTATGTGCCGCATGCCTTTCTTATCACTATCACAGAAGGGTTTACGGACCACGGAAGATCCGGTGGTGCAAGACTGTGGAGAGCCAAAAATGGATCGTGTGACATTTCAAAAATAAAACCCCACTCTGCGATCTCTTTGCATGCAAATAAAATACTAGCTCAACTTCACAAGGTCAAACGTGGCTATCAAGACCAATCATGATAGTTTGTACATTTGCAATGTTACTTGTGCGGTATGATACACTCAAGGTCCACAAACTCTTACGCTCACATTCATCAGGGTCGTCACTGCATACGCAGTCCAAGGATCATTGCGAAGTAGCATAAATCACAGCCACCCAGACCCCGCATCCAATCAGACCGTTGTTCCAGCCGGTCCAAGCTTTGTAGGTCCTCAAAGTATCACCTCATCGAGCCCTGACGACATGAGCACGCAAAGCCTCTCCGGCATCGGCACCATCACGACCCCAGCCCCTTTTCTCGCCCTCAGCATGTGTCCTGAAACCAGTGCTCAGAGGTGTGCAGCACAAGAATCCTTTCCGTCGACCAGATCCGAGGTATCGACCATCGTCGGCGTTCTTCTGAGGATGACAAAAGTGTCGCAAGGTAAAGGGCTGCGAGAGTTCATGACTTATTTCGCGAGCGCTGACCTTTTCAAGTTGCCCGGGAATCATCTTCAAAGCAGTACGAGACGCAACCCGAACCCAATCGGACGCGTCATGTATGGCCTCTAGTTCCTCGGCCGGCGACGGAGCTCACTGTGCGGTAGCTTCTCAAATTCGTCTGCGTGCAAATATGTCCGCAGTCTAATGCGACTGCTTTCCTGAAATCATCCTCTTCTCGTCTACACTCGTTGAAGTAAAGTGTCAAGCACCGTTGGGTTTTAGCAGACCCTTAGAGAGTGTGGACCTTCGCTGCAATAAATTGCCCGCGTACCATTATTTCCATGACTCCGGTATTGTGATGTAGCTTTCGGCCATTTTCAGCAGCTTCGTGCAACTCCTCTTTGTGATCTAAACCACTTCCACCCTCCTGCTAAAGTCGTGTCGGTTGAGACGGTATAAAGGGGGTCTTCGAGGAAATAATAGAATCTGCGATTCGGGCTCGATGGCTCATCTTTGCTCGCTCGATATCCTGATAGAGTAAGTACTATAGCATATTCGGGGTACATTTGACAAACGTAATGTCTCAGATATCTTTCAAAGGTCATGGAGATATTCTTCGTAGCTGACCGACAGACAACAAAGCCTTTACGCCGATAGTCCAGTGATACACAGTCGATTCCGTACGACCGAGTGATGGGACGACGTGGCGAGCTTGAACAGGGTTTGCTCTGCCGAAGATTCACGGAGGAGCTCTTTCTATCATTTCGCTTCAACAAGGAGTTGTGGGCGACATGGGCGGAGGGGGCGTGCGAGGTATTGCTGATATCGCAATGGCGAGTCATAGACACCGGTGTAAGGAGTCCGTCAAGGTCATCTTCCTCATTAGCCTCGTCCGAGGACGACACATAATGCCAATCAGGCGCATTCAAAAAGTCTTCGCGATATTGATGGTATTTGGGATGATCCATGGCTGACAGCGAGTGCTCATTGCTGTTAGTGAAGTGTCTCAAAGATATCTGAGCCTCTTGCGCCTCCGGCGTCCGGCAATAAATTTTTCCGGGGTCGCTCGAACACGTACCAAGGTACTCTACTCCGTACGAGTCTACACACCCCAATTATCAATCCTCGACAAATTCTTGCGAGTAGAAGCCTGCGATGAATACACACATCGTCGCAAGAGCTAGTGGATCAAAAGATCGAGCTGTATCCCGTGTCTCTGCCCCCACTGTTGAGAGAGTTTCGGAAACGGCCGTGAATGATATTTTGAAGATCACACCGAAAGGAGGGCCAGCTGCGGTCGCCTTTCATGAGCTGGCTGTGAGAAAGCGCAACGGCCATTTAGACGAGCATCATGCGCAATTCATCGTTGTCACCGAAAAGGGGCTCCTCTCCGCCACTGAGGGATTCGATTCTGAGCTTGATGAAGGCGCGACAGTGGACACCACAAGCGACGAGGAAGTGCCCATCTACCATGGTTACTTCCGTCTGAATTTTGACTGTACACCACTAAGCAAAGGGGTCAAGTGGGTCCTCGGAAAGGGAGTGGGCAACAACGTCCGCAGTCGAAATGTCGATATTCTGCTCGCCGCACCAAGTTCTAGACACCGAAAACACCTCGCCAGCGCCCATGCTTTCTTGAGAATGAATATCGAATCCGGGGCCTGGATTCTCCACGCCGGCGAGGGTCATCATATGAAAGAGCTCGAATCGACGGCTCAAGCCAGCAGTGGTCCCGACGGCTTTGCGCAATGTCGTCACAAGCCCGTAGTTCTCGATGACGAGTTTATGAAGCATGGCTCGATGCAGTGTTTGCATCGTCCCCGAACGTCTTTCCTTGTGGGAGGTATGCGCTACGATATTCAATTTTGTGTTACTACGTCGGCAAAGGAGCAGCTCTATCTCGAGGAGAGAAAGGCATGGCTGATGGCACGTGAGGCGCAAGTGCCCGAGACACGCATATCAGCTATTCCCTTCGACTCCGACATCCATACCCCCTGGGCTGTGTTCAGACAAGGCATGGGAAGCGGCACTTTCGGGGTTGTGCTGGAAGGGTTCCACCCGCGAACTGGAGACCTCAGAGCGGTCAAGAAGCTGGTCATCAGATCACATATCGAAGCACAGACCGTCAAAACCGAGATCGAAATCAGTGGAGCACTTGGTCACTCTCCAGGTATTGTGCATTTTTACGGTTGGTGTAACTCGCAAGCCGAAAGTACTCTAACGGGCTTCTATCCGTTGGAAGTATATCTATTTATGGAAAGGGGAGTCTCTTTCAAGGAGCACCTATGGCACGAGGAACTAGAGGCGGACTGGGCTTTGCGCACCCTACTGTTCAAGCAACTTCTAGAAGGCCTTGTCGCTATTCATAGCCGTGGCTGGATGCATCGTGATATTACCCCAATGAATGTCTTATACTTCCCACGTGAACCGAGGCACGCTGGCATATGCGATTTTGGAAAATTACACCAAGCGACAACTAGTACTGTTGAGGAAATAGCAGGGTGGAAGTGGCTCCCTCCCGAAATCCAAAAAGGCAAAAATCAAAAGTACGACCAAAAAATCGACATATGGCTACTTGCATATACGCTTCTACAGTCTTGGTTCCCAGCTGATTGGATCATTGGAAGAAGTCTCCGTTCAGAGAGAGATCACCGAATTGTCCTTCAATTTCTAGCGCAGTGCGAGACGAGTGTGTCCTCTGTATTGAAGACTATGCTTTCGTGGGATTCCCATACCCGACCTACCGCCGCTGAAGCTCTGATGGATCTGGTCCGCGCAGATCGTCCTCCTCCGGACGGTAGTTCATTAGGTCCCGTGCATCTTGATGAATAAATCCCCATTCAGATTATTCAAATACGCCCGGCAAGTGGGACATGTCTGAGTGGCCCCTTTGGCGCCTTGCTCCTGGTACCAGAGATAAAAACAAGAATCGCAGAACTGGTGTCCGCACTGCGTAATCCCGCAACACACCACCTCTCGACATATTGGGCACTCAGGTACCTGGCGTTGCTGAAGGAGTCTTATCGTCGTTTCGGCCGTGGCAAGCTCGCTGCTCAATCGACGTCCCAACGCCTCGGCTTGCTCTTTTTCCTGTATCAAAAGATCGAACGGCTCTTTCTGTTGAAGCCAATCTTGTCTCTCGGCCTCGTCGCAGGCGCCGACGCTCTCGTGTTTCTTCCGCTCTTGTGCATCAAGAAGATTTTTGTTCTGTCTGACAAGCTTATTTTTCTGCCGGAGAAGATATTTGTTGTTGTCCTGCTCGACCTGAAGTGCACGCTGCAACTCATCGATGTCGTGCCGTGGATCATCGGCTCTGCTTGACGGGCCTGGATCTGATAGATCGTGAAGATCTGGAGCCCTCTCACTGTCGTCAACTACGATAGGATTCACTGGCAACAGGTCAGAGCAGTCTCACACGTAGGGAATATCCTTCGATTACCTGCACTACCCGTCAAGCCAATCGCATTGAGTTCAGAGCGAATTTCAGGGCTTAAGTAATGATTCGCTAAGATCAGATGAAAGTCGCCATTGGATGGGACAACAGTGACAAGCTGGGCTGGAAAGCTGTCAGAAGTATATGTTAGGCCGAGCACTCGTTGCGCCATGAGGTCAGGATATGATAGGTGGGGGAAATGGTGGATTTCGAGAACGGAAAGATAGGGTCAGCTGGGGGGTTTATATGTTCGTCGCCGCCGGCTAATCATGCACCCTGCAGCTCTCATGCCGTCACATCCCGCACCTACACACCTACGCCATACCCTCTTCACATTTGGCGTTCAGGCGAAGCAAGCCTCGCCAGTCAGATACATGAGAGTAGACCAATATCCACCGTACACTGAACAACGCCAAGTCTCGACTTGTCCCTTTCAGCTTCATCTGTCTCTCGCCGCCGGAAGTCAGAGACATAATGGCCGCACGATGTTGACCAGCCAGGGGCTTGAGGGTAGAAGAAAGACAGTCCTTACATCCTTTGCATAGCGCCAGCATTCTGATTGGGGTTCCTCGATGCACATGTTTCTAATTGTGGCATCCACCAGTCGCTTAAGAACATCCCTGTCCACGATGCGAGGCTCAATCCTTTTACGTAAAGATAGCGGAAGTGTCTCACCGTCTTCGGCCATTGCTCTGATTACGATAACGTCAATGCCCTGATGATACGGTATGCTCTTGATGTCGAAGGGAGCGGAACTGCCAAAGCTCACCACCTTAGGCAAGACGGCTCTCAGGGATCGTATTTGCAGTGATGCAGACGAAAGGCTGAGTGCTGCCGTACTCACATACACCAACCCAATCTTACCGTGATTGATCGGTGCACAATCTTGCTACGACAACTCGTTTTACGAAGGGCCGAAGGACACTAGGTCCAATGGCAGAAGGCAAACCCGGTACATAGCTGGCTGCAAGATTGCTCCATTGGGTTCTAGAATCCTGATCGTGGCCTGTTGGGTGAGATAAGACTAGAGCACCCTCCTGATCAGCCTTGAAAGCCCATCTCCTTTTGAGCTTAGTCGAGGCGTGGTAGGCCGCAACAGAAAGTACATAAAGCGGCTCCTTTCCCCATTGCTTCTCTTTCTCTAAAAATTCTTTCTCCCCACTCAAATTCCCAGACCGACAAGAATTTTGCCTCGCTGCCGAGAAGCCTTGCAATCATGGATGATCAAACAAGCGCTTTTACCTATGACAACGGCTTCTTCGAGTCATCAGGGGTGGGAGATGATGATGTTATCCTCACCGCTATCGACGCATTGCCGCCCCCCGATGCTATGAGAATCGACGACGACATATGGACAAGCAACAATGCCATCGACCATCACGGAAGCAACATCCTTGCGACGACATTTCGTGACGAGTTCTCTGTTGAGGCCAATGTTCAGGGTGCTGACTCGTACCGCGAGACTCTCGCGGACACGTTTTCGTGCGAAAAGTCTGACCGTGATTACGTCGCACCTGTGAGCAGGAACTTCTCCGAGATCGAGCCTAAAATCAACGACGAACGGAATTCGGCCGAACCGGATACCGCAACCTCGCCGGTTGGCATGACCGAAAATCTTGATTTCAAAGATTCAGAGCTTGGAATTAGCCAGGATCCCGTGTGTACGTCGGCGCTTGATGAGTGTCCTGTGAAGGCCACACCTGTGGCCGATTTTCTGGCCTGCGAAGCTGCTCAGGATATTCAAGGCGAGGCCGAGAGGGCCGAGAAGGCCGAGAACGACTCGGTTGAAGCAGCTCTCGAAGGCAAAAATCCCGCTTCAGATGTTGTCTGTCCTTCTTCGCCTCGTCGCAACATCTGTCGCTCAATGCGACCTTCTCGTGACGTCCATCCCATCGACGACTCTCTGTCCTTTGTATCTGCCAAGCGGAGGCACGCCCCGTCACTTCAACCTTCTCGTGGCGTTCAGCCAATCATGAGCCAGACGCTTGCTCTGTCGGTTGTCATTGAAGTCGCCAGTGGTCCCCGTGCCGCTCTTCCGAGAGTCGCAGAGTCGACTGCGTTAGACTTTTCGTTGGAGAGTGTTCATGTGCCACGTCCTGAATCTCGGAAGCGTGCGGCAGCGAAGGAAATCTTGAAAGAAGCCAAGAGGGTTAGACAGTCTGATGAAGGTATATCTCTAGTGTTGATCAGGCCTGGTTCTTTGCTAATGGAGGGAACAAGCTCTAGTATCTCAAAATCTCTGACCTCGACGATCGACAAGACCTTCGACAGAAGACGCTCAAATTTTCGAATACGACTACGGATCAGTCCAGCGGAAATGCACCGATCTTGAGCGTGACATCGATGACCTAGACATTCAGCTCAGGAGAGAAGCTAAGGCTCTACAACGTAGATTCAGAAAGGAAGCCCAAGAGGCCGAAGATTGGTTCAAAAAACACTATCGCGACATAGCCGAGAAATTCCAACCAGAGGTCCACGATCTGGAAGACAAGCTTCAGTCGACTACGGAGGCCTTGCAGCAGCAGTTGGACACGTTCAAGGTTGATCTCAGAGACGCAGGACTTGTGAATCTCGATGCATAGTTTTATTCAAGGCAGCCTACACTCTACTCGTCTATTGGAAGAAGCGTATCTTGATAAACATATTATGCGCTTGTACATCAAATTTTGCAGCAACACAAATTTAAATCATATTTTCGGGGGACACTACATGGCTATGATACTGTTGACACCAAGCGACAGCGCACCTCGTCCATGTTCCGACACAGGCACGACAAGGAGTCTCTGAGTATCCTGGGCGTCTCGTCGACAGCAGGACACTGACTCTTGATGGTCGATCTGCACAATATTACACCGAACCGGCACATCACCGCCTCGGCATTGCGCTAAAAGACTACTAGTTGGCTGGCTAGAGGGCAGAGGGGAAATCGCTTACTTACAAGTCTTACATCACGATTGCTTTCGAAAATCGCAGTATCTTTAACGTCTCGCTAACACGTATTTTAATTCAGTTTTTAGACTGCTACCAGAATGGAGAAATGTGAACGACTCGTATGAATGACCTTTCTGAAGACTAAACCTTAAAAGACCTTTTGTTGCGCAATACTCGAGGCGCCCGCAGGGTACCCTCACCCCCTAAGCTATCCGTGTCCTACCGGATTAATTGGCATATAAAATACTACCATATAGCCGAAGCGTCCATCTGATCATCGTTTAGAATCGTATTTTATATGTAAAGGGGCCTTATAACACTGTAGTATCGTATGGCCTGAGGCGCTAGTCCATAGCCTTACTAAGCTTACTATCGCCAATCGGAGAGCTCGAAGAGACGCCCTATCAAAATAGAAGCTACAGAAGCATATAGAGCATATTTCTCCTATCGTATCTCTAGAACCAGTTAATTAATTATAAAGTATATCTTATTAGATAGGAGAATACCTCTAAAAGGGAGATACGCGCCTATAATAGCTATATATACTATTCCAATATTAGTTAAACGAGCAATCATCTCCTATTCGCTCTTCATCTTTATTCTTTTATTCCTTCGTCCCCAATGGCTTCCCTACACATATCCCAAGGCCAATCGTCAGTCCAGCAGCTCCGCAAGCCTAATGCATTCGATGCACTCATGAAGAAGCCTAGCTCGGCTACCCAATTGAGACCTGGCCCTCTTCCAAAGCCCATTGAGCTCCGTAGCGTTCGTGGAGCCCGCATATCGAAATCCAGCCTACTTCGGTCTCCCAAGCATCAGCTTCTTACCCACATCCCTCATATCGATGAAGAGTCTCTTTTTACCGAGTTTGAAGCTCAGCGGGCTGCTTATGCCAACGCTCTACCTGAGCATGAGTCACCTCAGAATAGAAACGACGGCTGTCATGAGGAGGATAGAAGACGGGTCTCATACACCAGGGAGCAGAAGCTGGCTGCTGTCAGCTATGCTATGACCACAAGGAATCCGGATTTACGCACTGGTGAGTTGAAGCCTATCAGCAAGTACCTTGCGGCCAAAAACCTCAAAATCACCATACCCATGCTCAAGAACTGGATGGCCAATCAAGTGGATATCTAGAACATGAAGAAGGGTACCCGCAAGAACCGGTCATATGCAGCTGGTGCAGCCAAATACCCTGAGTTAGAAGCCCGTCTGATTGAGCTTTTCAAGACGGCTCGAGGCCATGGCAGTAGTATTAGCAAGCGGTGGTTTATCCAGCAGGCTAAGGAGGTTTTTAAAGCTATATTCCCTGAACAGGTGCATAAGAAGGTCGATTAGCTAACTAACTATATAGGTTTTAGATTTTTAAATAGCTAGTTTTAAGTATTTCGCCAGAGAAATAGAATTTTAATTCGTCGTTCTACGAAGAGAGCTTAAAAAGTTCAACATCTTCTTTTGAGAGTCTATATAGATTTCTACTATAATCGCTAATATATCTATCTAAACTCCCGAAGATTACCGCGAGTAAATCGTTCTTTAATTCTAATTCAATAGGCGTAACTCGTAGCCTCTCCTCGGTCAAATACCTCTACACGATAAAGGTCGTTACCTCCTCAGCGACATTGGCAATATGGATCAGACTCCTGTACCCTACGAATTCTTGAATGGAACGTCCTACGACTTCAAGGGTGCAGAAACCGTCTGGGTCAAGGAAACCAGATCCGGATGGGACAAGAGGTGTGCCACACTCATGGTTTACGTTACGGCCGATGGATTTCCTCACTGCAGACCTCTTCTGATCTTCAAGGGGACGAATGGTCCGAAAAACTCTACGATCAGGAGCGAGATGAAGCAATACGATGAGAGGGTCAAGGTCCAATGGAATCCGAAGGCCTATTATAATAGCGAGGTTATAATTAAGTAGCTAAGAGAGTAATACGCTTACGCTATATCTACGTTCTTTGATTATAAAAAGCCTTATCCTCGCCTTCTTAGTCTTAATATTTTCAAAGATTAAAAGACGCCGAAGGTAAAATAAGCCTTAAAGGATCTTAATATTATACCTTCGTTTATTCCCTCAGGCTGCACCGGCTACGTTCAAGTACTCGATGTGGCCATCAATAAGCCTCTAAAGATCCGTATCCAGAGGCAACAGGACCTCCACTATCAGGACCATTTCAGCAAGTGGAAGGAGGGTAAGTATACCGTCGGTGATCGCCGAATTTTGCTCACAAAATGGGTGGCTCAGGCTTGGGAGGATCTACATAAAGAGCTTGGTGGAACAATTCGTGGCACATTCAGGAAGCTTGGATTAGCCGACCTACCTGAAATCCAGGTAGGGGACTAGCATTTAAATCTACCTGTCGGTCAGAAGGAGGATATCTTCAATGCCTTGGATCCTGATGCGAAGAAGAAGAGGAAGAAGGACTCTGATGTGGATTTGGAAGCCACATATGTGATGAATGATGAGGAGGATGCTGATAGTAGCGACAGCGAGATCCATGACGAGGATTTGGATGGCGAGGGTGTGTGTGTGTGTGTGTAATTCCTACATCGGAGGGCCGTGCCCCTGTTCGTACCCCTTCCCATTGAAAGGCGTAGCCTAGAGTGTAACCGTTTTTACCCACTCGGCCTTACGGCTATATCCGGCATCCGTACCCCATTTGAGGTACGGCAGATAATCGTGATCCCGTAGAACCACGGCTATATATATTATATTGGGAATTCCAAAGCCTTCATTGCAACCAGACACCATTACACTCTGCAATGTACCCCGAAGCTTTTTCCTCGTTTCTCAGGGCCGAGCTCTAGCCTCTCTGTTCCATGTAGAGTACACTCAGACGCCCAGTATTCCATTGTATATCGTCACGTAAGAGAGAGAATAGTGACATTTGTCAAACCGAAGTCGAGAGCTCGCTTCGATTCCCGTAGGGATATAAGATCTAATCGAGGCCTATTCGTATATCGATAGCTGACTGGGAGATATATGGCTATTACTTATTATTCGCTGACTCCGCTGTTAAGGGGGTATTTTCCAAGCGCATTAGATTCAGCTCTCTTGTCTGGTCTCTTTCCTGTAGAAAACCTCTATATAATTCTCGTAAACGAGCTGACTCGTTTATAGCCGGAGTTGGGTACTTATAGTATTTAGAGAAGAGTTATCGATTAGCGAGGGAGGGAGGTATTATTCGATTGAGAGGGGTGGGGCTCGCCGTCATGTCGATGATAGATTACCGAATTCTTCGAGGGGGACGCGCCGATTTTCGCTCGTACGTAGTTGACCGTTGTCGTAATCGAAGAATCCGATCGTACACCCATGTGTAAATGTACGCTCCCTTGAGATCTCTTGGCTCCTCTGACGTGCCGGACCGTAAGTCTACGCCCACTGCAGCTGACGAGTCGGGACCTAATCAACGCGTAGCAGCTGCTAAACAGGTACAGAGCAGACTCCCGAAGGCATAGAAATCTTTGTTAGAGGGTTCGTAGCCGGTAACGGCGATGAATTGGACGCTGCAAGGGAGATGGTATCAAAAGTCATCATCCCCCGAGGTTTACCCGGCCACTGCTGGCTTCCCACCAAAATACTACCATACTCGTGCTGTCCAGAAGTGAGTTCTTTGATAGAGCGAGGACACCAATAAATCCTTCCACTTAGCCGAATATCGGTTAATCTATTGGTGTCCTCGCTCTATCAAAGAACTCACTTCTGGACAGCACGAGTAGATACTTCTAAATAGTGACTAATGAAGTATAGTATACTCTCTTACACCTCTACACGCAGTTTATATCGTTATAAAGCTACTACGCGTAAGAAAGCCAAGTTCTTCGAAGCCGTCGATATCCGCGATAGTGGAAAAATAGTTAAAGATATATATTTAGAGAAGAATATTCTATATAATACGAGGAAGACTTAGCTACGAATTAGAAAGCTTAAGAGCTCTTTCGATACTAGAAGACTTAAAAAATAGCGTTCTAGACGTCTTTCTAAGGTTGATTAATCTATATACGATATCCTACGTGACGTCAATAATCCTATACGTAATTAGAAGCTCGAGCGTCAGCTTCAATATCATAAAATTTCAGTTAATCCCCGAACCATACATCGCAATACTTAAAAATATATTAATAATGCTTATATATATAAGTAACGTACGGCTAAACAAATATCTAAAAAGAATATCAAGAAGCGATTAACGTACGGAAATGATTATAAGAGAGATATTATTAAGAATTTTTAATGCTGTTTGTCACGGAAAACGTGCCTTATCGCTAACCGCAGGGCCAAAAGAGCGTGGACCCCTGCCTGAACAGCAAGAATCCCCTAAAGCACACTAAATCCGTAACACTGTATTAATTAAACGAATGAGAAGCATTAGAATCCAGGATTTACAAAATCTAGCTATATATTCCGGGACGTAGATATTTCTACAGAGCCTGAAAATACGCAGTCGATGCCCTCCCTTTAGGACATTAAGATTCATATCTCGGCGGATATCTCGTAATTGGAAAGCTTGCTTTCTCATTACTCAAGACTGAAATCACAAAATGTTCGACAACCATAAATTTAAGGTTGGCCAATCAGATCCTCGAATTTCACGATTTCTAGTCTAAAACACACCTTATTTCTTCATTTTCGTTCTAAACACGGGTACGTTTAAAAGAGGAAGCACCATAAGGCTGAACCTTTAACATCAACTTTATTAATTTATTCTATTTAATTCCTTTAACGTTACGTAATAAATGATAATAATAAAATAAATTTATAGAGTTATAGAGTTAATTATACGCTTTCAAATAAAGTAGCGAAGACGAAATTTGATAAAGTATTCGTAAAGATATACTAAAAACTAAGATTTTTATTCAAATTATCGAGCTTGCGAGAAGAGCCCCTCCGGCAGAAGCCCTCGGAGAGCCCTCGGAGAGCCCCCGTTAGGGGGTTTCAGGGGGTCTCCCCTAATCAGTGAAATATAACATCTCTCTCTCGATTCTCAGGGTTAGACCACTTAAAATCCCTTAAGCCCTTCGGAGCTCTTTAAGGGCTCTCCGAGAGTTTATATCGGAGGGGCTGTCAAAGCAAGCTCGAAATTAATCAAATACTACTAAAACAATCAAATTTCGAGCTTGCTTTAACAGCCCCTCCGATATAAGCTCTCGGAGCCCTTAAAGAGCCCCCGAAGGGTCCGAGGGGTTTTAGGGGGTCTCTCTGAGAATCCAATATAGTCAAAAACCAGTACTCGGCAAGCTTTTCACTACTGGGAAGCCCGCGCCCTAGCACATATTATTATAAAGGTAAGCTTTAATTCTATTATAACGAGCTCGATCGACCTCGAATTACAATCGAAAAGCCTTTAAAGCCACGTCGATGTTCTAAAAATAAAAATAAGAAGGAGTATAAAGAGCGTATTCGTTAGTGAGAAGCGAGTATTCCTCATAATCCTAATATTCAGTCGTCTGAAAATAGTATAATAATGAAACACTATATTAAACACCAGCTTTCGGATTATTATAAGTCTATTAATTAACTACGAATTATATCTAAACGTGGAATTCTATAGAAGAATAATGATAAGAGTTACGAAATTATTCGTAGCAAGGAGAATAAGACTTTGAAAGTCGAAAATATCGCAATTTAGCTTAAATATAATAATTAAATTAAGACTCTAATACACCCCGCTTAATCGCCGGATCTAAATCCTATCGAGGGTATCTAGAATCTTCTTAATAAACGTGTATATTAAAGATACTAGTACATATAATGAAAGCTTCGCACGGTAGTCTAGAAGAAGTGGAATCGTATTACTCTCGAGGAAATTAAGGCTAGAATTGCGGAGATACTATAACGATATCGAATACTACGAGAGGGTAACTCTTCTAAATTAATTAAGTCGGATTTGTGGTAAATTCTCCATAGAAATGTATATAATAATCGTGGGAAGCCAGCAGTAGCCGGGTAAACCTCGGGGGATAATGACTTTTGACGGGGACTGTGGCCTATACTAGTACCTACTCCGACTACTTATTATTCTTAATCGATTATCGATAGATTTAAATACTATAGAGAGGGCTACGAAGAGGATACTTCTGATTTTACCCTGGGGGCCTACTAAAATTAAGTACCATTACTTAGCAGACTACTAAGACCCCTATCTTACAGTCTAATTATAGCCTACGTCTGAAAACCGTTATTTTAAACGATATCTTATATGCAAAGAGGCCTTATAACGATGTGGTCTTTTATATGACAATTAACCCGGTATCACAATTTGACTCCGAATCTTCGACAGCCCTTCGTTCGTATTAATGCAGCCTTTCGCATATAATCTATATATTAAGCTTTTAATTCTCGAGCCATCTAATCGAGATAAAAATTAGATTTTAAATAAAATTCTTTTATTCTATTAAATATTTAAAAATAATTATTTATAGCGATAATATAATATTTAAATAATTTAAAGATAATATAATTATAAATTTATAATAGATAAAAAATTATTATAATATATTAAGATTATCTAGTAATAAGATAATACTAGTATAACTTAATATTATATACGAGTTTAAGTTTATAAATTAAATTTATAACTTAATTTTTAAATTAGAGCTGTCGAGTAAATTTAATAAGCGAACTTTAATAAGCGATATTTGAATTTTTTGCCATTAAATAATTATAGAACTAAATTTTTAAATTCTTAAATAATTAAAATATCTAAATTACATTTCATAATTTAAAAAAAATACTAAGAAATAATATAATGTAACTTATATATATAATATAATATAAAGATATTAATTATTCTATATAAATAGCGAATAGATATATATGATATTAAGTTCACGCTAGTAATTCTATAAATAGTTCTAAGATATCTTATAATAAAAAACCTCGAAATTATTTAATAGAAAAAGGAGTTATTCTAAAATTAAATAATATATATCTATTTTTTAATTAGAGCTATCGAACGAACTTTAATAAGTAATATTTAAGTTTCTTACTTTTCAATAATTATAAAATTAAATTTCGAAATTGTTAAAGCGTTAAAAAGCGTAAACTACGCTCTATAATTTAAAAAAAAATTAAATAATTTTAATAGATAATAGAAAAGTTATTCTATTTATAAATAACGTATATCTATTTTTTTAATAAGAGGTCTCGAAAGAACTAGCGAGCTAACTTAGTCGATCTAATTAAAGAGCGTAGTAATTCTAAATTTATAATTAACTATATATATAAATTTAAGATTTTTAGATTAACTCTATCTAATTCTTTTATATATACTAATATCTATTCTATAGATATATAGAATAATTAATATCTTTATATTATATTATAAATTAACGAGTAAAGACCTATGAATTAAATTCATAAGTTCATAATTATTGTTTTCGATTAGGGCTGTCGAGTAAATTTTGATAAGCGATCTTTAGTAAGTAATATCTGAATTCCTTATCTTTAAATATCTATAAGACTAAATTTAGAAATTCTTTTTTATCTAAAAGTTCACATTACGTTCTATAATTTAAAAGAAGAATCGAAAAATTTTAATAGAAAATAAGAATGTTATTCTAAAGTTAAATAATCTATATCTGTTTTTTGATTAGAGCTGTCGAGCGAACTTCGAAGAGCGATCTTTAATAAGCGATATTTGAATTCTATGCATTTGAAAAATTATAAGATTAAATTTTATAACTTTTTTATTATTAAAAAGCGTAAGTTACGGGCTATAATTTAAAAAAAAAATCTAAAAATTTTAATAGAAAATAGTAAAGTTATTAAGGGGTTAAAAGTAGAGTAAGAGATTTTTTAATAATTGCGAACGCTAATTTATTTACCCGCGATAACTTAGTCGATTTAATTAAAGAGCGTAGATCTAACGAATTTATAATTGGCTGCGGCCCGCTGTATATATAAATTTAAGGTTTTCTAGCTTAGCTCTATCTTATTCTATTATATATACTAATAACTTAGTTATCTATTTTCCTTAATAAAAATCTATATTATATATTAATATATCTATTATTAAATATTTTAATATTATTAAGTTAAAAGTATATTATAAGAATTAGATATAGATAAATTAATAGTATATAATTATTTAAAACTTTAATTATTAAATATATTACTAATTAAATTAGTTACTTAATAAAATTTAATATTTTTAACTTAATTTTATATTAATTATATACGAGTAAAAATCTATAAATTAAATTTATAATCGTTTTTTTTTAATTAGAGCTATTAAGTAAATTTAGTAAGCGAACTTTAATAAGCAATATTTAAATTATTAGAAAATTTTATTCAAATAAATTTTTATTAATATTATTTTATATAAAAAGAATATTAAAATATATTAGTATATACGAGTTTAGGCTTATAAATTAAATTTATAATCTATTCTTTTAATTAGAACTATCGAGTAAATTTATATTAACGTACGCTAAGGTCTTCTTTAGAGCTATTACTTAATTAAGCCTAGCGTGGCTTAATATTATATATATCTACTCTATAGATATATAGAATAATTAATATCTTTATACTTTACTATAAATTTATAATTTAGTTATTTATTTTCTTAATAATTAATAAGCGAACTTTAATAAGCGATATTCAAACTCTTTACCTTTAAATAATTAGAAGACTAATTTTTAAAATTTTAGATTATTAAAATACGTAATTTACGCTTTATAATTTAAAGAGAGAGAAATTTAAAAAATTAAAAAGAAAATTAAAAAGTTATTTTAAGTTTAAATAATATATATTAATTTCTTTATTTAGAGCTATCTATAAGAGCGTAGTTTACTAACGATTAGCTAGCGGGCATAGGCTATAAAAGACGTAGAGTCGTTATAGAATTTAATAGTATATTTGATAGTAGAACTAATCTCTAAGGGATACTAAAACTTCGGGGCATGCGAGGTAGATCTATGTCTGCTAAGCCCCTAAGCATAAGGGGCACGTTATTGAAACTGGACGCTGAAAGAGACCCCTAACGTAGCATATGCGATGTCGGCGCCTTGGCGCAAGCAGCGTTAAGGCCTATGACAGCATCAGGTCTAACATATCGCGCAAATTTGATAAGCGAACTTTAATAAGCGATATTTGAATTCCATACCTTTGAAGAATTATAAAACCGAATTTTCAAATTTTATTATTATTAAAAAGCGTAAGTTATAGATTATAATTTAAAAAAAAGTTAATAAATTTTAATCGGAAATTATAAAGTTATTAAATAATTAAAAGTAGAGAAAAAATATTTTAATAATTACGAACGCTAATTTATTTACTCGCTATTATAAACGTAAGATACTGTCATGAGATGCCTCAGGGATACTCATAGGGCCACTAGCGTAGGCTTGGCACCGCACATATCTGCCTGCAGACTACATAGATAATCAACATCTTTTACACCACACACATATATGAGTCAAATCATAATGATTCCTTAACAATTGGTAGCAACACCTGGCCCTACTTCATAGGATATCCAGGCGTCATCAGACGTTTACGCAAAGCCCACATCAACACCTAATAGTGTGACGCTCCAAGCCGGACCTCCAACACACTCGCAGTCATCGAGTACCTTTTGACACCGTCCAAATCGATCCTTTCAATAGGCCTGTCGATATCACAATGAACTCATACGCTGCAAGACTTGCCTCATTCACGTCATGGCCACACGTATATCCAAGTGCCTCTGACGTAGCCCGTGCTGGCTTTCATCGAGAATTCGACCCTACTTTTCCATCCCCGGATCTAACGGTGTGCTCACTATGCGGTCTTGATCCTTGTGACTGGGATAGTGATAATCCATTCGATTTCCACGCTACTCGATCACCGGAGTGTCCATTCGTCCGTGCAACACAGCAGAAGAAGAAGCACCGGAATCAGAAGACTCGCCAGCAATATACGAGAAGGTCTCTACAGCCAGTCACTCAGTCAGCTACTCAGCAAGCCACTCAGTCATCCACTCAGTCAGCCACTCAGCAAGCCACTCAGTCTGATACTCTACAAGAGGAGGAACTACAACAGGCAAATGCGGAGAATACTGCGGAGAACACGGCGGAGAACACGGCGGAGAAACCAAGCGGCAACAAGGCCACCATCGTCAAGAACACGGCTTACCTCTCCACAATCCCCCGTCAAATCGCCACTCAGCAAGCGGAGAATGACACTACAATTTGGCCTGCTATCTCTGCGTGCCTCGGCGATATCGTATTGATATGGCATATCATTGAGTTGACGATACAAGAGAAGGATCCACTGCGACGATCACAGCCAATTGGGCCACTGCAGGAGGAAGATCGGACGATACATATTTGGACGAATTGAAACCGTCCGATGTCTTGCTCCGGTACTATTCAAAAGTTTTCATTCCAGCAGGAGATTTCGTGGGATGCACACCACTAATAGCACGGTGTCTCCACTCCTTTCCGGTTTTTCGAAAAATCATGCATGCATACTTCTTGCCATGAGGACATGGCATTTCTCTGTTTTTTGTGGGCAATTGTCATGAGATGCCTCAGGGATACTCATAGGGCCACTAGCGTAGGCTTGGCACCGCACATATCTGCCTGCAGACTACATAGATAATCAACATCTTTTACACCACACACATATATGGGTCAAATCATAATGATTCCTTAACAGATACTCTTAATATACTATTTAGTTCTATAATCTAGTAGCTTAGCGAAGATATCTTCTACTATATTATATCTTCTTTTTACTTATATAGTTTAATAGTCTTATTATTCTTATTCTATCTTATTTATATTAATATTATATCTATATTAGTTCTAATATTCTCGATATTTAATTAAAAAGCGTAGATCTATCGAATTTATAACTAACTATATATATAAATTTAAGATTTTCTAGCTTAGCTCTATCTTATTCTATTATACAAGTAAAGGCCCATGAATTAAATTCATGGAGTTGGATTTTTCATTTTTCTAAGTCAAATGGAGTTGGATTTTTCTAAGTCAAATGGAATTTTAGCCCTAGCCCTAAGTCAAATCGAACTCTGATCGCTTGCTGTGCGTTTTTGACCTACTTCCACCACTACAAAATTGATTTAATCTATGCGATAAACAGGCACATATGTGCGGAGAGAGGCGCGCTAAGGCCTAATTAGGAAGGTGTATTAAGTGTGGAGGATTGATTCGTAATAATTGCCTATAAAAAATAGAGAAAGGCTATGTCCTTATGGCAAGAAGTATCGAAATATCGGAAAGAAATGGAGACAACATGCCAATTAGTGGTGTGAATCCCACATTATCTCCTGTCGCAGTAAAATCTTTCGAATAATGAAATAGCTATCAGAGCAAGACATCGGACGGTTTCAATTCGTCTAAATATGTATCGTCCGATGTTCCTCCTATAGAGGCCCAATTGACTGTGATAGTAGATCCTCCTCTTGTGACGTTATTGCAGTGATGTACCATATTAATGCAGTGGGGATGACAGGCCAAGTTGTAGTGGTGTTCTCCGCTTGCTGAGTGATGATTTGATGTGGAACCGTGGAGAGCATATGACGTGGGATCTTGGAGAGCTGAGCCGTGTTCTTGACGATGGTGGCCTTGTTGCCGCTTGGTTTCTCCGCAGTGTTCTCCGCATTTGCCTGTTGTAGTTCCTCCTCTTACTCCTCAATGCAGTGGGGATGACAGGCCAAGTTACAGTGGTGTTCTCCGCTTGCTGAGTGATGATTTGATGTGGAACGGCCAAGTTGCAGTGGTGTTCTCCGCTTGCTGAGTGATGATTTGATGTGGAACCGTGGAGAGCATATGACGTGGGATCTTGGAGAGCTGAGCCGTGTTCTTGACGATGGTGGCCTTGTTGCCGCTTGGTTTCTCCGCAGTGTTCTCCGCATTTACCTGTTGTAGTTCCTCCTCTTGCTCCTCAATGTAGTGGGGATAACAGGCCAAGTTGCAGTGGTGTTCTCCGCTTGCTGAGTGATGATTTGATGTGGAACGGCCAAGTTGCAGTGGTGTTCTCCGCTTGCTGAGTGATGATTTGATGTGGAACCGTGGAGAGCATATGACGTGGGATCTTGGAGAGCTGAGCCGTGTTCTTGACGATGGTGGCCTTGTTGCCGCTTGGTTTCTCCGCAGTGTTCTCCGCATTTGCCTGTTGTAGTTCCTCCTCTTACTCCTCAATGCAATGGGGATGACAGGCCAAGTTACAGTGGTGTTCTCCGCTTGCTGAGTGATGATTTGATGTGGAATCGTGGAGAGCATATGACGTGGGATCTTGGAGAGCTGAGCCGTGTTCTTGACGATGGTGGCCTTGTTGCCGCTTGGTTTCTCCGCAGTGTTCTCCGCATTTGCCTGTTGTAGTTCCTCCTCTTACTCCTCAATGCAGTGGGGATGACAGGCCAAGTTACAGTGGTGTTCTCCGCTTGCTGAGTGATGATTTGATATAGAACGGCTAAGTTGCAGTGGTGTTCTCCGCTTGCTGAGTGATGATTTGATGTGGAATCGTGGAGAGCATATGACGTCCGGACGCGTTTGGTGTGACTACAATATTTGAATGTTAGTTTAACCCACCTATCGCTGGCTTGGGAGGAGTATGTAGGGAAGGACGTATCCGTTCGAGCTCTTTTTGAGGGCTTTCTAACGCGTTTATGAGCAGTAGTAGGTAGCTGTTAGGCTCGCTTGCGGCCTCGATTGCCAGCAGTAGCGGATTTGTCGAGGGGTGGCCTGGGGGCGTCAGTAAGGGGCTCTAATTGGGCGAGGGGTACCGAAGACGATTATGTTCATATTGGTGGAATTGGTAGAATTGATAGAATTGGTAGAATTGGTAGAATAATGGAAGAATAACAAACAGGTGGAAGGATTATTATCCGATCCCGGACGCGTCTGGTGTGACTACCATGACTACCATATTTGAATGTTCATTTAATTCACCAATAGTAGGCCAAACTTCATAATTTTTACAGCGTTAGAAAGCGCAAACTGAGCTCTATAATTTACGAAATTATGAAGAAATAGCATCCGTAGGGAGCTGCTTATTTCAGAGTGTAAAACTTCTACACACAAATTTTTGATGAGGGAGGCGCGGGAGGGCTACCGGGCTGACTCAGCCGGTCTAACCAAAGAGCGTAGCGAACCCGAATTGATGATTGGCTGCACATACAAATTCAAGGTTTTCAAGCTCAGCCCTACCTTATTCTATTATATATATTGATTATTTGAATTTAATAATTTTTATTTTAGATTATAGATCGCATTTTACACTTTTTAATAATAAAAAATTTGAAAATTTAATCTTATATTTTTTAAAGATATAGAATTTTAAGTATCGCTTATTAAATTTACTCAATAGCTCTAAATAAAAAATATATATATATATTATTTAAATTTAAAATAACTTTTTTATTTTTCTTTAAATTATAGCGCGTAAATTACGTATTTTAATAAATAAGAATTTAATCTTATAATTATTTAAAGGTAAATAATTCTAATTAAAAAAATACTTATATAATCGAGAAGTCTATTATCTTAATAGTTCGGCGCGGAAGTATCTAATAATTAAACTATCTCGTTTCTTCTTAATTCAATACTAGATTATATCTATAATCTATAGCGCTAATCTATCTAGACTAGACTATTAAAATAGTAAACTTCTTAACTATACGACTAGATTACTAGATTATAAATTTAATTTATAAGTTTAAACTCGTATAATAGAATAAGATAGAGCTAAGTTAGAAAATCTTAAATTAATATATATAGCTAATTATAAATTTAGAGTTACTACGCTCTTTAGTTAGATATCGCGAATAAATAAATTAGCGTTTATAACTATTATAATCTCTTACTCTACTTTTAATTCTTTAATAACTTTACTACTTTCTATTAAAACTTAATAATTTTTTTAAATTATAAAGTATAAATTACGCGTTTTAATAATTTTAGATTTTTAAAGTTTAATCTTAAAACTTTTAAACGCTAAGAAGTTTAAATATTACTTATTAAAGTTCGCTCGATAGTCGAGAGCCCGAATCGAAAAAATAAGTATATTATTTGATTTTAGAATAGCTTTTCTATTATCTATTAAAGTCTTTCGATTTTTTTTTTTAAAATTATAGAGCGTAATTCGCATATTTTAATAATTTAAAAATCTAAAAATTTAATCTTATAATTATTTAAAGATAGAGAATTTCAAATATCGCTTATTAAAGTTTACTTATTAAATTTACTCGATAGTTCTAATTAAAAAAATAGATTATAAATTTAATTTATAGATTTAAACTCGTATATTATATTAGAATATCTATTAAAAAAAATTATAAATTCTTTAATTAGTAATAAATAGATTATTCGAATAGATTTAATCTCTTTTTACTTTTTTTTCGCTATTAAAACTTAATTATTATAGTACTTATACTTATTTATAATATTTACTTAGTATATTTACGAATTCCTTTACTAGGGGTCTCGATTAGGCTTAGTGCCTTGGTACTATAATACTATAAAGACTTCTTCTACTATAGATCTATATAGTTTATTATTATTATTATATTATATATATATTATTTATATATATAATTTTACTTAGAATTATTTCTTAATAATATATTTAATAAGAGTATTAAACGAAGTAGTAGGTTAATAAATAATATACTTAATAAGTAGATTTCTTCTTATTAATAATAAGTTAATCTTATATACTTAATAAATAATAATAGACTATCTTAATATTAACTTTAAATTATTATAAGATATCTTAGAAATACTTATAGGGCTACTAGCGTAGACTTAATATCGTATATATCTATTTATAGATTATATAGATTAATTAATAACTTTTATATTATATATATATATAATTTAAATTATAATAATTTCTTAATATAAATATAATTATTATAGCTATTACTATTACTTATTTAAATAAGTAATAGTAATAATTTATCTTTATAACTAATATTATAATATTATAATCGCTATCTTCTATTAATAATATTACAAATATTTCTATTAAGAATTTAAGTATAATTTGTCTTTTAAATAATCTACGTCGCGGTGAAATGTCCGCCCTTTCCTGCTTCCAGGCCAAGCGCGGCCCTATCGGGTTTAGCGCGGCCTCTTCGGGCAAGGCGCTCGGCATCGCCCCACCCGCCGCTTTCTCCAAGGTATAAAGACCTGCACCCCTCGCTGTTTTCCCACTTTCTCTCCCATTCTCCCTGCCGTCTCCTCGCTCCTTCTCGTATTGCAAGGGTCTGCGCAACGTCGCCCACCCCCTGCTGCCTAACTGGCTTCTGCCGACCATCGCCGACCATCGCCGATCTTTGTGCTTTGACCCTTGCATAAGGCATTTTGCTGAATAGCCTTTCCTTTCGGGATCACTTTGCTGTACCTCTCATCCTTGCCGTCTCTTGGCCTACCCACTTTCGCCTACGGCTGGAGCTAGCGATAAAGGCGAACCCTCTCATTCGCTACCTCGTATCTTGTCGCCCGCGCTGCAGCTCAGCTCCGCTCCCAACGCACGGAGATGATTCCTTTTTCGACCATGCTGGAGCGCCTCATCATTCGGATCTGCCGGTCTGAACCTTTCTGCCTCGGCCTTCCCGTGCCAGCCACTGTTTCACCACCGCTCAGCTGATCTGCGACTCTGCGACGACATTGGTGGGAAATTTCAGCTTGCGGCGAGCATTCCAGGGCGAAGCAACTATCTGACCTGAAGATGGCTACCACATGACCAATGAAAGAAATGCCTCCCCACACGTCTGCCTGGCTGCGTGGACAGGGATCGCCCCTCGGCCATGATTGGGTGACACAGCATCAGGGGGGGCTGAGCATTAAGCCGAGCAGCGGCTGTGAGCCAAACCCAAGGAATGGAATCTGCTTGCCTTGATCGACAGTGCTCTTTCCGTGTCTGCCTGACTGCGCCGACCAAGTTCCCGCATTCACCTCGTTCTGGTGACGTGGCCTTGAGACGGTGATCTCGCTTTTCTCTGTGGATCGAGGAGGATGTAAGGCCTCTGATCTGTTGCAGAAGTCCCAGCGCGTAAGGCCTAGGCAACTGCAGCTGACGTGGCTCGATAGTTGGATATCTCCGAGGGGCGCAGTGAAGACTTGGCCGGAATGGGGTGTGGATTGATTACGAGGCAACAATGGTCGAGAGACTGCGCCAGCGCGTGCCGCAGGGTGTGAGGCAGATGAATGGTGACCAAGCTGTGATGGCCAGAGATCGGCGATTGAGGCTGTTGGAGAGGAGCAGGCAGCAAGTGCGAGAATGGGGGAGACGGTACTGAGGGGATGTTTTCGGTAGTTCATTGGTTCGAGAGAGTGCAGGCACGGTACCGCCGCTGTAGGCACGACTCAGAAGCGCATATATTCCTCATCTCGCCCCACTCTGAGCGTCTCGGATTTCCAACTTCAGACTCCACACACAGCTCCTTTATCTGCATTTGAGACACAATGACATTGATCGATTTGGATTCCATCCATTTCTACCAACCCCAGCAAAGCCGATTTGGCTGGCAAAAGACCATCGATGGCGTCGGTTGGTGATGTTCCCGTCATCTGCGGAGAGGGATATACTCCTACGGTTCCTAGATCCAACGGCGGATGGGGTGGACCCCTCAACGACTACGATCTGATCGAAGTCCTTGATTCGACTGGCTCGTCGTCGAAGGATCCTCTCGATCTATTATCCTACAAGCATACACTGGATCTCAAAGGCACTGAATTATATGCCGGAGGTAATATTCGCCGTCTTCGCTTCTTGTAGGCCTTGAATAACAGCTCCAGCTCCCTCAAACGGACTCGATCTCAGTAGCAGCCGCAGTAGAGGCGGTGGAGAGGAAGACGAAAACTTCCCATCCTTCGAGGAACTGGTGCTCGGTGCCGGAGCAGCACAAGAGTCGCAACAATCGGGCTTAAGACTAGGTGAAGACAAGGGTGCGAATACCGACAGCAGCAGCAGCGTCCACTCTAGAAGCGACGGCTCGACTTCTGAGCAAGGCGGGCGACACTGCTCCCTCAACACTCCACGGACTTCTGTAGCAGGCTCAGAAGCTGGGTACGACCCTCAAACCCCCGCTAGCAGATCTTAGTACTAATAGATAGCGCCTATCTAGATGTTCCATCCTCCGCGAGAAGACAGAAGATCCCGTCTCTGGTCCTCCTCCTCCACTCCCTACTACCCTCTCCTCGTCGACATACATTACAGGAATCAGCTTCAAAAATATCGAGCCTTGTCACTCCTGTGGGGGGGAAGAGAAAGGGGACAAAGGAGCGAGCTACAGTACAGACAACATCATCCCATACTCTCTCCGATCGCCTATTGCGTCGCCAAATCCTGATTCATCACTGTGGCGGTCTCCACTCCAAGAAGACGCCGTAGGATCAGCGGTAGATCCCGCTGGCTCTTCATGGATGTGGAGCGCTACGGACGTTGAGCCTGTGACAGCCATGGACGCCACCGATATTCAAGGTTCCTCCAAGCGCACAGCAGACAGTGCGGGTTTGAACGACGGCGGAGGTGTTCAACGGGTTGAAGAAGGCCCCGCGTGCAGGTCAGTGCGCAGATACCAGTCCCTACGGGTGCGTTTAATGACTCTAGAAAGACGCGATCATGATCGATAAAACAGATGATATCAATAATAACTTAAGCGACCTTGATTTCGCACGGATCCGATCGCAACCTAAGCCTGTTTTCAGACGGCCTCCCTTTTCGCGAAAATTCCCGCAATACAAGAAAACAACAAGCTTAAGTCGATCCAGTGAATTTGGTGACAGTTAAGGTGTGCCCCACAGTGCATTTCTAATCAGTACCCGGGATTTTTTCTAACGTATTTCAGATGACCCTCTCGTGGTGGAGGATAACGACGAAAAGACTGGCGAAACTGACGCTTCTACCAGGGCCACGAGCGTGGAGTCTGAGATTGATACCATACACCTCCAAAGCTCCCATCCGAAGGAACAGCCAAAGACACACGGTTGCTGGAGTCTTAGTACCTCTGGACCTACTACCGAACCTACTACCTCGCCCTTCGATCGCCCCAACTCTCCCAGTATCGTACTATCACATGATCGAATTGAGCAGGCTATCTGTGGAGGTAATCGCAGAGCAGCAGTGACCGTTCATCCCCCTCACGCCATCACCGTCCCCCCACCACTTGCTGAGCGCCATCAGGACCAAGGAGGTTCAGCATTGGATGAAGAGGAGTGGGAGATCGTAAGGATCGTTGGCAAGAGACGAAGGGGAAAGGGCTATGAATACAAGGTGTGCTGGAAGGAGACATGGCTGCTCGAACGCGAGTTAGGAAACGCACAGGAACTGCTGCGGGAGTTTGAGGCGAAACACCAGGCGCAGCGGGGAGGCAAACGGGGAAGACCGGCACGTGCAGATAAGGGTCGGTGATCGTTTATCATTTTTTGTTCGTAGAAGGAGTCTATATGTTCTTGAAATTGTAGGCATCAAGATTATCTAGTAAATTTGAGACACTACTGCCATTCGCTACATCTTTTCATTCCATGAAATTGATCCTTGAAGCGAACACTCCACAGCCAGTGGTGTACGGTTCTGACGGACATAATGGAATGATTCTGAAGTTTATCAGAAGAATCTTCTCCAATAGGTACGTCTACCCGAGGCCAAACTTTGTGCGAATCCTTGCTCGCTAGCTCCTTCAAGGCGGAGCTATCCTTCGAGGTCTAAAAGCGATGAGTAGAATTGACAGTTATATAGTTCTGGCAAAGGTGTTGCCTTTTCTGAGTGGCCCTCAGGTTCACTGGCAGAGGCTCTACCTACGTCTAGTACCTTTGTTGGACACATGAAGCTTTACTCCATTAAAGGCCTGTCTGCGTATTCGAATTCTCTTTTCGATTTCCGCATTCATCTTGGTCCTCTCGAGGCGCCAGTAGTGCCAAATTCTCCAACCCAATATATAGGAGGATCTAACATCTGTCTGCTTGCTCGGAACGGGGATTGAACCAGGACACTAGATGATAGTATGACGTGACACTATATCTCCCTGCTTATCGAAGACCAAAATCGTCTCGAAATGACCTCATCCTTAAGTATGGATCTTAGTCCTCTTCTGTGAAAGATCCCTTCCTTGCGTCTTCGATATTCCACGCGGTTTCCCCCATTTCCTGTCTGGTTTAGTGCCTGCAACGCGACCTTTAGGTTTGGACCGTGGGAACGGAGCTGTTTGCAAGATCACGACTGAGCTCAACGCCGCACTAGAAGTTGATGTGCTCATCCTCTCTTTCTGTTTCGATATCCGATCGCTTCTGCGCAGCATGACCTCGGTAGGTTGGGGTTGTGCATTCCTCCCCAGATCGGCAGCTAAATCCGCTTCCAATGCACCGAACCTCTTTTGGTTGGTAGATAACCGGCGGCTTCTGCGCGGAGCAACATTGGCAGGCGGAGGTGGTGATATGGTTATGTTAAGGCCTTGGTTTTGGACATCGTCACGCTCTGCGGGGATCTTTGACGGTCGTCGGGGGCGGGGTGTCTTCCTTCCGGCGGCTTTTGATACTTTTGATGAATGGATTGGACCAAGCACAGAATTTGCTGAAGCACACTTTTTGTTTTTGTCCGGTTTTTGATTACCTCGCAGGGTCGATCTGCTAGATCGGTTGGATCTGAGATCCTTGAGCGTGGTTTGACTTGACTTCGATGCTCTTTTCGGTGGCATGGCTTGATCCTCGAGAGGATTTGATGTAGATACTTCTATTGTCGAGACGGCGCATTCGGCGAGAAGGGCTGAAAGCTGTTGTTCTACCCATTTCAACCGCGACTCTGGAGGTCCGACTTGCTTTCGCGCTTCTTCGACATAAGATCGGGCGTCTTCAGCCTCGAAATGGTGTCGCTCGGCTGTACTTGCCCACCCTTGTAGTGCGCAGTTATCCTCTTCTTGCTGGAAGTGTTTCACTTGCCGCTGCCAGAATTCCACCCACTGCTTAGTGTTTTCGACCTCCATTTGTTGATAGGACCGATATTGCCTCCAAAGGTCCACTTGGGTCGGGCCCTCTGCACATTGTTGTTGTTTCAGCTGCACCTCCGTTTTCCCATCCGCTTCTTTCTTCTGCCGATAGTCCAGAAATTTCTTCCATTCCCTCAATTCTTCCTCGAACTGGCTATATTCACCTTTCCAGTGGCAAAGGGCGTGAATATGTTCATCCGTACGTTCGGCATCATGGATGTCAGGCATAGGCCGGACCGGACGGCTTGGTCTCCCACCTGTATCCACCAAAGTAGTATAGACTTGTTTCGCTTCCATCTCGCTCCTCTCCTCCATCTGACGACGAGATTCCGGCAATTCCATCAGTGACACAGCGCATTCCGAAAGAACCGCTGGAAGCTGCTTCTTGACCCATTCCAACCGTTTTTCCTCCGCTGCGAGCTTTTCCCGCCGTCTTTCTATACTATCCAGCCAGCCTTCGTGGCTCAACCCACGGAATTTTCCCAGTCCCGTGCTCCAATCCACTTCAGGATCTTTCCGCTGTATTGCCTCCACCGCTCGTCGGTCCCCTTCCATTCCTCTCTTCAACCGGTCGATTCCCCTTTGAAAATAGGCCTGATACTCTTTCCAGTCCTTCAATTTTTTCAGGCTTGCTGTGAGCTGTGGATCGTGCGGGTACCGCTGTAGTTCCATGTCCTCCTCTCTTGCAAATTCTGGATGATGCTCACGTCTCCATTGCTGAGTATCGAGAAAATCCTGCCACCGTTGTAGTTCTTCATCGAGTCGCTTTTTTTCTGCTGCCCAGTGCGACACAATAACGCCAGCCTCCGTGGGATGAGGAGCGCGACGTGGTTTAACAGTGCCATAGTAGAACAGCTCCTCGTCTTCTTCAGTATCTTGGTAGAATTGCTCTCCACCGAAAAGGACGGTCTTCCAGTGTAGGTTGCATCGGATCGGAAGAGTCGGTCTCCCACCCATCTGTGTCAGGGTATCGTAGACTTGCTTGGCTTCGAGTTTACACCGCTCTATGAATTCCTCATCGTCTTCGGTTGGGGTTTCGCTCAAGCTAGGGGAGCAATCAGGGGGAGGGGTTGGAGGTTCGTTCAATCTGGGGGAGCAGTTTCTGGATTTTCTCGAAGCGTCAGTAGGATCGTCCATCATGAGAAGACTGATCGAGACTAGGAGTTTGAAATCTTCTCACCGAAGTTTCGCTTCAAGATCTTCTGGATCCACAGGCTGGGTGTGATACACATTACGGGTCATGTCTCTAAAAGTAGAATGGAGTGTTAGTTTCACGATCTCGGGTTTGAAAGATTCAGGTCTCCCAAATCACACTCCTTACAGGAATTTCTCCCACATCTCTGTAGTCACGTTCGGCCTATCCTCTATTTCAAAGAACCTAAGAAGAAAAAGAACATCAGTACGACTATCCAGTGGTGAGAAAACCCATCTTTCTCACCTGATTCTCGCGATCGCCGCAACGACTTCCGGCTTGCACAGATCTTTTGCCAGAACCTTCATGGTGGAGGAGGAAGAAGAGGACGCCGTCGTACTCAGAGACGTGAAAATGAGAATCGGTGGAGCAGAGGAAAATAAAGCTGCTGACAAAGCGATCAGCGCACGGGTAACATCTCAGCCAATCGTCTTCTGCACTAGAGAGCGATCCTGAAACGGGCAACATCCTCTGACTCAAGTGCGGGGTGTTTGCAGCCAAGCTTGAAAGATGGTGTGATGACCTTCGATCCAGACATTTAGGGCCCCTTCGGTAACCACATATTTTCAAAATATGACATTTGACTTTTCGTTAGTCAATTACCATTCAATACGTGCATGGAAATATTATGCAAGCTTGGCGCCAAGACCAAAATTTGACAATTGAGATTTCAGCCCTAAGGGCCAAATATTTGAAAATATCCAAATTATGGGTCAACCCATAATTTAAGTCTGGAAAAGGCGATATCTGGATAGAAAATCTTTAAAAATTAGAAATCTTAATATAATAGCGATTTAAATTTTGCGCTTTTCGTCTAAGTGAATAAGAAGACTTATTTCTATTAATTATACTCTTTCGAATAGTATTAATCGGTGGTGATGTTACTGTCATATTATGGGGTTTAACGGTCCCTGAAGAGATCCTCGAGGAAAGTGTTACGAGTGATTACGGGGTGTACTCTTAGCATGATATCTTACCCCTGTTTGAAAACCAAAGTTGAAAATATGTTGGCATATTTTGAAAATATGTGGTTACCGAAGGGGCTCTTATTAATAAAGTGTGGTCGCATATTAAACTCTGGCTATTTGCACGGGCTTAGATTAGCTCGAGGGTGAAATCCTTCGATAATCGTATCTACCCTCTTTACGTCATCTTAAATCCGATAATTCCGACGTAATATCAAAATGTCTACCTTTCACCAAATTTGTATAGCGAACTAGCACAATAGTATTGATCTTTCATTACTATCAAGACTTCTATATCGGAGAATCCAAATCACCATTTTTTAGGCCTTATCGACCTATCATGTCTTGAAAAAACCGTTACTACCTCTTCTTCTTCTACCTCTTCTTCTTCTACCTCTTCTTCTTCTACCTCTTCTTCTTCTACCTCTTCTTCTACTATTTTCTTACCTCTTTTATCTCTTCTACCTCACTGTTATTACTGTAATAGAGCGAGGTTTAATAGTAGTAGTAGGCTTAATGTGAGAGGTGCAGTAGCCTCTTTCTTAACTGGACTTAAGTAGGCCACATTTAAGTCTAGAGTAGAGATATCTACTATATTAGATTTATAGACGACGATTATAATATCGTAGTATTAGCCATTATAATAGACTATAATAGTAAGCTATTTAAATAAGTAATAGTGGTAGCTATGGTAGTAGTAGCTATCTATATGTCATGGTTTCAACCGGCATTCCTTCTCCAGACTTGCGCTAGGCTCCATTCGGGCTAGCTCCTTGGCGGCTTGGCACTCTGATGACTTCGGCACACATGTTACTTAGCAACCTTCATAGTTAATATTCCATTCATATGACACCACTAATATCATTATTCGATACACGGTTCATTCCCTGACATAATACTATCTATCTTTCTTCTGGAGCGGTAGCGACCTGCTCACTAGTCATACTGAATGTGTAGCCAAGAAGGGAGTGCACCACCAAGGAGTCAGTAGCCACAGCTGAAGGAGCTTGCTACTCCGAAGATCATTCAAAAGAAAGTCTTCCACTTACACAAAGGCCAATCTGGCTAGATTGAATAAGAACCTGAAGGAAATGGATACCTTCACTACACCAAAAGGAACAGACCCCAGACCGAACCTCCTCCGTACTCCCACTGGCTCAACACCAGTGAACCCATCAAACCCAATTCCGAGGCAACCCAATGCTTCATCTACCGCCAATCGACCCCCGACATGTCCCCATTGACTTTCCTTCTCAATATGTTGACGACCTCGAAAAGATTGAGAAAGGCATTGCCAAATGGGTAAAGGAAGCAACTACAGAAGGTCACAATGTGAAAAAAAGCGACCTCTGGCTAAACTCAACGAAAGCAAGAGCAACCGGATGCTATCCGGCTTTGGGTCCCATCGCACTGTCGGGTGTTGCTAAGTTGACCTGGAGAGATTATATATAATATGGGTGGATGAATCAGTGGAGAAAACCGTCCTCGATATCCGAGAACCCATACTATAAGAACTTTGCGGAGATCCTGAGGAACAGCCCTTGCCTTGACTTCATCGTAAGCATTGTGCAGGAGCTTGGAGATATGTGGTACAAAGGGGCAGCTTGCGAGACGGTTATGCCCTGCAGTCCAGCAATTCTGGGAGCAACGAGTGGATGAGAAGGCCGGGAAAGAGAAACGGGACTCGACGAGCATACACTGTTGGAGATGGAAACATCTACAGTAACACCGAAGACGAGCATGTTCAGCACATAGGAAAGGTGTTGGAGAAACTTCGACAAGCTGGCCTCTACCTTGACATAATATTAACTATCCAACATAGCCGTGAGCTAAGCTATTGTTGCCTGCCTGCTCCTGCCTGCCTACCTGCCCTGCCCTGCGGAGATCTCTCGAATATCGACTACTCAATCGCCTTGTTGTGGAGGAGATATCCGGACGATTCCCTGCCTGCCTACCTGCCTGCCTGCCTGCCTGCCCTACCTCTGCGGGGATCTCTCGAATATCGACTACTCAATCGCCTTGTTGTGGAGGAGATATTCGGACGATTCCCTGCCTGCCTGCCTGCCCTGCCTCTGCGGGGATCTCTCGAATATCGACTACTCAATCGCCTTGTTGTGGAGGAGATATCCGAACGATTCCCTGCCTACCTACCTGCCTGCCTGCCTGCCCTGCCTCTGCGGGGATCTCTCGAATATCGACTACTCAATCGCCTTGTTGTGGAGGAGATATTCGGACGATTCCCTGCCTGCCTGCCTACCCTGCCTCTGCGGGGAGATATTTCGACTATCTCTCGCTTGCCTTAACTGTTACCCGCCTGCATCAGTGGAGAGATCTCCACCTGATCCGTTATGGACTCGGATCAAGCCTCTGCGGGGAGATATTTCGACTATCTCTCGCTTGCCTTACCTGTTACCTGCCTGCATCAGTGGAGAGATCTCCACCTGATCCGTTATGGACTCGGATCAAGCCTCTGCGGGGAGATATTTCGACTATCTCTCGCTTGCCTTACCTGTTACCTGCCTGCATCAGTGGAGAGATCTCCACCTGATCCGTTATGGACTCGGATCAAGCCTCTGCGGGGAGATATTTCGACTATCTCTCGCTTGCCTTACCTGTTACCTGCCTGCATCAGTGGAGAGATCTCCACCTGATCCGTTATGGACTCGGATCAAGCCTCTGCGGGGAGATATTTCGACTATCTCTCGCTTGCCTTACCTGTTACCTGCCTGCATCAGTGGAGAGATCTCCACCTGATCCGTTATGGACTCGGATCAAGAAGAAACCCGTCCTGAATCGTCATTGACGATTCAGCATTACCAGGCCCAGATTCGTGGCCTCAACACTACTATTCAGAATCTCAACACAACCGTAACACGACTTCGAGAGTCACGGGACCTTCATCGTTCCAATGCAAAGACTCTCACTGCTACGAACACGGAATTGCAGGCCAAAATTCAGGCCTTGACTATCAAAGAAGAAACGGTCACTCCAGCAGAGCCTCTGGATTCCGATGTGGATGAACAACCGTTCCGCCTAGCCGCATGCGGCTAGCGCATTCAAATCAGTTTCGATTCGGCAAATCATCGGACTTTGCGTTTTTGAACGAATTGGCCTCATTCGATTTCGATTTTTTTTCGCTTTTTTCGGCAATGCGCCAAAACCACGAATCCACCACACCATGCTACATGAGATTTGGCTCAATGCCACGGTTGGACACTGAGAGTGTCTGCGAGAAAAAGTTCAAAGTTGTTGTTTCAGGGGGTAGCAAATATGCTTCAGGCCATAAAGGCCAGTGCACCATGGATCATGACGATCGTCTCGCTGTTGCCACCTCGCCGTCGCCATGATTTGGACCATAGGGACATGGCCATTTGAGGGGGGGGTAATGTCATGGTTTCAACCGGCATTCCTTCTCCAGACTTGCGCTAGGCTCCATTCGGGCTAGCTCCTTGGCGGCTTGGCACTCTGATGACTTCGGCACACATGTTACTTAGCAACCTTCATAGTTAATATTCCATTCATATGATACCACTAATATCATTATTCGATACACGGTTCATTCCCTGACACTATATCGGATTTATCGGATTTAAGATGGCGGTATGGCGCGAATAGAGGCAACTTATCTTCGAATAGTCCCCCCCGATAGTCCCCCGTCTACGCTACGCAACGAGGCGGGGTGGGGCGAGGTTTTAGATACCCAACACCACCCCGCTCCGGGGCGGAGTTTCAACGGAGTAGGGTCGGGTCGGGGTAGTGTTTTTCCATCGGGGTATCATGCATATGATTCCACTTAGAACTATTCCTTAATAATGGTAGCAACACCTCGGTCGATTCAGGCCTAGCACTAGCTGTCCTCGTTACATTCGCCTACCTCGCCTTCGTCCAGCACCTACACGAACCCTACAACACTCACTATCAGAGAAATCTACAGAGAACACCACTCCCACCGAGTGCAGCATCTCTAGAGTCTCTTAGACGCCCACCTCGCCTTAGTTCAGCACCTAATCGGACCCTACAAACACTCGTCTACAGCGATCCTTTCACTAGGCCATTCGTCCTACCACCATGGCGTACAATAGCCACATTTCCAGCCCTATGCCTGGCTTTACAGCAGAGCAAACAGCCTCCCTACAAGTTATGATCACTACGGCAATCCATGACGCAGTCACTCAGGCTATCAGTCAGGCTATCAGTCAGGCTATGACAGCCTTCAACACCAGACTGGCAGGCCTTGAAGCCAAATTCCGCCCTGCTGAGTACCAAGTTACCGCTCCTCAGCATAGGCCATGGCAATAATCAATTGTGGAGAAAACTGCGGAGAAAACTGCGGAGAAAACTGCGGAGAAAACTGCGGAGAAGACTACGGAGAACAAGAGCACGGGCAGCAGCAGCGACAATGACAATACGGGCACGCTCTCCACTATTCCACACCAGGCTACTATGCACTATTGCAGAGAGTCTTCCATTCGCCTTAGTAATGCTCCACTTCTCGCCTCTCTTCTCGCCTCTCTTCTCGCCTCTCAACTCGCCTCTCCACCTGACTACATTCACTACGCGAAAGGCATGGAGGCTACAGGTCAAGGATAGGTGTTTCAGAGAAGATTCAGGGGGAAGCAGGCCTACGGCATATGGTGTATCTCTGACGTCTCCATGTCAGCAGCGAGGACGCTGTTATTTTTCTTCTTCGGTGGCATTTGTTACGGATTTCTCCACTAGGCGTCCCGATTGGGCTTAGTGCCTTGGCACTGCGGCACTGCAGAGACTTCTTCTACTGCAGGCTTCTTGTAATTCATTATTATCACACCATATACACATTATTCATGCATATGATTCCACTTAGAACTATTTCTTAACATAAGCGATATTTAAATATCTTACTTTTTAATAATTATAAGACTAAATTTCGAAATTTTTAAAGCATTAAAAAGCGTAATCTACGCTTTATAATTTAAAAAATATATCTTAAAATTTTAATAGAAAATAATAAAGTTATTAAATGATTAAAAGTAGAATAATAGATTTTAATAGTTACGAACGCTAATTTATTTACTCGTGATATCTAATTAAAAAGCGTAGTAATTTTAAATTTATAATTAGCTATATATATAAATTTAAGATTTTTTAACGTAGCTCTATCTTATTCTATTATACGAGTAAAGGCCTATGAATTAAATTTATAGTCATTTTTTTAATTAGAGTCTAGTGGGCTATCGAGTATCTAAATAGGTGAGCGATCTTTGGTAAGCGAACTTTGGTGAGCGATATTTGAATTCGGTGCGCTTTAATGATTATAAGACAAATTTTTAAAATTCTTAAAAATTCGAAAAGCCTAAATAGCGCTTCAAAATTTAAAAAAAAAATCAAAATTTTAATAGAAAATAAAAAAGTTGTTACTATTGTAAATAATGTATATCTATAATTTAATAAGAGAGGCGCGGAAGGGCGAGATTTTGATAATTGCGGACGCTAATTTATTTATCCGCGATAACTCAGCGAATCTAACTAAAGAGCGTAGTGATCCTAAATTTATAATTGGCTGTATATACAAATTCAAGGTTTTTTAGATTAGTTCTATCTTATTCTTTTATATATACTAATATACTAATATCTACTTTAAACGTTTTTTTAGATAATATATATTATCGATTTATATTATTATATAATTTAAGTTTATAAATAGATAAAATAATAGCTATTAAGATTTAAAAATAATATAAAGTTTATTTATATAAATAATATAAAGTTATATTAAGTTTTATTAAAAATCGTAATATTAAAAGCTATTTAAAGCTAGAATATTATTATTATAAAATTTATAAAAATTTATAAAATTTAAATATATAATATAATTATATATACTCTTAATCTTATTAAATTTAATTTAAGATTAAAAATATTTATTTAATATTATTATAAAAATTAAAAAAAGTATATAATTTAATATAATTTAAATTATTAATAATAATCTTAATAAGAGAAAGTAAAAAAAAGAAACTTAATATAGATAAGTATATTAAAATAAAAGATAAATATTATTTTTACTCTTTTTAAAGACAATTAGATATTATAAAAAGAATTAAGAGTTTCAGTAAAAAGATATTATGATATTTATACTTTCTATATTAAATTATTAAGAGTATCGCTTATAATTATAATAATAACGAGATAATTTAATATATACTTAAATATAATAAGATAATAGAGATTTAAAAAGATAGAAAAGATTAAAGTAATAAAAGAAATAAGAGAGTTAAAAGAAATAATAGAAAATAAAAATAGAGATAAAATTAGATAAATTAAATCTAGAAAATAATAATTTAAATATTTTCTTATAGAGTCTTAATAGAAATAAAAGATTATTATTATTATATTAATTTATTATATAGAGTTAATAAATAATACTCGTACGGTCGATCTTTTAATTACGTATTAATTAGATAGATTAATCTTATAACTAATTATTTCATTAATTAGAAGATCTAGATTCTATATTTTCTTAGTATTATCTCTCGTCGTAGATTATTATTTACATGTAAATAAATAATTATTTTTAAGATTATATTTATAGTAGTTATGTTCGATAGAAATTAAGAGCGTCGACGAGATACGCGCGATATATATATGGGCCTACGGGCTTATATCGTCACTATAAGAGTTTTTTATTAAGAGAAATACGAGAATATAGAGCGAAAAATAGTTGTATGCGTAGGTGCGGAGAGTGTGCTGAGAAAAGATCAAATTCAATCTATTCTATTAATTGAAACGATAATTAGATAAGATTCTTCTAATTAGTACGTAATTAAAAGATCGGCCGCACGAGTAGGCATTTTAATATTACGTCGAATTTATCGAATCTTAGAGCGTGCAAATAGAAGTAGTATGTAAATAAGAGTGAAAACGATTATTCGTAAGAAGATCGATGTCTATAGATCTTATAAATAGATAAATACTTATCTTTCTTTTATATCCCCGCATTTTATTTAAACTTAACTTCTAAGACTATTTATAATATTTATCTTCCTCTATTTTATCTATCTATTTATATATTATAAATTCTATTAAGTATACTACGACGATTATAGATAAGAAGAGGCGTAGTTTCGCTACCTTTTTAGCTATTTATAAGCGTATCTTTATTAATAATAAGATCTTTTCTAATAAAAATAATATAATCCTACGTCTTAAGGACTAATCTTATACGTAAGAATTTACTATAGTAACTAGTTATAGCGAGTATAAAACTCGCTAGATTTAGACGATACTCTATTAACGTTATAAAAAGAAGACTCGAAATACTCGTAAGCTTAGCGAGAATATTCGGTATCGGCCACACAATAACGTCAACTACAACTATTGCCTCGCTGAGTACCTATATTATAAGGCCTCCCTCACTCGTTAAGGTCTAACGTTCTAGTTGAATATCGTGGAATGGAAGAAATATCGATAATATACCTACTAGTCAGATACTCACTATGTCAAGGCCTATATCAAGCCGGGTGGCTGCGGGTATAGCCGGTAGCCACATTAGTGTGGACGGGGGACTGTCGGAGGGGGACTGTTCGAAGATAAGTTGGAATGGGGGTAGATACGATTAATCTTATGGTGGGCGCTATAGGAACCAATCAAAACCTCCATGCTCGTACTGTGGTGTCGTGGCACCTGTCGTTGCCCTCTACTAAATACAGCGGGAAGGTTGGGTAGCATACGAAGGTTGGGTAGATGAGATATTTCTGATCAGAAGAACTCTTCCTTTAAATAATCATCTGCTGAAGGTTTATCGCTTCATTCTTTCGATTGGAAATTCTCAAGATGGACGTGAATGATCCCAGGCTCATCATAACACTGGAGGCGTACGGTACAACGGCCGAAAGAGCGTGGAATAGACCGCAGAATCAAGATCGATGCCTGCCTGCGTCTGAGTCTATAGCGGATATTTCAAGTCGAGAAAGTACCCCCGCTGTAGACCAACCTAGGTCTCAAATACAACTGACCTTTGACGACAAGCCGAAGAACCTCGAGAAAGGCTTTGTGTTCGGAAGTGATCCACGAATCTGCGATGTCTTCCTGGGCGAGCGAGGTGCCGGCTTCAGCGGTCAACAATTCTGCATCACATTCAACGAGCGAGGAGAGGTTATATTCAAGAATACATCTCGAAAAGAAGCACAAGTTGATTACAATGGCGAGAACCCTTCTCGTCGAACCCAATTCACCTGGATCCTCTTCGACACATACAAGAATATCGAAATCACGGTCGGTGATAAAAATGATCTGATCTTCAAGGTCAAGTGGCCAGAAAACCGCGATTCTCGTCGGGCCGAGTATGAGGCACATCGTGACGCCTACTTTGAAGAGCGCCGAAACGCGCTCCCCCCACTCAGCCAGCTAGGCATGGAAAGCCAGCAAACGACCGCGATGCCCACTGCACAACATTCTCCTGGACAAGAGTCTCCCAGACCAAAGCCTCCCGGACAACAGCCTATCTATCTGTTGGAAGAAGAGCTCGGACGCGGTGGCTTTAGCACGGTCTACAAGGCCGTCGATGTAAGCACGGGCGACGTGAATGCTGCCAAAAAGTTTCATCACGGTAGTTGGAAGAAAGAGGTTGACACCTTGATGAGTCTTTCACACGTGAGTGTGATTATTAACCTAATGAACGATCCCTGTCTGACTTTTCGCAAAGGAGCATATTGTGAAATTCGTGAAGTTCTCGGAGGAGCAGAAACCTCTGCTGGTGATGGAATATCTGCCTCTTGGAAGCTTAGCCTGCCAAGATTTCATCACCGAAGAAGAGAACCTCCAAATTCTTTGTCAAGGACTCCAGGCTCTCGAGTACCTGCATTCTCATTCTCCGCCTCTAGCGCATCGGGACATCAAGCCGGCAAACATCCTCCTTCGGTCCCGAATACCCTTCGTCATCAAGCTCGTCGACTTTGGATTGGCCAAGAACGATTCCACCTTGAAAACCTTCTGCGGATCAGATGAATACGCCGCTCCCGAGATCTGGGGACGTCATCATTACACTGCTATGGTTGACATATGGTCACTAGGAGTGGTCGTATTACAATACGGATACGGTCTCCCTTGGGCAAGTCAAGAGCCCAAGGGCGAGCCGTGGTGTCGAGATATAGTCCGAAAAGCCAAGGATATGGAAGGGGAAGGGGACGCTTTGATAGATCTCATCTCAACCAAGATGCTGAGGATGGATTATCGACACCGGCGATCAGCAAGTGATTGCTTAGAGGAAGTATATCGTCTAGGATTTCACGAAATCCCAACTATCGACACTAGACGTACAACGCCTACAGGGAAGACAGCCGGTCAAGACGACGTCACGAGGATCACATCCGTCATAACGCAACCCCTTCAAAATGCAGGATTCTACGACATAGGAGGCGCATCGGAAACGACTGAAGTTGCTCCCTCGAAGCGTGATCGTCGAGAAGGAACTCACTTTTACAATCGTGCATCTCTGCCATCACTTGACCGGCACCCTCAGGGACCTACACAGATCTGGAATCCTAAAACTGAAAACAGTCCCACGTCAACGCTAAGTAAGCGGTGGCGGTGGCGGCCACAGACGACCCAATCTCCCACGGCTGACACTTCGGGAAGAGGACGATCAAAACGGTCACGAGCTTTAGTCTCGTGCGAAGCCGGTGAAGATCTTTCGAAGCCGTCAAAGCGTAAGGGACACAACTCAGCAGCACAGCTTCGTCAGATACCGCAGCTGGACCCCGGCAAGGAACCATTAGCAGAAGACGTTGCGAGCTTCACTCAAGCTGTGGAGCCTATTCCGAGAGTGCCCCGTATCACGAGACAAGTCGCGCGAAAATCCACAGAAAAACGGACGAGGTCTCCTTTGTAAAGGGCGTCTGCCCCAGCAGCGGAAGGGAGTCCAAGGGAGGTCGAGACGCCTTCGTCAAAGCGCAATGTTCACGACAATGTGGGGGCAATACTGGCAGAGAACCTGGACGGAGGAAACCTGGACGGCGAGAATGAGGGTAAAGCTAAAGTACACCATCCTCAATGAGCCCGTCAGACATGTCGCGCATGCTGACTGGTCCTTGTCAAGGTGACGGATTTTGACGGGAGATATATACAGATAAAGATTGATGACAAAATTGTGCTCATGCGAAAAGAAGACTGCCTTCTCAACGCAAGTTAGATACTGACACTGACTAACAAGAATTCCGGTGATATTGAACATCTTCTGTAGCTGATGGAACAAAGTATCAAGGTCGAGGTCCTTCCACCTATAGCAGGTATTGCTTCTTCATGCTCTTGGGTTAACTTCGAACACGGACAAATACTCTGCAAGCATTTCGGACTGGAGCAGGAGCTGCAGCCATTAATAGATCACGGACTTAAGCTCCAGCGTGATAACTACAGCAAGCCTGTGGAGTATGTCAACAACTATCCCGCCAAGGTATGACACCGCCCTATGTTTGTATATGGACTTATTCACAATTACTTCGCCTAGCAGCTTTTTCCATTTTTCGTAACTAACGTGCTTCCTCAACCTGTCACGGTGCGAAGGTCAGACTTTCGAATTAGAGTTCATGATATTTGTCGAGTATCCAGTCAGCCAAACACCGAACTATCCAAGATCAAGCGAGAGTTTAGGCGGAGCTTCGACACAGTTTTTGACTTCAACTACAGAGGTATATATGTGGACTTCTGGGTTGGGGTAGAGTTGTGTCGGAGGTACGGTCTGACTAAGTTGGAGGAGGAGCTACGTACTTGGAAGGGTGTCCCGCAAGAGCCAGTAAAGGAGCCAGAACTTTCAGAGCCAGAACTTTCAGAGCCAGAACTTTCAGAGCCAGTAAAAGAGCCAGCAAAAGAGCCAGTAAAAAAGCCAACAAAAGAGCCAGTAAAAGAGCCAGAGCTTTCAGAATTCATTGAAATCACGGGTTTTCCTAGCCCTGTTATGGTTCGAAGGTCAGACTTTAGAATCAACGCCTCCCACATTGCCAAACTCACTGGCCGTTCAAGACATACAGTGAGGGATCTCAGAAAGTGGTTAGGTTCTGAGAAGTACAAGATCTTGCGGGGAAGTAAGAAGCATCAGGGTACGTATGTGAATTTCGAGATTGGAATAGGGCTGTGTCGAGACCATGGACTATCCGAGCTAGAGAAGCGACTCTATAGCTTAAAGCGTACTTCGAAAGGGCCGGTATTAGAAGCAGAGCCCGGTCATGTAGAAACCCGGCTCCCGCAATCGGACACAGTCTCGGCGCGAAATGAGAGCACCCAGTCTAGGAGTATCTGGAACCGAGATCAACCCCCGACATTACCAGCAGGGTGTATTTCCGATGGGCCAATCGAAGCGGAGGACGCAGATGAGATGGTTTCAGGCTCAGACGTAGCAGGTTCTGGGGATAGCGTCACATCTCGCGAATCTTGTTCGATACAACGAAACCCTCAACCGGTGCCATCAATCCGTTGTGCAAAGGACGCTGCATCGTCGCGCCAGTCAGGACGTGACATTAAGCGGTCTCTTCTTCAGCTTGCAGACCCTCGTTCACCTTCCGCCAAAAGTGTACAATACGAGGTTTGGGATTCTCGGCCTCAGCTCTCGGAATTGACAGAAGTAGAACCTCAGTTGAGGCCATCCAGTTGGAAAACGGCCTCGCACTATGGCAGCTTGGCTGATCTATTCCCATCAATATGATTGGGGTTTAGTGCTAGGATTCCGCCCGGGCTGATCTTGGTGCCAAACGTCGCATCACGGACCAACAATGTGCACCGCTGAGCTTCTTTGTGGCAAGCCCAGCGTGGAGATAGCTAGAAAGAGAACATGAATGGATTCGCGGAATGGAAATAGGGATTAGGAGCAGTAATTGGACAAGTGGAGCCAGAAGTGGATGCTACTGCAGAAGGATGAGGCGCAGCAAGAAGGTTCGAGAATATGGAATGTCTACCATGTGAGATCAGGCAACGGGAAGTTCGGTTGTCGAACGACGCTAACCTCACCCTTCTTGTCATAGCTGCGGAGAAAATTTCAGGGGCGAGGTGTAGAAATGAGATACAGAAATAGGAAAGGCAATATGACCAACAACCAGAGTTAGGCGGTGAGCTCCTCACGGAGCAGTGTTGGGGAACGCAGCATCGGGAAAACCAGTGAAGACAGTGCTGTAGATTTTCAACGTATCTTTCTCTTCTTCTTGGAGGAAGAAGATGGCATCTATGCCAGCAAAGTCTATTTGATGCGTTGATGAGCGCTAACAAGATCCATTAACCGAGATACTGGGAATGACCCGTCTCTAGACGCATCCTGTCTTTAGACATAAGATGTCTTCAGACTAATGTTTGAAGACATGCCAGGTCTGGCGACATGTGTCCGGAGACGTAATTTGTCCCAAGAAATATCAGGTCTGGAAACAGCTGGCTTGAGACATATTTGGTCTTGAGACTAGCGTCTGAAGAATAAGTGTCGGAAGACACGTGAGGTCTAGAGACGCTAGTCACAAAAGAGGTCTTGAAACTATTTCCAAACACATGGTGAAAGCGAGCCATATATGACTTGAGGCCTGTCCCTTTGCCGGAGGTCTGTCCCTCAACTCGTGGGTCTATCCCTTAACTTGTGGCCTATCCCTTGGCCGAGGCCTGTCCCTTTTTTCGAGGGTTGTCCCTCAACTCGCAGGTCTATCCCTCAACTTGTTATGAAACCCTATTTCTATAGTCGAACTTTCAAAATCAAGGTCGAACCTATGCATTTCATAAATCTGCACTTAGCATTGATCCATCTTGGCACCTGCAAACCAGTCTATAGAGTCTCTAGCGTGCAGAGGAAAGCAAACGCCACCGAGACAACTATTGCATACTAGTGCAGTACAAGGTAGCACCGTAAAAGGCAGCACTGCAAAAGCCAGTACTGTGAAAGGTAGTACCGCAGTTAAGCCGGCACCGTGCATGAAAGTCCCTACGCATAAAGTCCTTTACTCCCTAGGACGAGGGAGTGCGGCTTCTAAATTTATATAATTTCCGAGCTTGCGGTGATTGGAGGGAAATTGCTCGGGAAGTAGGCTCTTTGAAGGAGTAAGCAAGGGGGTAGGCACCTGGCACACACTTTTTAAGACCCCACATACTTAGAATCCCTGCGGTATAATATCCCCTACGGTATAAAAGTCCCTGCGGCATAAAATCCCCTGCGGTATAAAAGTCCCTGCGGCATAAAATCCCCTGCGGTATAAAAGTCCCTGCGGCATAAAATCCCCTGCGGTAAGGGCATCAAAAAGTCCCTGCGGCATAAAAATCCCCTGCGGTATAAAAGTCCCTGCGGCATAAAATCCCCTACGGCATCAAAGTCCCTGCGGCATAAAATCCCCTACGGTATAAAAGCCCTGAAAACCCCACGGCATCAAAGTCCCTGCGGTATAAAATCTTCTACGGTATTAAAGTAAGTCCCTACGGCATAAAATCCTCTGTAGTATAAAAGTCTCTACGGCATAAAATTCTCTACGGTATAAAAGTCCCTGCGGTATAAAATCCCCTGCGGTATAAAATCCTCTACGGTATTAAAGTAAGTCTCTACGATATAAAATTCCCTACGATATCAAAGTTCCTACGGTATAAAATTCCCTACGATTTCCCGCTACTCTACGGCTTCTAATCGCCCTAAGAGTTTCTCTATTCTACGGTTTCCTCTTCTCTATACTTTTTAAGACTTTATATATTTAGAATCCCTGTAGTATAATATCCTCTACGATATAAAAGTTCCTACACTTTTTATTGGTAATATCTGGGTATGCAGTTACTGCTATAATGAGACTTATTACTAGATATAATATTCTTAATAATATCTAAGAAAGAAGAATTCTATATATAGAGAAGGCCTTTATATATCAATAACTAGGCCGAATGAGTACTAGTGGTAGCGAGTGTTGAGTTACCGACACTTTTAAAATCCTTATACTTTCAGAGTCTCTATACTTTCAGAGTCTCTATACTTCCAAAGTCCCTATACTTTCAAAGTCCCTCAGCCCTCTACTTCCAGAATCCCTGCAGCCTTAGAATCCTCATACTTTCAGAGTTCCTATACTTCTAAAGTCTCTACTTTTTAGAACCTTATAATTTGATAATCTCAATAGCATAAAATTTCCAACACTTTTTTATCAAGTTCCTCTCAAATTCTTCAAAGTCTATAATTTCAAAAATATACTCAAAGATTCCTACGTTATAAAGGTTCCTATAAGCCTTTAATCGACGTTCTATATCTATACTCTTTTAAGAAATAAGAATATATCTTAATGGTTATTATTATCGGAGGTATTACAATAGTAAGAAATCGAGTTTACTAGAAGGATATTTAGAAGATATAAACTTATGTGGTATATTATATCAGCGATAACGTATATTAAAAATCGTTCATTTCATTAGGCGTAGTCCACCCCATTAGTCGCGGAATTAAGGCACTCAGCAATTAGAGAACATTCTATTTAAAGTGCGGAAAATTCTAGAAAACTTCCCGGGTAGGAACGTTTCCTAGAACGTCTTATAGATAGAATATAAAGAGTAATAAGAAATGTATATCGGGTAAATAACATAGGCACGACTCAGCTTTGCTCTATTCGAAAATTCTATAGACCTTAAGCAGATATCTAGTAACAAGTAGAGTTTACTTCTAATATTATATCTAGAAGAGTGTAGGTCCTAGGAGATCTAGCTTGGGAGAGCCAGTCTACACACGATTGTTTTTTAGGGAAGCGGGAACCTATTCTTAAGGTCTTTTTAGAGGGTGGGAAGGGGGGAAACCTATAATAGGTGGGGAGTCCTTAGAATAGGAGGGTAGGTTCTATAGGAGTAGGATGCCTAAATCATATAACATATAACCACGAATTTCGCTCAATTGGAGGGAAGGTCATTTTCATTCAATTGCCTTCTCAACTAACAGATTTTATTATACCTGTATTTGACGCCAGGAATCTTATAATATGCCTGACGCGGCAAAAGCGAAGACGTAACAATTCACCAGAAGGAAATCGAACCTTGTGAAAAAGGCAGATTAGCTGGCACGATTGTGTCACGCAGACCTTGCCCTGATCATCCGCAAGAACGGTAGGTACTACATGTATCGATCGACCGATCATGATCAATGGCCTCCCACGATCACAGAGATTGTGTGTACGGACCTGACAGATCCATCCACCTTGCGCTGACTCGACCATAGAAAGAATCGTGCCCTTTGCCAGTGAATCTGCTCCCTCGAGACTTTGACAAGCATGATCCTGAAAGTCGGCAAAAGTTGGAAGGAGCCGTTGACAACAACGTTGGAAATGGTAGGGCTCGAGTCTGCAGGACACGTCGCTTTGCGAGATTTTCTGCTGGGTTGTATAGCCAAGTCGGAGGAAGACAATCGCATAAGAGAGGTATTACGCTTTTCTCTCGAATCGCAAGGTAGTCTGGACCACCGTCTGAAAGGTATCTTTGCGATAGTCATCGAGAACGTATACGGATGTCAGCATAGAAGGCGTGGTATGATATCCTTCGAATTGTCAAGTTGTCCTTTGCCAATACTCACCCCCAGCACATGAGCCAAGGTTGTCATATCCCCATCCTTGAGCCTTCAGATCCCCATACTAGACAAGCCACCACTTTATTCTGATCCAAGCTTGCACGTTTTGGCCTGTTGCGAAATGTCTTCTGCTCTTCCATCTGACTCAATAACCCTTTGTCCAATCGACCATATCCCTCAATTCTTATAATACTAAGACTCCCTCGCACCTGGAGCTTTTGATGTTATTCATCCATTTATCGACCCACTTTGGTACCAAACTTGGAGCCCGTTGATCACCCGTCAGAATCTGGAATGGGTCTGGGGTTTGGGGGTTACAACCTCGACAGGACCTGTCTGGCGAGATTGCAGCGTGGGGTTGGGAGTAGACGTCTGGGAATCGCAAATAGTAGTAGTAGTAGTTGTTGTTATTATTATTATTATTATTATTATTGAGATACCTGAGGTTCAACCGGATTAGAGAAAATAGGAAGGTGTAGATAAGGTAAGTCTCACTAAGGGAGACATCATCTTTGGACCGAAGCCATTTGAGTGTCTTCACCTGGACATTGAAAGTTCTCATCAATGCACCAGCCTTTGTGGTATACAGCTCTCCATCCTGGGTAGCCCAGCATTCCGCACGTTTGTTTCTATGCTTGCTCTCGCTGTCCACGTCGACCTCTGCGTTTGCGTGGTCTGAAGTGGGGTGCGCTGAAAAGCTCGTCGCGGAACTGCGTAACTCTGGAAATGGTTCTTTGGCAGACTTAGGGAACTCTAGCTATCCAAAAACGAGCTGAAGCGGGCAGAAAGGATTCATAGAAATTTGTAAATACGTGCCTATGACTCATGAGCTTGCCGCGGGGTCAGGGTAGGCGCTAATTTAGCATGAACCTTGCCAAGACTTTCGAGCCCTTTGACCAACACTGTCTTCTTTCCAATCACCTTACACCATGTTTCAAGCCAGCGCCTATATGAAGACATCTCCTATCCCCTCGTTGCAGTCGACATGGCCCGCAGTCAAGCAAAGTCAAAAATCAAGAAGAATTGGCGGCAACCTCCAGTACTAAAGGACCAAGGTGGAGTATTCAAGTCCACGCTGCGTGTTTAAGCTGACCGTCTATAGGGAAGCAGCCTCAAGGCATCAACAAACAACAAGCCGTTCGCAAAAGCGCACGCCTACGGGCAATACAACAACTTCGCAAGCAATCCATATCCAAGAGTGATCTTATCCTGGGAGTACAGACACTTCCCTCCCCTCAAATAAACAACATCCCCAAGGGCAGAAGAGTATGTGCCTCCACTGCTCCTTATGCTCTGTCATACCGTTGACCTGATCGAGGCTCCATAGCGTCCACAGATTCTTTACCTACCATCGGAAGCGCCGCGCAAACGGAAACGAGGGCAAGAAGCTGGACATTCTTCTCCTCAAGACGGAGACCGGCCTCGTTCGAAGCGACCGCGAACCTCGCCTCCGAGCTGCACTGCTGAAGAAAGAGCGGCAAGCGATACCGGTGAGAAGAACGTTGGTCCGCTCGAATATTGGACCTGGACCAAAAGGTGGCCTAAGGAATACTTCGAACAAGACAGCCAGGTCAGGGAAGACTTCGAACAGGACAGCTGGCTAGAGGAACAAATGGATTATTCGACCCAGGTTGTCCAGTATGTAGAGATTAATGGATTTAGATACCCGCGTCCTATCAGGAAAACTCCGACCTCGCTCCGTCGGAAACAATCAGACTCAAGCTTGACTGGCTCTAGCGACCAAACGAAGAGGGAGAGCATAAGTGTTGCATACCGAGATACACGTTACACCACGTTACTTGAGGGTAAAGGAAGCTTTATGGACAAATCAGACTTGGGTATTACGGATGCAAGTAAGAGTCTTTGCCGTCGCCTTCTGGACTCGGAACAGGACGTCCCAAAGGATTCATTGTTTCGAGATGATCTGTTTGAAACAACTTGCCGAAAGATCCAAGACAGAAACGAAGCGAGGGTTATTCAAGACATCGCTCGGTTAATACTTCCTTCTGCGGAAACCCTCGCTACCTACGGCGCTACCAATCTCAATCATCTGATTGAAGGCGTCGATGAAGGCTGGATAGGCAACATACCAGTGGAGGGTCCACGGCCGCAACCGGATTATTCTGTTGGATTCAGGCGATCCGCATTTACCGACGAGCAGCTCAATAAGCTTGATCCGCTCATCGGCAGCGTTTATGAGAACTCCTTTTTCGTCGCAACCTACCGGATGTACTTCCCGTTCCTGACGTGCGAGGTGAAGTGCGGTGCCGCAGCCCTTGATGTCGCAGACCGACAGAACGCTCACAGTATGACTGTTGCCGTAAGAGGTGTTGTCGAGCTCTACAAAGCTGTGAAGCGCGAAAAGGAGCTTCACCGGGAAATTCTTGCCTTTTCGATCTCGCACGATCACAGGTCGGTGAGAATCTATGGCCATTACGCTATCATCGAGGAAGAAAAGACCACCTTCTATCGCCACCCCATCCATGAGTTCAGCTTCACCGCTCTAGACGGCAAGGACAAATGGACGGCTTACAAATTCACGAAGAGCGTCTATGATATTTGGATGCCGATTCAGTACAAACGGATCTGCTCGGCTATCGATCAGTTGCCGTCTGACATAGACTTCGACCTCTCACAGTCAGCTTCTTTCTCACAATCAGGCTGTCAGAATTCTCAGCTATCAAACGCGGAGTCCGCATGGATGCTGGTGGGGGCTAACAGCCAGTCAAGCATAGCTAGCTCGCAAGGAGTTACACCGACCACCTCCTTTACTCAAACAACCGAGCGAGCGTCTAAGAAGCCAAGGAATGAGAGTGCCGCGGGTCAGCAGAGCTGAAATGTCGTGAGGAAGCCTGGCAATTTCAAGCAGTGTAATAATTTGTGATGTGATGATCGGACGTAGCAAAGATTAGGTATCCTTAAGCGTATATATTCTCCTTGGTCTGCAACTGCATTTGTAACAGGCCTATTTCGGAAGGGTGTAAAGCGCTATCTACACAGTGAAATAGAAAGGCAATGCGTGAGAGCAAAGTCTCACCGTAGTGCTCAGGTAGTTACACCCTATTTTCCACTGATCCTTTTGCTGAGAGCCAGTAGATACTCCTCAAGGTTAACGCCTCTGCGTAACGTTTCATGATCTGCTCGTTCGATAGCTTAAATCAAATCATGGACATGATGTTCCGTCCCCAATGCATTCATCTTGTCGGCCTTCGGCCCAGAACACCATCTCAGCTTCTTCACGTCCATACCACCAATGATCAAACGAAGAGTATAGTAAGTGCGCAAGAGTCGTTTTAGCGAGAACGAGGGCGATTTCACCGAGATACCGAGAGAAGAGCTGACAATCCAGATGCTGTATTATCCACCCCCAATTGCTGAATTTTGATTTCGGAGAATTAAGAGCAATATTCCAACTGCTCGTGTTAAATATCCGCTGTCCCTTGGTCCATGAAATTATTTCTATGGCGGTTCGCTTTGTGAGCATGGACGAAGGACACATTCGCAACTCGACGACCAGCAGTTCTACAAGTGACGATATAGTGAAGCCTCTTTTTCGAATGCGGATATTCTGAACTAATCTTTTAAAACACTTCTCATTGCATTCTAAAGATGGGATCAAAGTCAAGAAAGCTGGACGGATAAGCTCCCATTGCCAACAGCTCAGAACCGATGATCGAGGTATTTTAGCCCATATGTACCTCTCACAAGTAGACGTTCCGGCTTTATTAAGGCCAAGCCTCCGTCGAAGAGGGTTGACTGCAGTGCTTGTATTTCTCAAAAGTGACCAACCATCAATCAAGACGATTCTAATATCATTGTGTCCCCACATACGAAAGTGTTCCGCGAGGCTGATGGCTCGATTACACCATTCGTGAGGTTCCGCATAACTCAAAGGTGGGGGACCTGTCGAATGAGAGGTCTGGTTCAGTCGAGACTTCAGAAGGCACATGAGTGTTAAGGGATCTGATGTCGCACCGCATGTATTTAACAATATGGGTAATGCTATACGGTAGCGACGTTGAGGAAGCTAAGATAACAATGCCGATACCTGCTCTCTCAGGAGCATCCTCGGAGTAGGCTGGTCGTCGAATTCTTTTTGACCGGCCAGTTGCGCTCAATAATATATTGAAGGTCCTGTAGCACCTTGATGTGTCTATAGCACCTTGATGTGTCTTTGCTGTGGTTGAGTGGGGGAAGAAGCAGTAAAGGGCAGAAGTAGGATGGGCAGAAGCTGAAAAATGGGGAAAGAAGTAGGCATGCATTTGACCCCGAAAAAAAACGGCTCCTACCTTGACAGTCGGTCACATGAAACTTCCAGTATATAAATAGTAGGATGAAGCTAGCACTGGTAGAGATAGCCCTATGAAGCGTAGCGAAAGGTAGCATCGCGGAAAGCAGGACTGTGAATGCCAGTACTGTAGAAACCAGTACTAGGGAAAGCAGCACCGTAAAAGCCAGTACCGTGAATGCCAGTGGGCGGCGTTGCCAGAATTGGAGCGGGTGCTAGAACTGGCGGGGCGATGATGGAGGATTGTGGCTGACGGAAGGCGGCATCATCTTTGTCGCCCATTCATTAGAGGGTCTAGTCGTCAATCGCGCCCTAATCTACGCTTCGGCCACAGAGATAGTAGTGATGTTCGATGTATGTCGAAGGATGACTTCGGTGGCAAAATGCGAGCAAAGGTAGTCTTTCATCCACAAAAGGACACCATAGATCGTTTCTTGCCTCAGTCCCTCAGACCTGCCAAGATCGCTAAGCCCCTTCGGGGTGCTTCCTTCAGGTTCCGTAGTAAGCAGAAGGCGCTAACCCGAAGGGGCTTAGCGATCTTGGCACGTTCTGAGGGACTGAGGCAAATTCTCGTTATCCGATCATGAACGTTACATTATTAACACATAGGATAAATTTTTTATTTTCTATTAAAATTTTGAGATTTTTTTTTAAATTATAGATCGAAATATGGACTTTTAGATAAAGAAAGAATTTTTAAATTTAGTCTTATAATTATTAAAGCGCAAGGAGTTCAAATATCGCTCACCAAAGTTCCCTCGACAGCCCTAATCAAAAAACAGATGCATATTATTTAATTTTAGAATAACTTTTTTGTTTTCTATTAAAACTTTAAGATTTTTCTTTTAAATTATAGAAGATAGTATAGGCTTTTAGATAAAAAAAGAATTACTAAATTTAGTCTTATAGATATTTAAACACCAGGTGTCGACAGAACTCTGAAACCCGGGGTTTACCCGGCTACTGAGAAAGCTGAGAATCTAATGTACATATTCCACCACAATATCACCATAATAATAATTCAATACGTTTACCACCTGTTTCTACTAGCTGTCGATATCGCCAAGGCATTTCAAGCGATACGAGCCCGGACCTCATACATGATAATCTCCTTAAATTCCTCGAAAATAACCTGTATCAACTCCGTCAAGTTGTTTCGACGTCTGCGGCGATGAACTCTGGCCTTGTGCATATTCCAAATGCCCTCTTTCGGGTTCAAGTCGTGTGATTGGGCAGGGTGCTCAAGTGTTTCAATCCAATTGGCCTCACGTAGTTGATTAGCACGTCCGACTGGTCCAGATTTCTTGCCATGACTTCCATCACCATCCTCCATTAAAATACCTCGGCCGAATTGCGTACGTAAGTGATGTACCTTCTCGATATGGCCTGGTAGAAGCTTATCGACATAGTAGTTCTGAGTCATTGAATTGCCCGATTCTTTGATTTCCGGGTCGTGTGGTAGCGATTCTTTCCAATCCTCGACACGTTGCTCGTATTCTGGAGTGGTTTCACGTTTGGGACGTCTTATGGGCTTGCGAGGCTTCGGAATCTTCACATCGGGGGGGTCGTTCTCGTCATGGTAGATAGTAATCTCTTTGTGGTGCCAGGAGATACTCCCCGAAACATGAACGGAGCATGGTTCGAGATTAGGCAATTCTTGAAGGTTCTTAACGTCATATCGAGTACCCCGTTCTCGTAACACACGGTCTTGCGGTATTGCATTACGAGAATAATGAGCCTCATCCGTAAACACCACGTATTGCCAAAGATCCTCCACTGTTTGTCCGAGATTCCGTGCACCGTATTCCCGTCGCTGTTTCAAATTTGACTCGCTAATTGTTTTAACCTGAGCACATTTGTATAGCTGAGCGTCATTGGTCCGAGCTCGTAGTGATCGTTGAAGGGTACGTTCGCTTGTATTGACTCCGAAATGTTCCAATTGGACAAGAAATGGCTCTCTGCGTACAGGATTCTCCGCTGGATCGACCATTTTCTGCAAGGGTTCTGTGGGAATCTTCGGAGTACGTCCAGGGCGATGCTTTCCGGAACGTCTTGTGCTAGGAGATCCCTGTATTCTTCGTCTTCGTAGCCATGTTTTGCCTGTACTGTATTCGATTCCCTTGTCATAACATACGTCTTGAAGCAATCGACCGGGGGCTCGGGAGTCAAAGGCTTTAAAGAATTTGGCCTTACGACGAGTGATAGCTTCGTGATTGGCTAGAGGAGGATTACGTGTAGGAGTATAAGGTACTTTCATAATGTAATATCGATTCTTAAGAGTAGTCAAGAATATGATTATTTGTTTTGGTGGGGAAGCGCGCAGTAGCCGGGTAAACCTCGGGTTTCAGACTTCTGTCGACACCTGGTGAAAGGCAAGGAATTCAATACTCGTTTCCACCCCCATTTGCACGTTACCCCCATTTGCACGCTCTTAAATTTGTCAGGACCAGCATAGGTACGATACCAGTATGGGTGAGGTAGAACTAGGATAATAAGGCTACCGAACTATGTATGTAGGAAGGAGGCATGATATAGTAGGGGATGCCTCCGCCAAGGCCCGCTAGCCATAGGGCTGAGTGGTGTGTCAAGGGTACGCTCGTAACACTACCCCCCCCTCTCAAATAGCCATGGCCCCCATGGCTGGTAGACCGGAGATGCAGGCCCATTGCTTGCCTTATATCTCCAAACATCCATAGTCCCTGCAGACCTCGACCGGAGAGGATTTGCCAAGGTGTAGCAGTCAAACATCGGATGGTTTCAATTCGTTCAAAAACACCATGTCCGAGGTTTTGCCGGATCGCATGCTGGTCTTGACTGTTCCATGCCTGCCATGCCTGCCATGCCTGCCATGTCCTTTAGAGATCCTGGAGATATTGGTTATATCTTGCCTGCGTGCCAGCAAGATTCTCCGAATTCTTCTCCTTGCCCAGTCTGCTTGTCATAGTCCTCCACTTTTTTTTTCGCTTTCAACACCTACTGGCAGCCTGGCCTGGGAGCTTCACTGTAGATTTGCCCTGCGTCTCCCATGCTCTTGCCATCAAGTCCATCGGTAGAATTGAAGAAAATCCAACGCATGCATGTGTCATTCTCCAACACCTGTTGGCAGCCTGGCCTGGGAGCTTCACTGTAGATTTGCCCTGTGTCTCCCATGCTCTTGCCATCAAGTCCATCCTCCATTCCATCCTTTTATCGATTCGTAGGTGTGGTAGGGAGGTAGGGAAAGAATCGAATGTGTTGAATGCCATTTGGTAGCAGGCTCACTATGTGTGTTGTCGACATGCTCAGTGAAGAGGTCGGATCGTAATCGTGTTGCCGGGTCTGTTCCCGTCGCCATTGTAGCAGGCTCACTGTGGTGGGTTGGTTTGATGAGTTCTTTTCGATTCGCTAATCCTACGAATGGTCCAGCGGTGCTTTATCCCTCCTGCTGTCCAGAGGCCGTTCCGTCATGCCGAAACGAATTACCCGTTTGGTGGGCTGACCTAAGGATACGATACCTCAAGTTCCTGTCTTGACCTCAACCGGTCGTGGTGTCTTGGTCTCAAGTTAGTATCTTGACAAAGCCCTTGCCAGCGCGTTTGTTTATTAACCATTCGTCCGCTAATCCGAATGGGCGTGAGTGTGCGTTGATTGGCCCGTATGTGTTTCTCTTCGCCGGGTGTACGAAGGAGCCTTATTATAATGTCAGGACCAGCATAGGTACGATACCAGTATGGGTGAGGTAGAACTAGGATAATAAGGCTACCGAACTATGTATGTGGGAAGGAGGCATGATATAGTAGGGGATGCCTCCGCCAAGGCCCGCTAGCCATAGGGCTGAGTGGTGTGTCAAGGGTACGCTCGTAACAAAATTCGACAAATTCGATATAGGTAGCCACCATTACTATAGCTACCACTAATATCTATTTAAATAATCTATTAATATATTCTATTATAATAGCTAATACTATAAGATTTAAATAGTTTTTTATTATATTTTTATTATAATAGCTAATATTATAATATTATAATTATTATTTAATAGATTTAAAGATTTTAATATAATAGATATTTTTATTTTAAACTTTAATATAATATTATAAATAACTTTATATTTAAACTCTTAATATTATTAATATATAAATTAGATTAATAAATTAATTTTATAAATTAAAAATTAAATATAAATTAAATACTATTAAGAATAAAAATAAAGTATATATTTAATATTAATTAATAAGTTATTACTTTAAATAACTATTAATAATTTATTAATTTAAAGTAATTAGAAAAGAATAAAATCTAATATAAATAAATATATTAAGATAAAGAATAAGTTTTAATTTAAATCTATTTAAAAGTAATTAAGTAATATTAAGAAAGATTATTATATCTTTTATATCTCTTATATAAAATATATTACTTTTATTAAACTTTATATTATTATTATACTAATAGCGAAATAAATATAATATTATTTACTATAATAACGAGCTTTATTAAAGATTATATTAGAGATTTTAATATAATAAGATATAGAAGAAATATAAGAGCTAATAGAAGAAGAGATAAAGAAAGAGAAAGTAATAATTTTTTTAAAATATAATAGATTAATTAAATTTAATAAATAATAGTTAAAATTCTTTAATATAAAGTCTTAATAGAAATAAAATATTATTATTATTATATTAATTTAATAAAAGGTAGGTATTTTGGTGTTGCGTCGGATTTATCGGATTTTAGAGCGTGCAAATGGGGGTAACGTGTAAATGGGGGTGGAAACGGAGTATCGCTTACCAAAGTTCGCTCACCAAAGATCGCTCGACAGCCGGACAACCCTAATCAAAAAACAGGTACACATTATTTGATTTTAGAATAACTTTTTTATTTTCTACGAGTAAAGGCCTATGAATTAAATTCATAACCGTTCTTTCTTATTAGGGCTGATGGGGCTGTCGAGTAAATTTGATGAGCGGTCTTTGATGAGCGATATCTGAATTCCTTGCCTATAAATATCTATAAGACTTAGTTTAGAAATTCTTTTTATATCTGAAAGCCCACATTACGCGCCATAAAGGTTCCAACAAACCTCTAACCGGCGTTCTATATCCATGCTCTTTCAAAGCCGGAATTGGAAACCAGGGAGGAGTCCTACACTGCTTACCATTACCTGGGCATGTTTTTAGTAATCAGAACAGATTAGCGTTGGCGGAGACGATGTATCGACGAGCGTTGGATGGATACGAGAAAGCATGGGCCCCGGAGCATACATCCACACTCGATACCGTCAACAATTTGGACAATCTTTATGCAGATCAGGGCAACCTGGCAGAGGCCGAGAAGATGTATCTGCGAGCATTAACGGGTTATAAGAAGCTTAGAGGATTAAGTCATCCAACGACGAAGTTGATTAGTCGCAATTTGAGCAGCATTCAAAAGATATGAGGAGAGTCAGTATCTGTCTAGCCCAAACAATCCTTTTAAACACCCAATTAGAGCCGTAATCTCTAATGAGGTCTCTGCTCGGTATTTGTTTTAAGATATCTTTGGTCTATTATGCTTTTTGCCATCAATCTTAGCTGTCTTCCACGCCCGTCTTTGATGTTCCTTTCCGTCGACGATCTCTCTTTCCCAACTCTGACAAAAGTGGAAGTCCAGGACCTTTATAAGCAATGCCAAAAAGCGTCCGAAGAAGTCGCAAAGGCGGTGTGCCAAGGAGATGAAGAGAAAGTGGAGAAGTCCGAAATGTTGGAAGGGAATCTGTTGAAGCAGATGGAGCAGAGCCAGATTATTGACGAGTTTCGCAAGAAGATTATGGAGAGAAGGGAGCGTGAAGGAGAATTGAGGGAGAAACTAGCGAAGACGGAAACAAGGCATAAAGTGCGGGAAGCTATAAAGACTGGAAAAGAGAAGCCAGTCAGTAATGGCTCGAGCTCGGCAGAGAAGTACAACACGATAGGGAAGGGTAAGTCAAAACATTTAAAGACCATTACGAAAGCAAGCACAGATAGGGAATTTCGGTGACATTGTTGTCTCATCTTCCTCAACGTCGCTACCGTATAGCATTACACATACTGCTAAATTCATGCGGTGCGACATCAGATCCCTCAACATTCATGTGCCTTCCGAAGTCTCGACTGAACCAGACCTCTCATTCGACAGGTCCTCCACCTTTGAGTTATGCGGAATCTCACGAATGGTGTAATCAAAGTCTTTGGACAGTAGATTGACAGGTAACGGGTACGAGGCTTCCTAAGCTCGAATTAGCTCATATATCGATACATCGGGTTCATACGTACGATTTCTGTCATGCTGGGAGACCACTATTCTTAACTAGTCGATCGATAAGTATAATACCTTCCATTTCTGCGGATAATCAATGCAACGTCTGCGTGACATAATCGCGCTAGCTGATCTGCCTTTTTCATTAAGTTTGGTTTCCTTCTGGTAAACTGCTGCGCTTTTGCTTTTGCTGCGTAAGGCATTTTCTGCCTTTCCTGTTGATTCACAACCTCTTTAACACACAATCTTTGTGATCGTGATCAGTGGATCGATACATGTTATACGTGACCCTGCTGCTAAGCTCTGAAAACGGCTTTAAGTCAGATAGATCACAGCGGCAACAGTATGTCCTAATGATATCAGCTTTCGCATGCGGATCCCTTCAAATATAATGTTCTCATTGCGCCTATAGATATGACATATCAAAGAGAAGGGAAGTGAGAAGATCTTACGCAGGCAATCGAGTGCAGTCAAGAAGTTATCGATCTGACACCAATAGGAAACCCTGATCGCGCTGAGCGACTCAGCAATCTCAGTACTTGTCTCATGAGCGCACCCGTTCTGTTCCAACATCTTAGCCTAATCAAGGGCCTTTCGGTACTGGTTAAAGACCGAAATGAACGGCGTATGAATCTTTCCTCAGAGTAGATGGCATCGTGCGATTAACCACATCGCCGGCCACGAAGGATCTTCTCCCAACATAAACCCACTGGCAACCAGGCCGCCACTATTTGCCTAGTGGGTGACCGGCGGTGGAGGAGCGTAGAGAAACTGGATTGTGGAAAGCTGGGATGGATTAAGAGTTGGGATTGGACCGGTGTCATTCATCCAAAGTCTTTCAGTGATCGATGCAGCTTTCAGCTAAGCCGAGCACGTTGTCTCTTTGTATCCATACCGATCTGCCGTGACCTTATAGCTATTGCTTTGTCAACCCCGATAAGCTCCCTTCTGAACCTCCCTCCGGTAAGGCATCTCGCCTTACAATTCCTTCTCAGATATTCGAGGATGGTCCAATCATACACATGATCATAATCGAAGCCCTCGCGCACGAAGAGATCACGGAAGATTTTGCGTAGATTGGAATATTTCGGTTTCTCGTCAAAATCAAGAGAACGGATGTAGTCGAAATAAACCGCAAATTCCTGAGGGAGATCCGCGTACAGATCCTCTGTATTGATCCTTCTCTTTTCCTCCAAGATAAGTTCTTCCTTTTGCGTCTGATCTGTGGCCATGAGACCTTGCCATGGGAGAGAGCCCCGGAGGAAGTAGAGAAGCATGTACCCGAGGGATTCCAAATCATCGCAGCAATGTTGCACTTGACTAGGCGTTAGTCTTTACGCAGCAAGAACCGAGGATATCACACTTACCAACACCTAAATGACCGTTGATGCTGGCAAAACGGGCCGTGCCAATTAAATGTGGATTCCGGGCACGACCGGCGTTGATCTGAGCAGTAAGGCGTTCCGTGGCGAGGCCCAAATCCGTCACATAAACCCGATTCCCCTGCTTCCCCACACCCATCAAGAAGTTCTCGGGTTTGATGTCTCGATGAATGACGCTCTTGGAATGGATATATTCGAGACGACGAATGAGCTGGTCGACGAGGATCAACACAGTCTTGAGAGAGAACTTGCGACCGCAGAAGTTGAAAAGGTCTTCCAGACTCGGCCCCAGAAGATCAAACACCATAGTATTGTATTCACACTCCGTCTCATAAGCGTGGACTCGTGGAATACCGACACCGTCAGAAAAAGGATCGATAGGTATCGGCTTCGCCTTCCAGTAAGGAGGGATCGATAGATACGTGTTCGAGTTTGATAGCGACGTCTTCACCGGTATCGATGTTGGTTCCTTGCGTGTGATGAGCCTCAAGAAGTGGCTTGGGCTATCCGCATCTGTTACCCATGTACACAGTGCCGAAGCTGCCCCCACCGATCCTCCTTTGCAGCCGACATTTACTGGCGATACATAAATCCTGATGAGGTGTCAGTACATCGTGGCAATGTCTTGTCAGGGATAGGTGAGAGGCAAGATCGAAGAGCACAACCTACTCACCAAGTTCCCCATTTGTGAATCCGGTAGACGTGGGTGCAGGCTTGAAGCTGCAGTGCACAAGGTGCCCACACTATTATTTCGAGCAATCAAAAGGTCTGGGTGGTTATCCGGCGCATACAGCGTTTTCCAGGCAGCAGTCACTCCATTGATTGGCGAAATGACTCATACGCTAGCGTGGCTGTCGGAGACGCGCGCTATCTGCATCTCGTTCTTGATTGTCCATCATCCACTGGAAAAAGACGTGTCATAAGTCTGAGATTCATTGCCTTTAGAGAAAACTCCAATGCCCGGCAGTCGAAAGCGACAGCTGTATGTTGAAGCAGAGTCTACGACTGACTCTTCACCACCGCCCGTCGCTAAACGGCGAAAGCTCGAGAAGCAGCAACGACACAGGACACCCAGCTGGTTTTGGGATAATTTGTCACGGCAGTGGCTTACTCCTCGCACTCTTCGAGAGTTTGATCGAAGAACAGAGTGGCCTGCTGCTTCTTTACCGCCTGATCGGACTGGCAAGGAAGACATTGACCTTGCACAGCTCAAGCGCTTCGCAAGACACGGTGGACCAAGCCTTGAGAATCTGAGAGCTGTAAGTTCCATCCAATCCTTTTGAAATTGCCTTCTGACTGTATGCCAGTATCCAGAACCCCAAACCGCCGTTCCTTCCAATCGAACGATGTCGTCAAGTCAATCGGGTTCTAGGAAACGAGCTAAGACTGGAAGAGAATCGGATATTTCCTCGAAGACGAAGAAATTCTCTGCATATGACCCTGCCTTCGAGCAGCATCTCATTGATCATGGCATTTATCCTTATGGATACGACTATGATGATGACGATGGCTCCGTATATCCGGATAACTGGGAGGAAATAAATGAGAGGCTAGCGCAGCCACGGCCTTCTCTTTCGCCATCACGCTTTCCTCGTGAAGCGTTTCGGAAGTTTGAAAAAACGAACATGCAGGCTTTGACTGAAAACACTGTGATGAGCAAAGCATTCCCGATCATTGCTGGCACCGCCGACATTCCCTCGCAGGAGAACCTTCTCTTCGGAAACCTCAAACACCTGACCGATGGCTCTATCACCAAGGCCAAGCCAGACTTCTACGACGGAAGCCGTCCCGCGGAATTCAAAAAGCAGATCCGGGAAGAGCTAGGGCCCTACATCGTGCCGTCGACGAATACCGCCGCACCGTGCTTGCCCAACTTCTTCACGGAGGCGAAAGGTCCAAAGGGGACTACAGACGTATGCAAGCTACAAGCTTTATATGACGGTGCTGTGGGTGCCCGGGGGGTACACGAGCTGCGGTCATACATCGGTCAGGAGACGCTATTCGACAACAATATGTATACGATCACATCAACCTATCATCATAGTGGCCTCCTCACCATGTATACAACCCATCCCACTGCGTCCGAAAGTCCTACAAATTCTATTGAATACCGCATGACCCAGCTCAGGTCGTTCGCTATGACCGATGCTACGGATACCTTCCGACAAGGAGCTGGCGCATTGAGAAACGCCAGGGACTGGGCAAAAGAGAAACGGGAAGAGCTCATAACTGCGGCGAACGGCAAGACGCTAGATCCGGGACAATCAAGCTTGGTTTCATCCACAGATAGCTTCGTGTCGTTGTCATCAAACGAGGCCACTCACCCAGAATCTGAGACGTCAGCTGACGAGCTTGCCCTGGACGTTGGTACGTTTACTAGCTCCAGTCACAGAACTCCGGTCAGAGCCCAAACGAATCTTCCACCTAAAGTCTCCTTGAATCGGCAATCCAAGAAAGCGTCTCAAGTTAGCAAGAGGCCAAGCAGGAGACCTGAAGCCTCACAAGTCATCTATAGAGAACCCAGGCTCTAGTGCAAAGAGGCACATCTGCGGCGATGATGGCGTGCGGAAACTGGTTTACCAGCACAACCCCATCCAGCTGTCGTGCATTACCGATAACACGGATTCTGCCGCAGGATCATGCAGAAGTGATGCGCAATCTCCGAGTATGAGACGTCCTTGACTCCTCTTATCCGGACAGGCCACTAAATTGCTAGAGCCACCGGCATCACCGCTACCCCCAGGAGTTCATTATCGCTACTCATCACCATCTCGTATCATCTACATATTTGTCTCCAAAGCCATTTCTCGGACTCTTCGTCTCCTAATCCCTTCGAAACTTTCGTCTCCACTGCTTCGACGCCCCAAACAACCGATGGGCTTTTCGGATTTTCTGTTAGGAGCCTTATCTGTAAGGTCCCCAGACTATCTTCACCCTCGCAGCTCAACCTCGCAGCATATTTTCTTTCGGCGAAGACCTTTGCCCTCGCCTGGTCTCCGTGCGCTATAACGGTCTGGAGTGCATCGTAGTATGCCCTTGGAAGCCTAGCATCCGAGATTTGCTCCGCTTTCAGTAGCCGTATGAGTGTATGTACCCTTTGGAGATGCTGCTGAGGATGCAGCATGAGATGTGCGCCGTCACCGATGACGTCGTCAAGATGTTCGACCTCCTCCAATCTGTTGTCACTAAGCACGCGTTTGGTTGCTGGGAGGCTGCAAAGGCTGCAAAGGCTGCAGGTACAATCGAAGCCGAAATTCTTTTGGAGGTGCCCACGTCGAGATTTCGAAGGGCCGGTATGGGAATATGAGAATGTTATTTCCTCGCCCTAAGCTATGTCCCTGACAGTATGTATCGTTTCTTCGCCAATGCTCGCGGTCCATGTGTGTTGGCAATTCGGGAGGCAAGCGTGATCGATTCTCGAGGGGGAGGGCATTGGTTTTGACAATGCCGGGGCTAATTGCTAGCCATCACTTCTTAAGGAGTGATTTTTTGCTCTTCTTGGTGTTGTCAACATGCTTCGGAGCAGTCCGACCCTTTGCTGTAAGCGCTCGGCGAAGGTTCTTGTAGTAATTCGATGGTCGTTTGGTAGTCTTGCGACGTGCCTGCGCTGTTTTGCTGACCGCTATGGTGTCCCGCTGCTGCAACGGAGGATGTTCACGGCGAAACAGTCAAGGATAGAGGGTGGAGGGCGTTTAGGATGTGAATGTGACGCGACGTGGCTGCAGGAAGGGCGATGACGGTAGACGAGATGAGTAAGTGAAGCCGGCTTCACTTGGGGACGGTAGGAAAGAAAGGTGGTGCTGATATTCAGCAGCAGCAGAAGCAGAGGGTGCCATGCCTCTATTTATGTTCACTGCCCTCCCACCAAGGGCGAAGTCAATGCTAAAGATGTGACAGAACCTTCGTGGAGGACAGCTAAAAAAGAACCCTGTCGCGGCGCCATAGATCAGATCCTGATTCCTGAAGTTCGGTCCGACGGTTGATCCGGGGAAGGGTCCAAGGGCCCTCAGTGTTCTGGCAAAACCAGCTCCTTTCGGCTGCCCTAACACCGAAAAGTTACTATCGCTGCGATAGTAATAGTATCGAGTTCTTAGATACTTAGCCTACTTAAAACCTCGATTAACTATCTTCTAAAGATCATATTAGAACCTCGAGTTCATTTATATTAGAATTATCCTTAAATAATTTTACTAATATCGACGATTTTAACGATTTTCCTCCTCTCTCTCTCGTAATTACTACTCTATCTCTTTTATTATAATCTAATTAACGTAGCTAATAATAACGACTTCTAATACTAGAGAATTCTAATTCTACTTCTTTAATAATAACTAGGATTAAGCGAGGGATAGCTTCGAAGATCGATAGATAGGCTAGATAAAAGTCTTAATAACGACGCGAGATAAAGGGTAAGATAAAGCGAGCGACTAATAGAAAGAAGGCGGTAGCGAGAAAGAAGGCGAAGGCTATAAAGTCTAGGAAGGAGAATACGAGTTAATTAACTAATTATTTATTAAGTTCTTTACTATAGAATTAATAAGTAGTAAAAATATATAGTAAGTAAGTAGTATTAGTATTTAAACTCGCTTAGCGAGGTACCCTATGGCCAGCCCTACACTCGTTCCTCGCTTCGAGAGTCAATCACATCGCAAGCTCATTACGATATACCCTCTCTCTAGAGTCTAAGTAGAAAATTCTAAAATCGCTATATTAATCGTTATTTTATATAGGATCCTTATTAAAATTGACCGAAATAGAAAATAAGTAGTTTCTTTTATATATAACTTTTTACTACGCACTCTAATAAAAAAATAATTCTCTATAAAATAACTATTTAAATATCGTAGAATTAGATTTTTTTTTTCGATTTTCAATAAAATATCTTAATTAATTATTTTTAGAAGATTTAAATTAGAGTTTTAAAAACTATACTTTTAACCCCCCTCTTATTCTTTAACGTATATCGAGAAAATCTTAAAAATAATCTTAAAATGTTCGTTATATTTATAAGTTTATTTAAGAATATTATTATAGAATAAGCTAGATTAGTTTTTATAAATATTTATTTATTAAATATTTACTTAAATTTAATTTATCTAAGCTATTATCTTAATTAATTTATTAATTAATTTATAATTTTAAATTAATATTTTATAATTTATAGATATAAGTTAAGATATATAAGGTTTTATTAATATTATTTTTTAATTTATTTAATTATTATATTATTTTAAGATTTTTAGAAAAGAAATTTAAAAGCTTAATAACTTTAAAGACTTCGAACTTCAAATTTAGAAAATTTGATATATTATTATTATATATATTAAGAATATATTTATAAATTTTTATAAAAAGTAATAGTTCGATTATCGAGTAATAATATATCGAAGTTATAGATTATTAAGTCTTTAAAATAGTTTCGGGGTAGCTTCGGGGTAGCTTCGGGGTAGCTCGCTCCGGGCCAAAGCTACCCCGAAAGTTACTAATGCTGATATATACGCAAGGGTAAATATCTCATATCAGCCAAACCACCAAAAAAATGAGGCTTGGCAGGGTTTCCTGCTCAGACCCACTGCGTGGGGCCACTGAGATTAGTAACTAAGCGACGTAACACCGTGCCAAAATTTAGTGGGGGCTGCATCAAAGGGTGGCGGGAGCTAAAGCGTAGTTGCCCGGGAGGCTTATTTTAGCTGCAAATCATTGACGGGGGACTGTGTCCGCAGGTAATCGTAGTCCGACTATTCGCTTCGCTCATAGAAGCGAATAGTCGGACTACGATTAAGTTGTTCCTTGAAATACCACATAAAGGCGCTGGCATGGCCCTTCCAGGACAGATAAAGTCTCTTTTCGGTTTTTGGAAAGGTTTAAGCAATATTCTACTTGAGATTACTAAACCTGGATCGATCATTAATGAAAACCTATACAAGGGATTCATGGCATACCTTAACAACGTGGGGCCAAAGATAGAAAATACTGTGTGCGTTTATAAAGCCGTAAAAATACAAATTTGGGGCATGCCGATCAATATCATGCATATAAGCGCTGTAGTCCCATCTTAAATCTTAGAGCGATACTAATACTATTTAACCTTCAGGTCGTTAATAAAAACTCTACAATCATCAAAAGATCTCAGCGGATAGGTTCTGAGACAGATCATCGTAATATGCAAAGATTACCCAGTCGGGAGGATCAAGATTATCGGGATAACTTTCAGTGGATCAACAAATAGGCGAAAAAAGCTAAGGGAGAAGCCGATGGTAAGTGTCGGTGATAACGGCAATACTATCCTATATCGGACTTGCCTGAGTTTATTTTACGATTAAGCTAACGTGTTTTCTATCAAAACAAAATACCCTGAGGGCGCGGGAGAAGACTCAGGATGAGCAAGGTCAGATTTCACAGTATGGATACGCGGTTTCCGCTTTATGCTAACTTTGAGAATAGATTACCTCAGGTCCCTGTCCTTTCAGAATATAAATCAGCGACAAGCAAGTGTAGCAGACGCAGCCACCAAAACATGTGCATAGCTGTTGAAACATGAGAACTATACAGATTGGCTCGCTCAGCCTCACACACTACTCTGGATTATGGGAAAGCCTGGGGCAGGGAAGTCGACGCTACTCAATTACGCTCTTGAGAAAGCTCGTGAGAAAGCTCGTGAGAAAGCTCTTGAGAAAGCTCTTGAGAAAGCTCTTGAGAAAGCTCTTGAGAAAGCTCTTGAGAAAGCTCTTGAGGAAGCGCCTCACAGCAACGATGTCATAGCTTCCTTCTTCTTCTTCGGTCGAGGTAGTGACCTTCAAAAGAGCTCATATGGCCTGTTCCGCTCGCTTTTGCAGCAGCTTCTAAATCAAGACCCCGACATGCTGTCCGCTTTCATTCCGATACATAAAGAGAGATGTAAAAAGGAGAGATCAGACCATGAATGGGCAGAGAAAGAGCTACGAAAATTCCTGGAAATTTGGATTCCCAATCCCTCCAGAAATCGCTCGATCCGGATTTACGTCGATGCGCTCGACGAAGCCGGTCAAGACGTTGCTGCAGAGTTGGTGAAATACTTCAAGAAGCTAACTGAACTGCCGTCTTCCACCGGAGCCAATTTCCAAATATGCTTTTCTTGTCGGCATTACCCCGTTGTGGTACCGAAGGATGCTCTGAAAATCAGCATTGAAGACGAAAACAAGGAAGATATAGCAACCTATGCCCACGAAAATCTGAAGGATCACTTTTCGGACACAGACAAGGCGGAGCTTGAGAGAGAGATCAAGGGGAAAGCCTTAGGTATTGTTCAATGGGTTATTCTTGTTATCCCAATCATCATCAAATCGCAACAGGATGGTGAAAACGTAAGAAAAATCCGCCAAGAGATCGAGAAGATACCGCGCGAGTTGAGTGATCTTTACGAACATATTCTGTCTCTGATCAAAGACCAAAAGCAAAAGAGAGCAGTGCAACTGATGCAATGGGTATGCTTCGCTGAGAAAGGCCTCTATCGTTAGAGGAATTACGCTTTGCAATGATTGTGGATATTACCAACGAATCCAAGTCACTTCGAGACTGCCAGAAATCGATGGACTTTGCAGAGGACGATGAACAGATGAGAAGCAAAGTGACCAGTCTTTCCGGGGGATTGGCTGAAACCGTGGAGTATCAAAATCGACAGACCGTGTAGTTCATTCATCAATCCGTCAAGGACTATTTCATTAAGAGCGGACTGCAAAAGCTTGATAGCTCCAACTCTTGGTTTCGTGATGTCAACTGCTATCTAGAACAGAACAAATTGCTAAAGCTTCCCGAATCTTTGTCTGAGAATGTGGTCGGCCTAGCGCATTTCCGGATATCAAGGTCATGTGTCAAGTACGTGACCTTGGAGGAAGTGCTCGGCGATATTAAACGATTTCCCCGCGACGACAATATAAAAGCCCGGCGAGAAGCCGAAACAGAGATTCATAGACGCTTCCCTTTCCTAAGTTACGCAACAAAATAGACTTCACATGCTGAAATTGTGGAGAAACAGCGATACCTCAAAATGACCTGCTCGGCCTTTGTCGATGGCCGTCAGAAGATGTTATAGAGTCCTGGGCTCAATATTTGGTCGCATGCTTCTCTCGTGATTCACTTAAGCAGGTACCCATTAGCGGAGGCGAGACGTATGGGGCACGAAAATATAGTTCAGTTGTTGATTGAGAAAGGCGGTGTCGAAATTGACTCGAAAGAGAGCTAAACTTTTTTTAATTAATTAATTTTTTTTTTTTTTTTTAATTTTTTTTTTTTTTTTTTTTTTTTTTTATTTTTTTTTTTGTGGGGGTGGGTTGTTTTTTTTTTTTTTTTTTTTTTTTTTATTTTTTTAAAAAAAATTTTTTTTTTTTTTATTTTTTTTTGTTTTAGAGAGAGAAAAAAAAAAGAGGGTTAATTGGGTGGGGGGGAAGGGGGGGGGGGGGGGCTTTTTTGAAGAGAAGGTTTTTTTTTTTTTTATTTTTTCCCCCGGGAGGGGGAGGTGGGGGTTTTTGGGGAAGGGGTTTTGGGGGGGGGGGGAAAAAACCGCCCCTAAAAATTTTTTCTTTTAGGGTTTTTTTTTCAAATTCCCGGGGGGGGTTTTGGGGGGGTATTAAGGGCTCTTCTCCATTATTATCTTTACCCGTTTTTTCCCACAATTCGCGGAGACTTGATGGGCTTACGGGTTTGCAATCGCCGAAGTCCTAGGTTACAAGCCCCGAAATTTTTCGAAGATCACGCAGGATCAGCTCGCATCGATTCTCAGGACTCTACGTGCTTCCTACGTTAGGGGAACTGACGGCGAGCCTCTTGTCGACCTGGTCTCGAAGTTGCTCATATGGAGGCCTCAGGATCGGTGGTCGGCCGAACAGGCTCTGGAGCATAACTGCTGGCTTCCAATAGCGCTAGAGCAGGACCGAAGGTATGACGATCCTGCAGAAGCTGCAAGGTCCAAGAGAGCTCTGCTGGAAGATCGGGTTTAACGGTACCTGTACTCGGCGCAGCGGGATTTGAGGCATTGGGACCTGCAGCCGGCACAGCAGCCGCGTCTTGGCAAGGATTATTCGGGTTGGTCCAGGCAGGTAGCCTGTTCGCCTGGTGTCAGAGTGCGGCAATGGAAGGAGCGGCTGTAGGCGGCTTGACGATTGCGTGCACAACCTGGACAAGCGTGATTGATATGCCAAGACTAAAAGGGGAGATTATGCTTTTGTTCCTTACTAACAAAGTCATTGCTCGTGATCTATCTAGCGATGTGACCAAAAGCCTTGCAGTAATTACACTTTCAGTAATTACACGTGAAATTACTGCAAAGCAATTGGTCTGACGGTCACGCTAGTAGGGCACTAGTGGGTATTTAAAATTTGGCCTGGAATCCACCTGTTGAGAGGTACCATTTCCGTGTAATCTAGTCCTACTGAGGGTACTCTTGCGAGTCAAGAAATGAGGCTATACAGATCCGAGGTACGTGCAGGAGCCATGGGAGCTATGGGAGCTTCCAACAACGCGTCTACCTCGTAGTCAGGCCCCACATCATCGTCATGCTTGGTGGGAGGTCAATTGATGAAGAAATGGTAGGTTTTGAAGAATTTTCTCCGCAAGATATTGCCAAGACTATGGATTTGGCCAATCAGAAGGCCTACATTTGGATTACTAAGCGCATTTCACGAATTATATGCTGTAATACTCTAGAGACCTAACATACGATAATTACTGTGAAGCATTTGCTTTACATATAATATCACATCGCTAGATCTATTACGCGCTGTTATTAATCTCTATTAAGTTAAAATACTTAACTTTATTAAAAGTAGAGCTACTTTATATTAATATTAAGTTTAAAATTATATATTAATTATTAAACTAATAATTATTAATTAAAAATAATTAGATATTAATATTAATAGTTTAATTATAATTTAAAGTATTTTAGAGCTAATATTACTATCTTTTATTATACTTATAAGTTTATTAAAGATTAAAATAATAAGAATTCTTTATTAATATTAATTTCTAAATCTTTTAAAATCTTTCAAAAGAGAAGGCTAAAGCTCTATTATCGAATATTTTATTCGCGATTATATATATTTTATTATCGTAATTATAAAGCTAGAATAATTTTTAAGATTTTATAATAATAGCTAGCGATATAGATATTCTAAGTTTAAATTTCAAAATAAGTAATATAAAAAAAAATTTAATCTTTCTTTAAGAAGAAGATTAATATATCTATAATAACTATATTCGATATAATTTTATTATTAAATATCTTTTATTTTAATTATATTATCTATATTTATTATAGCTTTATATATAAATATTTCTTATTTCTTATATAAGAATTTAAAGTTTAAAAGCGATAATTAATTAATATTAATAATAAGATCTTTTAAAACTTTAATAATAATTAAAAAATATATTTAATTTTCTTTACTTTATTAAATGATAAATTTAATAAATTTAAATTCAAAGCTAGTAAAGATATATTTAATTTATTAAGCGATATTAAATTATATAACCTTTATATTAAGACGTTTATTTTACTCGATTTAAAGTTACTCTTATAATTATTCTTTAAATTTATTATTTTATCTAAAATAGTAGCTAAATCGTTATTATTATTATCGCTATCGCTCTCTTTATTAATATTCTATATATTATTATCTAGACTATCTTTTAATAATATTAGATTTAAATAATTAGTTATAGATTTTTATAGCTAATACTTTTAATTAATCTTAATTTAATAAAAATAGTTTTTCTCTAATCTCTATCGCTATGTTAAAATTTAATATTCGATATATTAGATAAAGATAAAATTTTAAAAACTAGTTATATTTAATAATTCTTTACTTTTTATTAGAATTATTAAGTTTAAAACTTATATTATTAGTTTCTAATGTTTTAAATATAGTAGTTACTAACTTACTAATTTATTAATATCGATTATAATTAAATAATATTAAACGCTATTATTAAATATTATAAATCTAAAAGCTTTAATCTTTATATAAAGCTAATTTACTAATTAGTTAATATTACTCTTTTTTTAAAGAAGATATTTATTAATATAAAAAGAACTTTTATAAGATTATTATCGAAGTTACTAATTTATATAAATTATTTATTTTATTAAAGCCTTTTCTAATTTAGCTTCTTTTTATAAAATTTAAAGACTTTTTAATATCTTTATAATAACTTATATCTAGATCTATAAGCTATATAATAATAAAATCGTTAAATTTAATAAGATTATTTATATTATAATAAGTAACGAAATTTATTTACTATTATTTAAAGATAATAATATCGCTATATACGCTATTTATAATAATAGCGATAAGAGTAAAGATATATAACTCGCTAAATACTATAAAATTAATTATTTATAAATTAATTATAAAACTTATCTTTTATATAAGATCCTTATATATAATTTTAAATATCTCTTCGCTAAGTATAAGATTTTTCTTATTTAAAGCTTAAAAAGTTTATATTAAATAAGAAAAAGAAGAAGAAGACTTATATCGTCGTAATTAATTTTAATAATATTATAGAGAAGAGCTCTAATAGTAAATATAGACGTATCGAAAAAGCGCTTTTTAACGCTTTAACTTTAGAAAAGAATTAAATTAAATTATTATTATATTAATTCTAATCTCGATAATTTTAATATATCTAATATATCTAATAATAAAGAAGTTATTTAATATAGTAGTTATCGATTCTAATTTAAAATATAACTATTACGAGCGTATCGTTAATATATTACTTAGTTCTATAGCCTAGCGAGCCTTAGCGAAGATATCTTCTATTATATTATATCTTCTTTTTATCTATATAGTTCGATAGTCTTATTATTCTTATTCTATCTTACTTATACTAATATTATATCTATATTAGTTCTAATAATAACTTAATAATTACTAGTTTTATAGATCTATGTATATTTTTATATAATAATAAATTCTAGTTACTCTCGTTATTTATTTATTAAATATCTAATATTTATTATTTATAAAAAGATTTACTCTTATTTAATTAGAGATATTAAAAATAGTTAAATTTAATCTCTTAATTATAATATTTATAACTTAAATTACTTATTTTTAAATAAATATATAAGTATTATTCTATTTAACGTTTTATATATATTTAATATAAATACTAGTTTTCTTTCTATTAATAAACTCTTAGATATTAATATTATAATTATTTTTTATAAAATTAATTATACTCTAATTAAAGATAACTATTACGAATTTCTTTACTAGGCGTCCCGATTGGGCTTAGTGCCTTGGCGCTGCGGTACTATAGAGACTTCTTCTACTATAGACCTATATAGTTCATTATTATTATATTACATATATATATTATTCATATATATAATTTTACTTAAAACTATTTCTTAATAATAACTTCATATTTATAAATACTTATAATTAAGATTTAATCTTTTTTAATCTTTAGAATAATTGAAAAGCTAGCTTTCTTTCTATCGACAAGTTTTAAAAAGTACTATCAAGATCTGAATCGAGAAAGCTAAATACCTATTCGGGAAGTAACTAAATTTCTTAATTACGAACATCAAATTTTATTAGTAATCTCACCTTTTTCTCCGTCTCTCTCCATTTCTTCTCTAAAAGAATTCTATCTCTATAAATTATATCTTAGTTAACTCTTTTCGATTATAATACCTCTTCTTCTACTATTATACGTACTGCGAATCGTTATTAAAAAAAGCGTCAACAATAGGAAAATAAGCATGCCCTCTCGTAATTACGCTCCCAAAATCAGCTATAATTTCAGAGAAATTAATAAAGTTAAAATTCATGATAACGTGAAGATCTTATACTTTATAATATTATAATACACTATCAACCTTAGTCTATAACACCTCATAGACCTTCTTAATACATATTCGAAGGCTTTAATAAATCATCTATTAGACTTCTCTTCGATCCTCCTCTTCGATACGATAATCTCAAATTTCGCTATTAAGATTCTATATAACGTCTAACCTTTAATATATAAGATTTATATCGAGATTATAATCTTTCTACTTAGCAAGACTACGATACTTATTATTTAAAGAATTCTATTTATATTCAATAAGTAGAGCGAGATAAAGAGCTTCGAGATATAATAGAATAGCTAGAAGATACTCGGATTCTCTATAAATATAATATTGTTTTAAAGCTATATAACGATATTATTAATATTATTACTACGAGTAAAGATAAGGATAACGAGAATAAGAATAACGAGAACGACGACGACGAGAATAACGACGACGACGAGGACGACGATAGAATACGTTATAAGCAGTTACTTAACGCTCTTAAGAATATATACTCTTAGATATAAAGCGAGTCTCGCTTAACCTTCTTAGAACGATTAATATTTAATCGTAATATATATATCTACTCGATAATATCTACTATAATTCGATACAGTGATTATAAGGCTATAGAGAATCTTATATATTCTAAGATTAATCGACGATATAATCTATTTCTTAGATATCGCTATAGAGAGGATTTAAAGAATTAATTAAATATAGTATCGTAAATATATTCAATTATAGCGATTTTCTTAATATTCCCACAATACTTAACTAGCTTTTCACTACTGAATAGCCCGCGCCCCAGCACATATTTTTTATACTATTTTAATAATATATAATACTTTTTAAACTTAATTTATTAACTCTAGTATACTTATATAAATTATTTAAATTAGTAGAATCTAAATAGACTTCTTATAATAGCGATAAATATAGATTTTATTAAAAATATCGCGAATAAATATATTTATAAGTATTATATTATAGAATATTAAAAGATTATACTCTATATTAATTCTATTACGCTTAATATATAAATAGATAAATTTATTTATATCGATTTTATAGAGTCTTTATCTTTTACTAGTTTCAATAATTATAGATATTTTATTTTAATTAAAAATAATTTTATCTTCGGCTAATCTTTTGATCTGATAATAGGGAGTTTTAGACTACTTTTTTTTTTGCTGTGGAATTGTGAAATATTTAGACTTTCAGCTATGATAAAATAGATTAGTCTGAATTGGTTTAAATACCCCCACTATTAAATAGGCTTCTTTGGTGGATTTGTGATAAATCCGCTTAGTTATTGCCCGAGAAAACCGTGTAATCTTCCCCGTACCTAACCTTAACCCTAAGCGTCCTGAGAGCTTTGTCCGTAACACATATAGAAACTGTGCTTCTTCGCCCGCTCTTGCCCCAATTGAGAACTGCTGGCAGCCTCCCAAGCAGAATCTACGAAAGTTCCCACATTGGGATGATCGGACTACGAAGTACTATATTGTGGATGGCTGGGAGGAGCATATAACTCAGAAATTCATCAACGAGCGTGTGAATAGTATGCCTGAAAGGCTTCAGGCTGTGATAGACGGTGACGGTCAAATGACAGGTTATTAATGGAGAAAATTGGAAGAATAGGGGCTATCAAAGTTACTTCTACTTATGAAATAAGTCACTTATTTACCCCTGCAGCCCTATTTCAGCCCTATGATGAGTAGAAAAAAAACGACTTTTGAATAACGTGCTTGATCGGTCAACGAGAATGACTGGGCTTCGAGACTCTTGGCATACTAACATTAGCGCATGGAGATGATTGGTCAAAATTGGTAGGGCTACCGCAAGGGTTCTCCAGAATAACACCGTCACTGTAGGCCTTTCTCCAGAGCCTTCACGGGGTATTCTACGAATATTGTTGTTTTGTAGAAAGACCCTGATCGACAGATCTATGCTACATTCGGTTAGACCGCTAAATTTTTGGTGTGTATGCCAAGAGTCTCGAAGCCCAGTCATTCTCGTTGACCGATCAAGCACGTTAGCAACTCCGGACCTGCTATTCAACTCCATAAGCTACTTATTGCGTATTCTATTACACGTTCTAGAGTAGCCTTCTATATATATAACACGCCATCTCTTGCCAAGCCTGATCCTACAGGCGTCATAGCCAGAAAGAAGCCTAAACGCGCCCTAACAGACGCCTGTGTCGAAATGTGGCCCCCGCGCATCCCAGCCACCATGTTTTCCCGCTACCTGATTTTGTACTGTATTTAGGATCTGGCCCCGGAGAGGTTTTGGAGAATCAATCCGTCTGTTCTACATTAATTTATTATCACATACCTGATATTCTAACAGCCTGTACAGAGGTCTGCACCGAAAGTCCTGCACCCGCCAAGACTCTTGCGCTCAGACTTCGGATAACGCCCCACCTAAAGGGCTACCTGGATAATACGTCTGGAGTTCTTCGGAATCGCACCTAGCCCTAGCCAGGTTTCGGGGCTTAATGCCCCTATCAAGCCAAAAGAAGTACCTAAAATCCCATCCATGCGCTGTGAGAAGATATTTCTAGGCTTCCCCTCTACAGGGCCGCTTTCCGAAAGTAGGGTTAGGGCTGCACTAGTGCGGGTGCAGGACTTTCGGTGCAGACCTCTGTACTCCGTATATCGAATGTAGTTAACGCGATACTACTATTACGAGGCTATTTAAGAAGAAGAAGAAATAGTTACTATCTACAGAGGTCTGCACCGAAAGTCCTGCACCCGCACTAGTGCAGCCCTAACCCTACTTTCGCAAAGCGGCCCTGTAGAGGGGAAGCCTAACAATATCTTCTCACAGCGCATGATGGGACTTAAGGTACTTCTTTTAGCCTTGATAGGGGCAGTAAGCCCCGAAACCTGGCTAGGGCTAGGTGCGATTCCGAAGAACTCCAGACGTATTGTCCAGGTAACCCTTTAGATAAGGCGTTATCCGAAGTCTGAGCGCAAGAGTCTTGGCGGGTGCAGGACTTTCGGTGCAGACCTCTGTATAAGTAGAAATGATTAGGGTGCTATCAAAGAACTAGTAGCTTATTGCATTTTCCACTAGAAGAAGTAGAAGTAACTTTGATAGCCCCTAATTCTGGTAAGGGAAGGCGCTTATCTCCATATAGTTAGGGTGTACGGGCTTTTTTGCTACCCGCGTGGGGCTTTCTTTCGCGCCATTGAGGGGGGGGTCTACGACGGCGTAGTAGGAAGGACGGTAGGAAGGACGATAGTAAAGACGTAGACGTGTGGGAGGTGATAGCAATGGGAGGTAATAGTAGTAGTGGTAAGAAGGAAGGCCTTCTAATTAAATAGATTTGCTAAGAGATATAGAATATCGACACGAGAAATCCACCAAATAGGCCGATTTTCTTCACTAAAGGCACCCCACCAGGTGTCGACAGATTTCTCCACCCCGAGGTTTACCCGGCTACTGCCGGCTTCCTTCCCCCACTAAAAATAAGTCCGGGCCCGTATCGCTGAAATGCCTTGGCGATGTCGTTAACTAGTAGAAATAGATGGTAGACGTATTAAATCTGATTTATAGTGATATTCAGAAGGAATATATGTGGTAGATTCTCAGTTTTCTTCAAATGCGTGCAGTAGCCGGGTAAACCTCGGGGTGGAGAAATCTGTCGACACCTGGTGCCCCAGGGTACCTTTGGTGGATGGCCGAGGGTTGGTGACAAAAGTCGTTGCACACTTTGGTAGGGCTTAGCGGGGATCGGTGTGCAACGACTTTTGTCACCGACCCTCGGGCGTTTTTTCAGGTTGTGGGAAAATGAGCGATTTGCCACCAACGGTCAAATCGCTGAAATTCCCCACGACCTGAAAAATCCACGCTTAAAAAAGTGGTCTGAAACTCCCTACTATACGGAGTAGATTTAATATCTTATCTCATCTCTTACAGGGGCATGGTCTTCGTTTCAATACTCTCTGGTGTCTCTTCACTACTCCCTCATAATGAGTCGTTCTAAAAAGACCCCAGAAGAAAAACGCGCCTCCGCTCGCGAGGCCACGGCTAGAAGTCGAGCCAAAGGCAAAGCTGAATATGAAGCTCGATTCCCGCAAGCAAATGCAACTATTCTATCGCAATCCTCCAATGCCGCGGGTCCTCCACTCTCTACAGTTACAGCTAAGCAACAAGAGGTGGCTTGGACGGAAGATAAACAGCTCATCGATACCATAGAGGTTCTTGCTCACCAAGAGAGTTGAGGGAGAATATCGACCTGGTCTCGGCCAAAGTAAGACCGCAGCTGCGGCAATCCCCCTCCCCGACTACAACCAATCTTCTAGTCAGGTCTCGAAGCAAGAGCAGTATGGCCACTCAATCTTCGACCAATTTACCATCTAAAGACGCTCTCCCAAATTTTAGTCGACCGCGCAGACCAAGAAGACAACCTCCCAGTGCCATACCCACCCAGAATCCGACTAAGACCTTAAATGCCTCACCTGCGGACACACATCTACAATCGGGGCCGAGAGGTAGATTTCCCTATGGTTATCGTCATAATTAAATACTTACATGTTCACAGAGACCCCCAGGTTCGCTCCCTCCTCCACAACCCTCTCTTTCTCCTCGGCCTGAGAGTTCCCCATCTACACTCCCTCCTACATAACCCTTCATCTCTTCTCGAACCTGAGAGGCTTCCGGCGCTGAGCGAAGACGAGCCTAGCCTTGTTGATCCCGATGCTCCCTATCTTCCAACAGTCGATCTTCCCTCGGAACATTCAGGCGAGCATAGCGACGGGTTAGAATATACACACAATCCCGGCCCTGGGCCAGAGCGACGCGGCCGCCTTTCAGCTTCCACGGTTGAATCTAGAAGAGCAGGAACTATACCCGAAGGTTCTGCCTCCCCCTACAGGCTTATACGATAACGCCGCAGAGGTCCTTGGGGCTAGCTGGAAGACTTGCTGGACCTTTGGCATGTTGTTACCAAACTCCCCCCTCGGAATTTGACTGACGTTGAATAGCGGGCAATCCCGATGCCATTCCCGAAGATGCTCTTTCCCTCCGCGAAATGACCGACTACTGGAACTAGCAGCTCCCCGCAGAGTTCTCCTCCATTGACGCTCCACGCCCCTTACATCAGAATAAGATCGTCGAGCGGGATGGAGCAGCGAACGATTTTGAGGCCATCGATTGGAATGCTCTTCTTGCGGGCGGTGGGAACCTAGCGACCATTGATTTTAGCAGATCGGAGGACCACTTTCTACGCCAGGCTCGAGAGGAAGACCCTACACTTCAGCGCTTTTGGGATATCGATAGCATAATCTTCGGTATTTCGAGCCTGGCTATCCACCGACGTGGGTTCCACTTTGCACTCCAACCACCATTTCTACAACGGATCACCTAGAACCAACGGGTAACTATTCATGGCCTGAAACTACACAAGATGAAGCAACTTCGCTTGAGCTACGGCGTCGCCGACGGGGGCTTGGGGGCCGCTACCCATGTTTTCTTCCCTCACCTTCCAGTGGCCAACTCCGGCGTAACGCATCTAAGCAACGACGAGCAAAGCAGTTGGGTTGATAATATCATCCGGCCTGCGCTTCGGGATACCTGTGGTCATCATGTACGGCAGCACTGGCCGAGGAGCTTTGCTGATGCGAACCATAAGGCACGCGTAAAGGAAGAGCAGAGTATAAATGGCGCTGGTCATCCGATCGACATCAATTATCCGCTGCCTGCCAGCCTACTGGAACAATACTGGGATTGTGTACTCCGCAAGAGCAATGAATACCCCGAGTTCGCGGGCCCAGTGTTGATCGTCATGGCCCACAATCTCAAGGGCCCGACTCAACGCAATAGCCCCGCCCTGATGAAACATGACTTCCTCGAGCTTATGGAATCCTGCTACGATATCCATAGTGAGGGTTATCTAAGTCGAGGCGACGCGTGGCTTGATATCGGAGTCGAAGATGTTCCCGTCACCGACGGTGTCACACTGCTGCGAAAGACGTGCTGCCTTGAGCAATGGGCACAAGGGTTCTGCGATCCCCGACAGGCCGCCCGTCACCTCACAGCCTTACGCCATCCTTTCATGCTAACGCGCGACGCGGGTTCAATCTCCGTTGAACTAGGCCCAAGCAATCTGTTACGAAGCGAAGGGAATCTCGCCCACAACAAGGCCTACAATAGCAACAAAGATCTATTCGCCACACCATTTAAACCCTATTCCGCATTTGGCAACGACGACTTTGAAGGCTTAGGTTTCTCTCAAACCCACATCGACAGATGCTTTGAAGTGAACCGACATGGCCGAACTGCAGTTGGTACTCGAGAATCCCACGTAAAAAGGCCCGACATAGTTAAAGGATACGAAAAGAGCAAGCAAAGAGTCGCCGTCGCATTGGAAGATTCGACAAAGGCAAAGTCCTCGTTCGGCATACGGTCGGAATGCCGTGCGGGACGGTTGTTCTTTGTGCATTGCGAACTCAGTGTCGACGGTCACTCCATTACCATCGCGCAGGCCGCCGCTCCTCCATCGAGTTCCCAGGGACTCAGCAGTCCGATGTTGTCTATAGACAACATCGGCAGCCATCCACCTGCAGACAATCAGGCGAGGGTCTCAATTGCCGAAGGCCCTCATCGCTCTTACTGGGTGCTTCCAACTGAAGAGGTTAACAAGTTCACATCAGCCTATCCCTATCTGAACAGGTGGACAGTATGCGTGGAAGCGTCGGCAACAAGGGCTCGTCCAGGGCCAAACAACCGCCCCATTGCTTCGGAAACCCAGCAACGTCTCCACGGGATCACGATTAGCGCTTGTCGCCGTATCCTTGCACTGGCTATAGGAGGAGTCGCACCGTCACGAAGACCTGAGTTGATGCTGGAAAAAATGGAAAGCCGTGAACACCGACAAGAGCGGCTCCGACGCCAAGCGTTTCATGATGACTCGAGAGTCTGAACGGCACGACCTCGTCGGCCTCGGTTTCAAGCAAGCAATCAAGCGATATGGGACTGTGTGGCTTCAAGCGGATCAACTTCTATGGGAGATATTGCCAATCTTTCAACCGCGCCTTCTAGATAAGCTTCAATTAGCCAACAATGCGTTTTATAAATCCTTCCACTGCATCCGAAGTACAGTCCACCTGGGCTATAACGATTCGCTACATAACGATATTCTGGTTGTAACGATTGCACAGCCATGCAATGATTATTTTTGGTGTAGAATAACGATAACTTGTCTACAACGATATCGTTAGCATTTGCCTAGTAAATCAGTATATATAAAAGAATAAGGTAGGGCTGAGCTTGAAAACCTTGAATTTGTATGTGCAGCCAATCATCAATTCGGGTTCGCTACGCCCTTTGGTTAGACCGGCTGAGTCAGCCCGGTAGCCCTCCCGCGCCTCCCTCATCAAAAATTTGTATGTAGAAGTTTTACACTTTAAAGTACTCAGCTTGCGATACATACAGTTACTTTATAATTCCTCAAATTGTAGAGCTCGCTTTGCGCTTTCTAACGCTGTAAAAATAATGAAGTTTGGCCTACTATTGGTGGATTAAATGGACATTCAAATATGGTAGTCATGGTAGTCACACCAGACGCGTCCGGGATCGGATACCCCTGTTTTCTTAATCATTGGGAAACTAAAAAAAATCTGCGATTTTGGCACCCCCCCAATGATCAAATATCAAAAATTTGAATTTCCTATATAACCTCACCACCACTTATTTTTACAGTCTAAAAACTTTACGAAATCTACTTACTATATTAAGGAATCTACCTCTAAATTTAGAAAGATTTTAATTCTAATCTTATAAGTGAAATGTAAAAAGCGAGAATATATCGCGAACTTCAAAAATTTACCTCGGCTATTTTTTTACCGCCAAGACTATCTCGAGAAAATCTAAGAATTTATTAAAATTTTATTCTATAATAGAACGAATAATTAAGATCTTCTATAATTTAATATTCTTAATCTCTCGTATAATTATTAAAATCTATAAAGTTTTTAGAGCGTTGTAAGTTATCGTTGTGAGGCTATTCAAGAAAAGCACTTTTTTTGTTTTTTAGATGGGGGTGCCAAAATCGCGATTCTAGTTTCCCAATGATTAAGAAAATAGGGGTAATAATAATCCTTCCACCTGTTTGTGTAACCATTCTTCTTTCACCATTCTACCAATTCTATCAATTCCACCAATATAAACACAATCGTCCTCGGTACCCCTCGCGGAAAGGTTACTCAACGTCTCAGGCACGTACACTCCTTTTGCCCGCCTCTTAGAGCCCCTACTGACGCCCCCAGGCCACCCCTCGGCGAATCCGCTACTGCTGGCAATCGAGAGCTACCTACTACTGCTCATAAACGCGTTGGAAGGCCCTCAAAAAGAGCCCGAACGGATACGTCCTCCCCTACATACTCCTCCCAAGCCAGCGGTAGGTGGGTTAAACTGACATTCAAATATTGTAGTCACACCAAACGCGTCCGGGATCGGATAATAATCCTTCCACCTATTTGTGTAATCATTCTTCTTCCACCATTCTACCAATTCTACCAATTCCACCAATATAAACACATTTACCCTCGGTACCCTCGCACTCAGTTGAACAAGAGGAGGATCTACAACAGGCGAATGCGGAGAACACTGCGGAGAACATTGCGGAGACAGTCATCAGCAGCAGTGACACAACAGGCCTACTCTCCACGGTCTCACATCAATCCACTCAGCCAGTGCAAGAGAAGTCAATACAGCAGGCGAATGCGGAGAACACTGCGGAGAACATTGCGGAGACAGTCATCAGCAGCAGTGACACAACAGGCCTACTCTCCACGGTCTCACACCAATCCACTCAGCCAGTGCAAGAGAAGTCAATACAGCAGGCGAATGCGGAGAACACTGCGGAGAACATTGCGGAGCAGCAGTGACACAACAGGCCTACTCTCCACGGTCTCACACCAATCCACTCAGCCAGTGCAAGAGAAGTCAATACAGCAGGCGAATGCGGAGAACACTGCGGAGAAACCAAGCGGCAACAAGGCCCCCAGCACCAAGAACACGGCTCAGCTCTCCAAGATCCCACGTCATATGCTCTCCACGGTTCCACATCAAATCATCACTCAGCAAGCGGAGAACACCACTGCAACTTAGCCTATCATCCCCACTACATTAAGGAGTAAGAGGAGGAACTACAACAGGCAAATGCGGAGAACACTGCGGAGAAACCAAGCGGCAACAAGGCCACCATCGTCAAGAACACGGCTCAGCTCTCCAAGATCCCACGTCATATGCTCTCCACGGTTCCACATCAAATCATCACTCCGGAACGATGCATATTTGGACGAATTGAAACCGTCCGATGTCTATAGCTATTTCATTATTCGAAAAATTTCACTGCGGCAGGAGATATTGTGGGATTCACACCACTAATTGGCACGTTGTCTCCATTTCTTTCCGGTATTTCGATACTTCTTGCCATAAGGACATGGCCTTTCTCTGTTTTTTGTGGGCAATTATTACACCTTCCTAATTAGGCCTTAGCGCGCCTCTCTCCGCACATATATGCCTGTATACTACATAGATTAAATCAATTTTGTAGTAATGGAAGTAGGTCAAAAACGCATAGTAAGCGATCAGAGTCCGATTTATACTTAGGGCTAGGGCTAAAATTCGATCTAACTTAGAAAAATCCAACTCCATGAATTTAATTCATGGGCCTTTACTTGTTAATTTATAAATTATAAACTTTATAGTATTTACCGAGTTATATATTTTTATTCTTATCGCTATTATTTTAAATAGCGTATATAGCGATATTAGTATCTTTAAATAATAGTAAATAAATTTCGTTACTTATTATAATATAAATAATCTTATTAAATTTAACGATTTTATTATTATATAGCTTATAGATCTAGATATAAGTTATTATAAAGATATTAAAAAGTCTTTAAATTTTATAAAAAGAAGCTAAATTAGAAAAGGCTTTAATAAAATAAATAATTTATATAAATTAGTAACTTCGATAATAATCTTATAAAAGTTCTTTTTATATTAATAAATATCTTCTTTAAAAAAAGAGTAATATTAACTAATTAGTAAATTAGCTTTATATAAAGATTAAAGCTTTTAGATTTATAATATTTAATAGTAGCGTCTAATATTATTTAATTATAATCGATATTAATAAATTAGTAAGTTAGTAACTACTATATTTAAAACATTAGAAACTAATAATATAAGTTTTAAACTTAATAATTCTAATAAAAAGTAAAGAATTATTAAATATAACTAGTTTTTAAAATTTTATCTTTATCTAATATATCGAATATTAAATTTTAACATAGCGATAGAGATTAGAGAAAAACTATTTTTATTAAATTAAGATTAATTAAAAGTATTAGCTATAAAAATCTATAACTAATTATTTAAATCTAATATTATTAAAAGATAGTCTAGATAATAATATATAGAATATTAATAAAGAGAGCGATAGCGATAATAATAATAACGATTTAGCTACTATTTTAGATAAAATAATAAATTTAAAGAATAATTATAAGAGTAACTTTAAATCGAGTAAAATAAACGTCTTAATATAAAGGTTATATAATTTAATATCGCTTAATAAATTAAATATATCTTTACTAGCTTTGAATTTAAATTTATTAAATTTATCATTTAATAAAGTAAAGAAAATTAAATATATTTTTTAATTATTATTAAAGTTTTAAAAGATCTTATTATTAATATTAATTAATTATCGCTTTTAAACTTTAAATTCTTATATAAGAAATAAGAAATATTTATATATAAAGCTATAATAAATATAGATAATATAATTAAAATAAAAGATATTTAATAATAAAATTATATCGAATATAGTTATTATAGATATATTAATCTTCTTCTTAAAGAAAGATTAAATTTTTTTTTTATATTACTTATTTTGAAATTTAAACTTAGAATATCTATATCGCTAGCTATTATTATAAAATCTTAAAAATTATTCTAGCTTTATAATTACGATAATAAAATATATATAATCGCGAATAAAATATTCGATAATAGAGCTTTAGCCTTCTCTTTTGAAAGATTTTAAAAGATTTAGAAATTAATATTAATAAAGAATTCTTATTATTTTAATCTTTAATAAACTTATAAGTATAATAAAAGATAGTAATATTAGCTCTAAAATACTTTAAATTATAATTAAACTATTAATATTAATATCTAATTATTTTTAATTAATAATTATTAGTTTAATAATTAATATATAATTTTAAACTTAATATTAATATAAAGTAGCTCTACTTTTAATAAAGTTAAGTATTTTAACTTAATAGAGATTAATAACAGCGCGTAATAGATCTAGCGATGTGATATTATATGTAAAGCAAATGCTTCACAGTAATTATCGTATGTTAGGTCTCTAGAGTATTACAGCATATAATTCGTGAAATGCGCTTAGTAATCCAAATGTAGGCCTTCTGATTGGCCAAATCCATAGTCTTGGCAATATCTTGCGGAGAAAATTCTTCAAAACCTACCATTTCTTCATCAATTGACCTCCCACCAAGCATGACGATGATGTGGGGCCTGACTACGAGGTAGACGCGTTGTTGGAAGCTCCCATAGCTCCCATGGCTCCTGCACGTACCTCGGATCTGTATAGCCTCATTTCTTGACTCGCAAGAGTACCCTCAGTAGGACTAGATTACACGGAAATGGTACCTCTCAACAGGTGGATTCCAGGCCAAATTTTAAATACCCACTAGTGCCCTACTAGCGTGACCGTCAGACCAATTGCTTTGCAGTAATTTCACGTGTAATTACTGAAAGTGTAATTACTGCAAGGCTTTTGGTCACATCGCTAGATAGATCACGAGCAATGACTTTGTTAGTAAGGAACAAAAGCATAATCTCCCCTTTTAGTCTTGGCTTATTATCAATCATCGCTTGTCCAGGTTCTTTCTTACTTAACGATATAAGATTTAATTCTTCTATATTAGTAGCCTCACGCCTAGTTAATATATATTGTCTACTTTCATTCTTCTTATATTATAAGCCCTTATTATCCTTTTTAATAGTCAAAAACGATTATAGCAAAAAAAGTTTTCTTATTATACTTTTACTTATAGACTCTATTCGACCCCTTTAAATAGTCTTCGTTATCTCTCTTATATACTCTTTAGCGCGATAACCTTCTAAAATCTTCTTATAAAACTTATATATCGAAAAAGTACTCGCCTTTAGTAAGTTTAGTTCTTATCGATTATATCTTCGATTATATAAATATCGAAGATAGATAATCAATTATCGTTACCGCTAGAATAATTATTAAATTAACTTTAAATATTATTAATATTAATTAAAGTTATATAAATAGCCGTTATAATAATTAAATTAAAAGTTATTTCTTAATTTATTATAACTTTCGATATCTTATTAAGCTATCTTAAATATAAAAGAGAAAGAGAAATAGAAATCTTCTCGATAATATAGCGAAATAGCTAATATTTATAAAATAAACTATATTATTTAAGAAGATAATATACTTATTAATACTTATTCTTCTTAGATTCTTAGAATACTTTATTCTTTAATATTAAAAACCCTATCTTTTTATCCGTAATTAACTTTATATAGATGAGTTCGATTATCTTAATAGATAATATAATTAAGAAGATTTTATAAAGAATAATCTGCTAGCATATTAATACTACGAGGATTATTCCTCTTTTAATACTTTAATTTATACTGAAAAGTATAAATAACCTTATTTATTTCCTTAAGTAATCTTTTTACTAATTATTTAATAGATATATAACGATTTATAATAGCCTTAACTAGAGAATAACTACTCTTACCTTATTAAGTAGAATTATAATCGAGATTTAGTTACTTTTTAGTATATATCGTAATAAATTAATACTTTTATTATTAATAGAAATTAATTAAATAGTTCTATTTTTTTTAATATAGATAATTAAGTAGAATACTACGATTTCGCTTTATATTCTTAAGAATTTCTAATTTAATCTACTTTCACACCAGATTAGTTAATAACTTTCTTATTAAAAGCGAATATCTCTCGCGAGTAAATCTCTTTTTAATTATTTTAGTTATATATTAATAATATAGCTAAAGAAAATAGTCGCTATCTAATTTATTTAAATAATAACTAAGTATCTAAGTAACCTCTATATTTACTTAAGTAATTATATTTATCTAATTATTCGATAGTATAAGTAGATTCGTTCTTTTCTTAATTATTATTACTATTAATCCCGTCGTAAAATCATCTAATAGAATCGCCGATCCTCTATAATTATCATAGAAAAATAAGTCTCTTATATAGTCGTTTATGAATAGAAAGACCTCGATAAATTCGAACTCGATAAAATAATAGTCGATCGAAATAGATCTTAAGATATTAATTATATAAATAAGAACTAATAGAGATAGATTATTCTTATTTATATTAAATATAGTATTTCTGTAATAACTATAAAATAACTAATAAATTACCTCGCTAAGCGAATTTAATTAAGACTAATAAAGAAAAAGAACTCTACTACTTCTTATAATTCGCGAGTATTATTATTTACTATATACTTTTTCTTAATATAAATCTTAAAACCCTTAGTTTTAAAGTGTATAAGGAATATTATAATTCTTTATAAGCGATTCTCTTACGACCTTTATTATAAAGGATTATAATATTCTTTAGAGCTAAGTCTTAAACCCTTAGTTTTTATTATTCTTCGAGCTGGCTATCGTAATAGAATGGAACTACTCCAAAGGCTTCATTTGACGCTTTTAGGCTTTTCAAGATTCCGCTGCAAGAAACGCATAAAATGAAATATCTTATTCTCTTCGACATAAATATGGGTTGCCGAGAACAAACGTTGATGCAATTTGACTT